CTGTGCAAGTTCTCTTGAAATGCCTTTTTCGTATCTAGAACGGAGCCGAAGATGCCGGGATTGTTGAGAGTATTTTTGTTTCTTTTTAGCGGAGCCACTTCCGAGGGCCCCCCTGTCACTGCAGTACTTGTACAGATGGATTCAGATCGGGTCGAAGAGTAGCAAACAAGCATGAAGCTGCAGTCCCATCACATCTCAAGCCATCTGGCGCAGACCAACGAGGGCTGTGTGGAAAAGGAATGGTAGATCTAGCAGTTAGATATCAATGTATACCTGCTGCATCATGACAAATATCCACTGGAAGTGACGGCAATACATGATGTGATACTGGAGAATAATATCAATCCTATAGTGATGACCTTTATTAGTGGGTTTGTTTCTTTTTTTCTCTTTGTTGTGTGGTATGCATACAAGTAGTACTAGTAGTATGTATATACTTGCTTGTTATTATTACAATTTATGGTCTGTTGTTGACATCGCAAAGTCTGGAGATAAACCAAACCCCGCTTATTTTTTCTCCTCTTTTTTTTTCCCTTTTTTGCTTTTTTTTTTTTTTTTTTTTCCTTCTCACATCCTATTAATTCCCGTCTATTTCTCTTAAATCTCATCAAGATCATCTGTGGCTTTCCAAATCGCATCCCTGTTGTTGGGTCTTTTTGTCCATATTAAACCAATATATATCATCGCTTGGTTCTTATCTCATCCTGGCACGTGCGGAAAGCGGATTGTGGCTGCATCTCGCCTGGAAAAGAAACAAGGTATGTTTCTTCTTTTTCAACTGTTTGTTCTTATTCTCTCTTTATTCTTCGAATTATCCTCTTCTGTCGGTAAGATGTGATATTGGGGTTTGCCATCATTCGGAATCTGTTTTCTCCACTCTTTCTCACCGTCTATACGCATCTCTTCTGTTACGACCTATGAAAGAGCATTACGCTTTCGATGGCACCACCGGATAGCCATCTGTGCTTCTTCAGCGAACGAGCTGCACTTTTTATCCATTGAATCTCGGGTTTACTGACGGTCTATCGGGTACGATACCAGCGGCTGATCCTCCCCGAATCTCTCCATCCGGCGCGCAACTCGAGAACCCAACTTGAGATAGAGCAAAAGATGCTAGCTGGTCTGGTGGGTATAAAGAATAATCTCTTTCTGTTATTATTGATTCATGGTGGATGATATCAAAGCTGACGTTTTCCAATACAGGCAACTGCTTGTCATCTTGAACTTTAAAAGCGCTGGCTCCAATCTTGCGATGTCCTTATCGGATGTTCCGTTCGCCCATTTCCTACCTTACACCCACAACCACTACTTCCCGGATTACCACGACCTATCTGCCGCGAACTCCATCTACCAAGACCCTACCTTTCACTCTCCCGCCCCGGTCCTCTCCCACGGCGTGTCATCGCATTTCTCCACTTCCGTCAAGAGCCGCAGCGCCGCCAAGTCCGCATTCAAGATGAACACATTATCGACCGAGGAGATGGAGCGGTTTCAAAAGCTCTCGAACGAGTTTGAACCGGATGTTCAGGTACGGGGTGCTTGGAAGGATTCCGCTTGATTCCGCATCAGAACAACCCGGCTGACACCAGGTGGCAGGGCCCGCTCGTGTCAACAAAACAATCGACTCAGGCAATTGCAATAGATTATGCGAATGCAGACCCTACTCTGGTTACAAAGACTAGTGTACGACAATCTGTTCCCGTTTTACAATAAGGGATGTATGGTCTCTAACTGCTCTATTATAGACTCTTGCCCTCACACATCCCACGTCGCGTATCATGAAAGGCGATGGCAATTGCGGTTGGAGAGGTATGAACCAGGTTCTTGGATTGAGCTCGATTATTGACTGACCTCTAATAGCGGTCGCATTTGGCTACTTCGAGAATCTCTTTGCCCTTCGCGATTTGGTTTTGATACAGAACGAACTAGTCCGGATCAAATCGTTATCCAACCTCCTCGACCAAGTCGGCCATCAAGATTACCTTTACGAGATCTTTGTCGATGCCACGGAACAGGTCTTCACCCAATTAATCCAAGCCATTCAAGATGGCATCCGTGACGATTCGTTCCTCATCGACACGTTCAACGTCGAGTACAGTTCGAACGCAATTCTCACCCACTTCAGAGTTAGTATAGTATAGCTGTCTCCCTGGCAGAGTGAATATTGACCATGTCTTCGACACAGCTTCTTACAGGCGCGTGGATGAAACTGAATCCTCAGCGGTATCAAGCGTTTATCCCCATGCCGTTGGATCAGTACTGTGCAACACGAATTGAGACGGTTAAATCGGAAATTGACGAAGTCGGGCTTCAAGCACTAATCGATGGTGTCATTGAACGATCCGGGTTTGCCGTTGAGATCCTATATCTCGACCGCAGCCAGGGCGATGCCGTGACGCCTCACTTGTTGACGACAAACCAAACCAGCATCGAAACCATCCGACTATTATACCGACCGTGAGTTTACTTACAGATTTCTAATGCATCGAATGTGCTAACTTGTACCAGAGGTCATTACGATCTGCTTTACCGCCCCGAACCAACTGTGAATATGGAACCCGTGGTCAACTACCAATACGCAATGACTTCTAACTACTCCCCCTGGGATCAAGGTGCCCTCTCCTTCGACGTCAACCCAACCTTGATGTCAATTCCAAACCTAATGATGGATCCGGCCTTTGCGATGGGTGCGGCCCCGATGTCTCCGGCTCCGATTTCTCCCCCGGCTCCTTCAAGTCCATATCGCGTGTCTTCCCCTCATGAGGTCTACCAAGCTCAAATTCCCACCTCGCCGCCACCACCACCGGTTCAAATGCCATCACCGCCGGCGCCTCGGATGTCTGCTCCTTCAGGTCCTCCGCCGCCGATGAGCAGTCTACCGAACCGACCCTCCGATGGGCCTCAGATTCGGTTGAACCCGTTGGTGATGAAACCTAATCTCAGCCGTTCTCTTCCGATTACCACTCCGTTTAAGAAGTGAGTCCTTCCCTATTTCTATTCATATCGAGAGTGGAGGTTAATATGTATTATAGCTCTCCTTACAACCAAGCCCACTTCCAAAACCAAGATTTCGAACCAATCCACTGGGAACCCAGCGACTCCCGCAAATAAAATATCTGCAATTTTCCATCGAATAGGAAGGAAGCTTCGTTGAACGAAGCCCTTTCTAAATCGCACCAAGCATCACTCGCATCTCTCGTTTTCTATCATGGACGAGACTACATTTACACAAGACACCATCTGTTATGAGCACTAGCGTTCCAGGACCTACTCACCTGTCAGAAGGGATCTACCTTTTGTTTCTGTTGGATTAGCATGGGTTAAATTGAGAACCGCTCTTTGTTGTTGTTTGATTACTGTTATGTTGTTTTAGCGTTGTTGCATGGGCATGTGCATACTTTTTGATATTATTATTATGGTATTGTTTATTATTTCGGTTGGGTAGTTATTTGTATGAATCAGGGACCAGAATGTATCTGTGTTGTCTATATATGTATGTATGTATGTATGTATGTATGTATGTGAACATTGAAAGTAAAAGTCAAATGGCAAATGACACGGGTTGGTAGCCCAGCATCTCTCTATCTGCATTGGTATTGGTATCAAAAAGAAAAGAAAAAAAGAAAAAAGAAATATGAGCATTACAAAACCATTCAAACTCATTTCCAACTCCAACATTCATTTCGGGAAAAGACGATGTTCGGCTCGGTTTTCGGTGGTTTTCGAATTCGATATTCTGTTTAGGGTGGAAGGAATGCATGTGGTGAGTGTATTCGAAACTCAGACAAGAACAGTGCTTAACCCAGTTAAGGCGTAAAATTCAACCACTCCGAGAAGTCCATCCCCGAAATATTCAGATTCAACTCCTGATCCACATCCGGAAACATGCCCCCAAAAGTTGGATCGTTGAACAACTGATCCGGAAAATGCATGAGGATAGGCGGTTGCTGCTGCTGCCCTCCATCACCTGCACCCCCGGTAACCGATTTATTTGCCGCTGCGGGGATCCCCGGCATGGGAACTGCGCCGGTAGTCGTGTTGGCATTACCGTTGTTGTTGGGGTAATAGTAGTAAGAAACCGGTGTGCAAAGTTTGTTGACGACTGCTAGGCAGCGTGTTGCGAGGCGGTTGTTGGACAAGGAGGGGTGGGAGAGGAGTTGTTTTGTTGTTTGGATATCTTGGAGCCAGGCCGGGGCGTCTGTGCTGGTTGGGTCGGTCATGAGGAAGATAATCGGGATAAGGCCAGCCTGGAAGAGGAAGTACAGCATGTACCAAGCGCCCAGTCTCGTGCAGATATAGTTATCCATGTACTCGGAGATCGAAGCGATTGTCAACCTGGCGTTCCGGAGACAGAGCATTCGACAGTCTCCTTCGAGTGGGTCCTCACGCTCTGGTGGCGGTCCGGGTGTAGGTGTCCATCGTCTAGCTGCCCATCGGAGAAGAATCGGGCGGTAGATGAGAGTCCGCAAGTTCCAGTCTCGCCACATTAGTCGCCTGCGGACGAGGGCTGTGGAGTCTGGTTCGGGCATCGAGGCGGGTTGTTTGAGGTAGTCGGGGAGGTTGTTGTACCATTCTTCCATTGGTTTTTGGAGAGAGAGGGTTTCTTCGGGGGTTAGGGCGGGGCTTGAGATTAGGCGTTGGTAGACGCTGTTTGTTAGGAGGTGGAATTTGGCTTGAGCAATTATGCCGGAGTATAAAGTTGGGCCGTCGGATTCTTTGGGTAGGGTCGTTGTGCTTGGTGTGAGTGCCTGCGAATCATTGATTAATCCCCTAGTTCTCAATAGATGGGAGATGAGTATTCTCACCTCGTCCTGGATGTTAAGGACATGTTTTGCATCCATGACCTTATCCTCCGGTAGGAGAATCGGTCTGCCAAACGTTTTGGCCGCACCACTGTCAAAGATGAAAACGCCCCACCACAATCTCCGTCTGATCTCCCGCTGCAGAAGACTAATTCTCCACCCTGGAAACTCCTTATGAAGACCAAGGCTCATAGCCATCCGGACAGCAAGACCCAGGAAATTCCACCCCGTATTCGGCTTGTTTCGTTTCTGCGCGTAATTGCTCATCAACAGCAACGCCTGAATCAGAGTCAAGTTCCCGGTTTCGAAAACTGAAACTTGTTGCAAATGGCCTCTGGCTTCTTGGTAGAAAGTGATGTCCAGGTCTGAATTGTCGTCTCCGATGCTCCATGCTCCTAGAGCTAGAATCGTGTTAAGAAGGATTTGCCACGAGAGGCCGTGTGGGCGGGGGATGTGCTCATGAAACTGTGCCCTAAAGGTAGCTTCATGAACGAAAGGATAACTCGAATGATAGTTGAGGAAGTAAGCGTCCATAAAAGCCTGCTCGATAAGACCAGATGGAGCAGAATTCAGAAGTTGAGATTTCAGTGGAACTCGATCTGTATTTCCGTTTGGCTTTGCCGTACTTGACGGAATACTGAGATCGAATCCATGTTTCATCAAAGCTCTTAGTGGCACAACACTGGATGAAGCCCCTGTGCATGGATTAGCAACTGTACAGCAAATCTAGAAAAGAGATACCAACCAAAATATCCCGAACCCTCTGGCTTGATAGACAGTGCTGCCATACCATCCGTCAAACCACCGAGTGAAATCTCCTTTTCAGCCCAGTCAAACCCATCTGCCTGTTGCGGTAGAGCTTCTGGAGCTGCTTCAGATCGATCCTCGGTTTTCGCCGGAGTCGAGTGCCTTGAGGATGACTTGGAAGATGCAGTCCTTGGTGGCGTTTCATGATCCTGCAAAAGCGAACGGACAGTCGCATCCAGGTCGCCCCCTGGGAACAGTCTTGCTAGAGCCGTCTCAAATGCTTGTAGACGGTCTTCGACATGTGTCAAGTGTCTGAACTGTCAGAATCTGGATCCATGGCTAATATAAACTGTGATACTCACTGCCGCGTAAGTGGGCTTCTGGTTACTTTGGGGCTATAATTGCACTCCTTGCCCAATTGCGAGCACTGCAGGCATGTTGGGCGCCCCTTTGAACACTAGTTGAATAGTCAATAGACGAACCATCGTTTGGAAGCGATAGTTCTCACCTTCGACTTTCGTAGCCGACATTCATCGCACTGTCGTCGCGTTAGCACTTTGGCCGTCTTTCTGGCCCGCGCAAGAGATACTTACAGCATAGGCATGAGAATCACGAGTACTAGTCATCTTTATCGGGGAAAATCTGCTTTCTTAAATCGCAAATTTCTTTCACATTGGATATTATCACGCCAGACTGATAGCATCTGATATCGAGGTTAGCCATGTAAATTAATTTCGCATCAGAAAGATGCCAGGCTTATGCATAGTAAGACGCCATGTTCGAGCAGTACCAAGGAAAATAATATAATATAATATAATAGAGGCAACTTTGACCCTCAGGGATAAAATACACTCAATGCGCGCCCTCAAGAAAACATCGAATAATGGGAAATACACCAAATCTGGAGGGGACGGCATAAAAAAAAGTACCGGCGAACCACGGGCCAAACTCACGGTAGGCATGGGAATAATCTGTGACCCGCGATCCCGGGATCAGAAGCAACGCTCGTCGAGACCAAAAGCGAATGACAAACCCATCAGAGGCAGAATAACCGATATAGGAAAAGGCGCAGCGATGGAGTTGGCGATGGGCAGGTTCGAACTGAAGAAAGACTGTATCATGTGGGGAGCCAGTCACCTGACCCGTGAAAAATCTCTCAGGGCGAATCGTATCCTCAGGCACAAACTACTGCTGATATGGTCAATCTGCTATTGAGTTATAAGGAAACCCTCGTGCTCTATGGGATTTGTATCTACTTTGGTCTTACTTTATGGTGTCTTTTATACGGAGTACATAGAACAGCATGTAGTGTTGCGCATAATGCATTGTGAGTAGTCCAATGCACCCCATAAATCGGTAGCCACGATATATACATCCACCAGTGGCAGTTGAATACGTTATCCAATAGCATATCCACCAATTAGACGCTATCTTGATTATATCGACTAGGCAAAAGGCATCTCTTTAAATGCTCCTCAATCCATTCTATGTATATAATTATGCCACTCACAATCGAGCCCTGGCGGGACAGTTCTTGACCAATCAGAACTCCCAGCAGAGCTTTCTTTATACAACGTCATGTGAATTTTTGATAGCAGTCCTCTATCAACCATCACCAATACAATACATTTGTATTAAGACGACATACAGTCGATAAGCCTCTAGCATATCGAACCTTTGCATATTTCCGAACAGCCATCGGCTGCGGCACCTCAAACAGACCTCAAACATGCCTACACAACCCCCACTACCACCCCTCCTCACACCTTATGTATCATCTCTCCCGCAATCCTCCCTCACCCTCCTCTCCTCAGTCCTCGGCGCAACAGGGAATTGGCTCGTCCTAAGGTACCTCTATGCCGCGCTCAGCGTATCCTCCACAAACACCATATTTGGCGCAGACGGAATCGATAATGGGAAGAAGCGCAAGGTCGTGCTCGTGAGTTTCTTGCGGAGTTGGGAGTTCTGGAGGTCCGAAGCGAAGAGATTGGTAAGTTCCTGTTCATAGATATCTCCAAGGCGATTTATTAATGGTGACCAGGGTCTGGATTTTACGCGACTGACAGACAGAGGCCAATTCGCGTTTGTGGATGGATTATCGGAACTTTTTCACACCCCGCAGGCGCAAACCGCGACTCCGGTAGCGCCATCAGCGCCAGCAAGCCGTTCTATTCTTCCTCGGACGGCACTACCCGTTCGTGGACCGCCTGCACCTGCGCCTACTCCTGTAGCTTCGGGTGGTGGTCTGAATAGAGCCACGACGGAAGCCGTACCTGGACCCGCGAAGCGACTGCACCTGACAGGCTACGGGACCGCAGCACTCGACGCATTGGAGAAGGATATATTGGATGTGGTCAATCAACTAAAGACTACGGCAGCAAGGGACGATGGAGGGGAAGCAGAGGTATTGCTGATCGTCGACCAACCTGACTTGCTACTCGCTGCTACAGGCCCGAGCAAAGGGGTAGGAGCTACGGAAATGGGCGAGTGGGTCATGGGACTACAACAGGTACGTATAGGCTCCGCATCAATTGGGGTGATGGGCTAACAAGTTCGATAGCATTCGCACGCGACGATCGTGGCTGTTTCTGCCGATTCGCCGCTGATACATAATGCATCCGAATTCACCCATCACCCAGCAACTCCGCTGGAGAAGGAGCATGCTGCGTTCGCTGTAGGATTGGCGCATAGGGCTCAGATGGTCGTGCAGCTTCGGAATTTGGAAACGGGTGCCGCTCGGGATGTCAGTGGTGTACTAAGGGCAAGCAAAGGTGGCGCCTGGAGTGACGACGGCAGCACCGACGCTGAGGCCAAGTGGGAGGAGAAGGAAGTGTTGTACTTTGTCCAGCGGGACGGGAGTGTAAATGTCTTCGGAAGGGGTGAATAGAATAGGGTCACCGGGTTTCGTATAGATGTAGATAGAGCTGAGTATAAACCTGCCCATGAGTTTTTTTTTGTTGATAGAATGGGATCTGTTTGAATCCAGACAAATCACATTGGAAGCATATCTCAACCTAGTATCTGCCACGACCTGGGATATCCGCCAGCGTAAACTAAAAAGGAAAATCATGAAAAGCTTCCCCTTATTTTTATGTCACCCAAAAGAAAAAAGAAAAAAAGAGAAACCCATAAAATTTTCTTTGTCATCCTTTTTTGTCGTCGAATTTTGTGACTTGGAAGAAGAAATGCTATGGCGGCAAAAAGAGAAGACCGTCGCAACACCAACTCCACTGGAAAAAGCGTTCATTTTCATTTTGCCCTTGCATTGAAACCAGCTACTTCATATGCTAGGCCATAATCATACCAGTCCCCTCCAGCCTCCGAGATCGAAAACGCGACATCGAGATATTAGATCTGCTTATTGAGCGGTCTCGGGGCCACGGGCGCCCTTGGGAACACCAACGCGGAAGCCGTTCTTGAAGCGCTGGTGAACATCCTTGAGGTGACGGGTGCGGCCGCTGCCGGTGGTCTTTCTTCTCTTGGCCTTCTCACCCCAGTTGACTATAATCCAGAAATAATTCGTAAGCCAGATAGTTCCCCATAACCAACGCTGTGCTCAACTCAATCGACAGATTGTTTCGCCAACAGGGAGAGGGGTTCGTACACTTGCGGGTCTTAGCGGAGGGGTAACCGCAGTTGGCACAAGTCGACTTCTGGATGTGGAAAGAACGCTGTCCTGTAGATCCAAATCGCAACCGGTCAGCCCATCTTTATATTCTTTCCCGATATATCCCAACTTCTTCCCGTATCGTCCATGATCCGCGAATCCGTCGGGGGTTTCGGAGGAGTTCTTTATACTGACCACAACGCCGGCACAGGGTGTGCGTCTTGTTGTGACGCTTACCGAAGCTGGAGGTACCCTTCGCTGTTATCGTTGTTAGTGATGTCGACGGGGAGGAGGTTGATCGCAATCGCAGGACGCATCGGATTTGCACATACTCATTTTGAATTAAGGAACTGTAAAGATAAAACCGGATATGTTAGCCAACGTAAGAACTGTAAAAGAAAAGAAAAATAATTCCCCTCGTGGATGCGCAATGGATCTCCAAAACAACAACTTAACTTACCTGGCGATTCCGTTGAAGGGCTGGTTGTCGTCGTTGTCGTCGTCGCTAGGCGTATCGTGAGTTCCGCTGAGATCTGGGGGTGTCGCTTAGCGAGTTGTGGTATTCAGGGCTTCTGCCCTGGTCTCGTGACTTACACGGCCTAACATGGTTAGCGGTCAGCTGACCACGGCGCTACTCAGTGGAACCACCAGGCTTAACCCGTGCGCTAAGCCATTTTGGGTTTGATCCATTATCGACCGATACTCGCCGATAAACTTCTGTACAAACGTAGCCGTCTATGGGAGATGGATTGTTTTAAATGTTATAAATTGTAAGATCCATGACTGATGATCTTACTATGTGACATATAATGAACAGACTTGTTGAGGTACTAATATTTCCGAAGTTCAATTTTCTATGCAGAGATCGGTACAAACCGTCAATGCACATTGCAAAAGGGTATGCTAACAGCGCCAACGCCAAATCTTGCGAATATGATATCCAAATCTCAAAGCAATTATTGTGCAACCTCATCTTTTCCAATGAATGCAGCCATCGGGTCATCGGCAGCAAAACGACTTCGTTTGTATGACTCGAGCTCCTCTTCATTGATTCCAGATTGGATCTCCATAAGCGTTCTCTTTTTCCCCGAGCTCGAGGCATTCTTGCGCTCGTTTTGATCATCTGTATCGCGGGGTTCATGAGAGCCATCGCCTTCTTCGGGCCTATCTGACAGCTCTTCAGCTTCGTCTTTAGCCGGCGGCAGCATCAGCAGGTTGTCAGTTTCCAGGAAAGCCTTCTTTCCATCTTCTCCCGTACAGTAACTGTTTTTCACAATCGAGAAACAGCATGCGTAACCCCAGTCGAAATTATGCCACCAACTCCCCCAGACACTCGTGTGGTTGTTGCTGAAAATATCTTCTGGGTACTTCGATTTGGCTGCTTTCTTGGGTGCGCCCTTGATAGCACCCGTCTCATCGTATTCGACAAACTTCTCATTTTCGACGACCATCGCATCTCGTAGCGGCGTCGGCGCCATATGTTCCTCGCCACCATATTTCGCTAGGAGGGCTTTGCGCTGCGCTTGGCGCTTGCTTTCGCCTTCCGCTTGCGTCTTCTTGCGCATGACCTCTCCTGACGTTGGGTTCGCTTGAAGATGAACCTGCGGCTTTCCTTGTTCTTGCGACTCCCAAGCGTACCGTTGCGCCCTCTCAAACTCTGCGGCATCACCCGAACTGCGAACGAAATTCTCCTCCGCCACTAGCGCTGCAGCATCGTCCTCTGAGGCACCCCCATCGACCATTCGCCGTGTCTTCGGATCGTACTTGGCCGAGTCGAGATCGAGGTTCAGCAGGTACTTCGCAGTGTCTTCTCGAATACGTAGGTTGCGTGTCGCCGTGCTCTGTTGTCGTCCCATGTCCGATTCCTCTGCATAGCGGGCTTCTTCATTCTTCTCTTCATCATCATCCTCGTCCTCCCCACGCTCCGCTTTGGTACTCTGTTTTATATCCTCCATTTCTTCGTATTCCTCGACAACTTGACGGTATTCGGTCGGGTCATAGCCGTTCCACCGGTCTCTTTTCGCATCCCACCCGAGCTCCACGTCCTGTAACACTTCATCTGCCTCAATATTTTTGCCAGTCCATTTCGCACCTTGCTTCCGAGGTCGACTTAAGCATTCTTTTGTCTTATGGGTCATTGCGCCGCAGTTCTCGCAGGCGCCTTTTCGGTACTTGGTGGCTGCTGGGCCGGCGCGCTTGCCTCGATCGTACCATTTCGTGATGTCTGATTTCTCCGCCTTGTGTAGACGCTGATGCTCGAGGTAGTCGTTGGCTGTTGTTTCATCGTCGATATAGAACGGTTTCTTCGAGATGAAAGACGGAATGTACTCGTTGCGCTCCTTCGACGCCACATCCGCAGGCTTTCGCGACGACATTGTGGCGTGGGACAACGGTAAAGGTAAAAATAATGTGTTTCAATGGGTGAAAGAGTGTAATGTAAGAAATTTTCAAGGATATAACTCCCTTTCACGTAAGATAATCAAAAGTCTCGGAAGTCCGAAGTTGAAGCTGGCGATAACATCAGTGATACCCACGTGACCAGGCGTTCCCTTTCCGCGCTCCGAGGCGCGTCCACTATGTTGATGTTCGTGCACGTCATGCTTTTGGTCTAAGAAGAGGATCTTAGAATTGACAATATTGACGGATTCGTGCGAAGTTATTGCTTAAACGGAAAATTATATTTGCGACATGTTGATGGTAGCGCTGGTTGTCCTGACGCCCACCGATGGAGCCCTTTCAAGTGCGCCTCAACTGCGTAGATCACTACCAAGCAGCCCCGTCAGAATTTGATCCTCCTCTACAATATGGGAACGAAAATTTTGGCGAAGACAACAAGTCGAAAGTACCTGTCATCCGGATCTTTGGGGCCACTGAGACCGGCCAGAAAATCTGCGTTCATGTGCATGGCGCTTTCCCATATCTATACATCGAATATGATGGGTCCCTGTCATCTGAAGAAGGTTGGTTTCACGCGCTTCGTGGGTTTAATTGGACTTAGAGCTGAATGTTCATGAAATACAGTGAGTTCAACTATTCGAAGTCTTCATCTGTCGATCGACCACGCGCTGGCAGTGAGCTATCGTCGTAATGACAAAGGTGAAAAAGCTGCATTCGTTGCTCATGTCACCCTGGTCAAAGGTATTCCGTTTTACGGGTACCATGTGGGATATCGGTTTTTCTTCAAAATATATCTCCTGAATCCTCTATACATTACTCGATTGGCAGATCTTCTACTTCAAGGCGCGGTGATGGGGTGCCCATTTCAGCCATACGAGAGCCATATGCAATATATCCCCCAATGGATGTGCGACTATAACTTGTACGGATGTACATATATAAGATGCAACAAAGTCAAGTTTCGCTCTCCTGTCCCGGACTACCTCGAACTCACTGATTTGTCTCATCGTTGGCATGACCGGTCAATCCAACCTGAGAGCATATCAGACGAAACGGTTCTTCCAAAGCAAAGCCATTGCTTGTTAGAAGCGGACATCTGCGTACAGGATATATTAAATCGCATGGATATCAAGGAAAGACCCATCCACCATGATTTTACCGAGATGTTCAAACCCGTGGCTTCTACCGAGCGGCTGGTTCCGAGCATGGCTGGCCTGTGGAAAGAAGAAACCCGAAGGCGAAAGAAGCGTCTTGGTGTTGATGAGCCGGGAAGTAGCCCATTTGGCCCTGAAGAGCTTATTTCGATGTCGGCCGATCCACGAAGCAATAGTGATGGAGGTTGGATTCATGAAGAGGAATTTCGCGAAATGGTCCTTCAAAGTGCTGCCGAGGAGAAGCGTCATAGCGGTGGTAAAGAGGTCAACTTTGAAAACTTCCTTAAGAAGAATCCTTTTGAGGATAGCGTTAAGACTGCGCTAGAAAGCATAGAAGACTTTTTTCCGGAGAAACTTGAGCAGTCGAGCTTCGAGATGTATCAAGCTCGCAACGAAGGCGGGCGATGCGATGTGGAAATTTCTGTGGATGAAAGCGCGATCCTGATATCTCAGCGTGACGGGGATCATTACAGCTCAGATGGAGATCTTACTGACAAATTTGATGAAACTGGCGAAGCTGCTGATCCCTTTGATGATGAGCTTGGTGGTGGGCCTTTTGACATGAGTTTTCAGACCCTCAAAGGACAGCAAGGCTTAAATAAAGAGGACTTTCCTCAAGTTGATCACAAGGACTCCTCAGAAGACCATCTTGGCGAAATTTCCGAGCCAGAAAGCGAATTAGAGCGCAGAAATACCAACAGTGATCCTCGGAACGCAACCCTTAAACGGCCACTATTTGTAAGGATTGATGGCGAAACCTCGCGCAAAAGACAAAGAACTCCGAGGGAGCAGCACCTACACAGTTCACAGACATCTTCATTCCAGGATCGCCCACAACCGGCGAACTCAGCTACCCAGGACGTAAATGGCACCATTGGCTGTGCACCTGGCACACAGGATCGTAAACTGACACCTCGATCAAAACCATCCGCCCAAACTGCCAATCGACCTAAAGGGTCCACGCAAGATAGCAGACTCAACTTTCCGGTTGTAAAGAATGCTAATAATCCCAGATCAGTTTTGCAAATCAGCCAGGAAGGGGATTTTACTCCAAAAGCAACAGCGGACACCCTCACGACTCGGGAAAGCCCAATATCGTCCAAAACTGTCGCCAAATCTTCTCGAAAAGCGCACACAGGGACATCTTCGCAGCTGCAATCATTTTCTACGGATACTTGCTCAGAAATCTATAGCTCGCCCGTATATGAGCTCGCATCGAATATTCACCAGTCGTTTGACATTCCCCCCGAAACACGGATATGCTGTTTTCGAGCTCCTTGTCCCACTCCCGATGAAGTCTTATCAACGCTCAATGATTATGGTTATCCATCTGCCATCTACCAGAAAGCCTATTATAGCGATGAGAAGGATGTGCCTGACCGACCACGCGAATATGCGGGCCGTGAGTTTCGCCTGGAAGGGAGCAGCATACACTACCTTCCAGACTTTGATCCTTCAGGGAAATCTCCAGCGATGCTTGGCGAGTACGGTGCCGTTTCAGTTGATCGGGATAGCCAAGGAGTGGTCGATCAGCAACTACGGGAATCCACTTCCTGTAGAGTCTGGGAATTTGCGCCTGTTCCACCCAGACGCTCGGAGGTCGTGGAATGGTTTGAGAATATGATGACCGATTTGAAATCTCAACCATTACAAACAAATGAAGCCGGGATCGAATCAAACCTGAAACCTAATGTACTTTCCCAAATTGAGGGTCCCACGCAAAAGGACCATAGCACCAAATATCCTTCCAAAGGTCAGTCTACATGCGTGGAACACCAAAATCAATTTATGAACATAATGAGCCTGGAACTCCATGTGAACAGCCGTGGGTTGCTTTCGCCAAACCCCGAGGAGGACGAGGTTTCGTGCGTCTTTTGGTGCATCCAGTCAGAAGATGAGGACCTTGACCCCAACGGTAACATCCCTGGCGTCCATGTGGGAATGATATATCAAGGAGAAGGTGAAGTACCAGAGACAAAGATTGTTCGGGCTTTGAAAATCGAGACGGACAGGCAAACCACCGAACTTGACCTTATCAACCGGGTGGTGGATGTCGTCAGATATTACGACCCAGATATCATCACCGGGTATGAAGTCCACAATAATTCTTGGGGCTACCTGATCGAGAGAGCACGGAAGAAGTACGATTTTGATCTATGCAATGAGCTATCGAGGGTGAAATCTCAAGCCCACGGAAGATTCGGCAAAGACAGTGACCGCTGGGGCTTCAACCACACCTCTTCAATCCGAGTAACAGGTCGGCACATGATCAATCTCTGGCGAGCTATGAGGAGCGAGCTTACCTTGCTGCAATACTCGATGGAGAATGTTGTATTCCACGTCCTGCAGCGCCGGATACCTCATTACTCATTCCGAGACCTGACAGCATGGTACCAGAGCGGGAAACCCCGTAACCTCATGAAACTTGTCAGTTACTACGCATCTCGTGTGCAAATGAACCTAGAGATCCTGGAGTCAAACGAATTGATAACACGAACCAGCGAACAAGCAAGACTGCTGGGCGTCGATTTCTTCTCAGTCTTCTCCCGAGGTTCACAGTTTAAAGTCGAATCTCTGATGTTCCGAATCGCAAAGCCTGAGAACTTCATGCTTGTCTCTCCGAACAGGAAGCAAGTCGGTCAACAAAATGCGCTTGAATGTCTCCCATTGGTTATGGAGCCTCAGAGCGACTTCTACACAAGCCCTCTCGTTGTACTTGATTTCCAATCCCTATATCCTAGTGTCATGATCGCGTATAATTACTGTTACTCAACCTTCTTGGGAAGAGCACGTCAATGGCGAGGTCGGGATAAGATGGGCTTCATGGACTACGGACGACAACCACTACTTCTGGAATTACTCAAGGACAAGATCAACATTGCACCAAATGGCATGGTCTACACAAAACCCGAAGTGCGAACATCCCTCCTCGCAAGAATGCTCACGGAGATCCTGGAAACTCGCGTGATGGTTAAAACGGGCATGAAACTGGACAAAGACGACAAAAAATTACAACGTCTTCTCAACAACCGCCAGCTAGCTCTCAAGTTGATCGCAAACGTCACATACGGTTATACCTCCGCCTCGTTCTCGGGCCGCATGCCCTGCTCAGAGATAGCAGACAGCATCGTTCAAACTGGACGAGAGACACTCGAGAAAGCCATCGCCCTGATACACTCCGTGGAAAGCTGGGGCGCTGAGGTCGTCTACGGAGATACAGACAGTCTCTTCGTTTACCTTAAGGGCCGAACACGCGAAGAAGCCTTCGACATCGGCGAAGAGATAGCAAGAACCGTCACTGACATGAACCCACGTCCTGTGAAACTAAAGTTCGAAAAAGTCTACCATCCATGCGTTCTCCTGGCCAAAAAACGCTACGTCGGGTTCAAATATGAACACCGCGACCAGAAAGAACCCGAGTTCGACGCAAAGGGCATTGAAACAGTGCGTCGCGACGGTACACCAGCGGAACAAAAAATCGAAGAAAAAGCCCTCAAAACCCTCTTCCACACTGCAGACTTAAGTCAGGTCAAGAGCTATTTCCAGAAACAATGCATGAAGATTATGCAAGGCAACGTCTCCATTCAGGACTTCTGTTTCGCAAGAGAAGTACGACTCGGGAAGTATAGCGAACGAGGCCTCCCTCCGCCCGGTGCACTCATCAGCACTAAGAAGATGCTCGAGGACCCGCGCCTCGAACCTCAATACGGAGAACGAGTTCCCTACGTCGTCGTCACTGGTGCTCCAGGGTCAAGACTAATCGACAGATGCGTGGCGCCCGAGACCCTCCTAAACGACGCCCAAGTAGACCTCGACGCGGAATACTACATCACAAAGAACATCATCCCACCTCTCGAACGGATCTTCAACCTCGTAGGCGCCAATGTCCGCCAGTGGTACGACGAAATGCCCAAATTCCATCGTATCCGCCGTGTCGAAGGAATTCCAAATGCACCCTCATCTTCATCCTCATTAACTCTACCACAAACAATCGGCAAAACCCTCGAATCCTACATGAGATCATCCCTCTGCTTCGTTTGCAAAACCAACAAAATCTCCGAATCGACTAATGCCAGTCACAAGAACCTCCCGCTTTGTAACAACTGCCTCCAAACACCGCACATCTCTCTCTTCGCTCTGACTTTGCGCAGACAAGTATCCGAGAAGCGCGTTCTGGATCTTCATCGTATCTGTCGTTCGTGCATGGGCGTTTCTTTTGGTGATGATGTGAATTGTGACAGTAAGGATTGCCCGGTTTTTTACTCGAGGACAAGGCATATGGCGAATTGGAGACACGCGAGGGTAGTTTTGGATCCGGTTGTGAAGGCGTTGCAGGATTGGGGCGATGATGATTTTGTTGGGAGTGAAAATGGGAGTTTGGATTGGTAGAACAGTGTTTCCCCTACATATCTTGGGCTATATTGGTATATGAGTGACAGGCGTTTGTTCAATCTTGGTTTTTGGCATCTGGCCATTGGATTGGAATTGACATATTAGATTTCTGGGGTAACAATTGTCTTCGTATACAAATAATACACAAACTATGGATGTTTAAAATGCCAACTGCAATAAAAGTACTTCATCTTTATTCTATAATAAACCTATGGATATGTCCTCAATTTTGTTATAACAAAACAAGCAATAACAAAGGAAAGACATAAGAAAGAAAAAGAAGAAGAAAAAGAAGAAGAAAAAGAAGAAGAAAAAGAAGAAGAAAAAGAAAAAGAAAAAGAAAAAGAAAAAGAAAAAGAAAAAGAAAAAGAAAAAGAAAAAGAAAAAGAAAAAGAAAAAGAAAAAGACAATGACGAGGAAAATGAAGAAGCCAATGCCAGATTGAAATGCCAGTACATACATGGTAACTTCCCCCTCTTTCACCTGTTTTAGAAGCCAAGTAGTGCGTTGAGCTTGTCGACCGGATCAGGCTCTAGATCTCTTTCGTCCTCCACGATTTCAGTATGTTCTGTTTCTGTGCCCTCGATGACATTCTCCGTGATACCCGCCTTCTCCAAATCGTGCTTCGGCGATGCTGCTGCCGCCGCTGTTGTTGTTGCTGGTTCGTCGCACCCGAGATTCAAGTTCTCAAGTTCAAGTAGATTCGAACACATACCAAGGTCCGCATTAACTTGAGAGGTGATCGTCGGTGGCGATTTCGAGAATCCGAAGTCAATCAGTTGATTTACAGATGCAGAACTTTCTTGCACCCCAGGAGCCGGACATTTGATCGTGGGTGATGGATCGTCGGGAAGATGGTTGTTACCAGTGAACAAGCCGAATGGGTCCGATTGAATTGTTTCGGTGGCATTGACTTTCTGGACATCGGATTCCGGTTCGGCGACCGTGTCATGATTATCTGAGTTAGGGCTCGCCTCTTCGAACAAATTCTGATCTGATTTTTCGGTAGGTTTCCCTGGCGACTCGTAATGACCCAATGCTATCTTTCCAAGAATATGCGGTAATAGCCACGGGAAGCTGATGAGAGGCAATTTGTCCATCTTAGGTGCTGATCTACGGAAAAGCCTCTCATCCGGTGGATTCTCCTGGCGATGCTTGCTTAACGCTGCAGCCATCTCCTCATGCGTGATTCGATACATAGCTACGGCCAATGGTGCCAGTTGTTGGAAGTTGCGTCCACCGACCTTCTCATAGCACTGTTTGCGGTGCATCTCCCGAAGTGATACTGAAATAGTTCCTAGCTCTTCGTGAAACTTATAATCCTTGCTCATATTCGCATGGCTCAATACGAAAGTAGACCAGACCTCGAATTCGGTTTTGATTTCATGCTGTGCCATAATACGACGCATTGCCGAGTCGTATTCGTACTTGAGCTTCTTGGAAAACTTCACCAAGTCTTCGGTAACTTCTAGATCACAATCTAGAATCCGTTGATCAAATGAGAGTTCAAGGCCAGGAACAAAGTCAACACGTTCCACTGCATCGTAAAGCTGACCAAGGATTTTCTTCGAATGGTAGATCTGCTCTCTCGGCTTATGCCGTTTCTCCATGAAATGAGGCCACTTCTTCGGCTGTAGGGTGCGCACCATATTTGCCGGATTCCCCGTTTTGTTGTAGTCGACTGCATCAGAGTGAAGCTGTGCAAGCTGCATGCACTTGTCGTTGTCGACACCTTCTTCGAGATAATCAGCCCAAGCAAGATGGGCATGCGCGATCCGAGGGAGACAGTCATTCTTCATGTAAGTAACGAAGAATGAAGTTATTTCGCCCACTGTCACGTCGTGGTCAAGGTCTCGAGCCTTATTACTCGCATAATTCATTGGCTTACGAAACCAATCGTCTGGTACCAGTTCCTTGTCCCAGATTACCAAATAGTCATCTCCATCGAGGTCACCTCCAGAACACATACTTGGAACGTCCCGATCTCCGGTTTGAGGCATGACGACCACATTTTGAAGATGACTTAACTCTGGAACATTGATTGCTTTGACGACACGAATGTCTCCAGGATGAAGGGATGGATTTCGAGCCAGGATACAGACGCCTTTGATTACCTCGTACTTCCCGCCTTTGTCAGGTCGTGAAACTTGGAGGAAAATTTCCGGCAAAGCAGCCAATTTTTCTTCATATGGGGCATCCTTTGACGGTATGGCATTATGAAAATAACCCTTAAGAGTGCCCGTTTCGTCCATACAGCCAAGTACAGAGGCACCTTGGTCAACCACAATCTTTGCCTTCTCTTTCAAATATTTCAGATGCCAGGCCCGCCATAGTCTCAAGATTGATGTCAAGAATGGCTCCTGTGACTTTCGGAAACCATCCAGCACCATTTGGCTCACAGTGAGAGTCATCTGATTCGGATCCACGTATTTCTTGAGTAAGTAGATAGCCTGGGGATCACTTGTCATGGCCTCATCGAGGCCCTTCAACATGGTTCGCAGCCTAGCATGGAACACCTCGTCTCGAATACCAAGCGTCGACAAGACAATGATCAATTGCCTGTTGAGTGTTGCCAGGGAGAACTGTGACCAGCGAATAATTTCTAGACCATTGTGGGCCGCGGTAAACTTGTCCTGGCTGTTGCGGATGTGTACTTCCTGGCGTTGGGCTTGTGAAGAAACTGTGAGCATTCCCTTGCTTCCTCCCAGACGGAACTGGAACGCTGAAGGTACATCGCCTGTAAGGGTTCTGATCTTCAATTCTGATGTGGCCATTTGAGCGAGAAATTTGGAGATCCGACCGACACCATCCGAAAAGTTGTATCCGTTGCGAACGACATCATCGATCTTACGAACTTGGACGGGACATCCAGCAACGGCCCGAGTAGTCGAGAAGCATTGCCCTAACCTTGCGGCATATTTGGCAACATTTCTGATGTCGTTGAAATGCCCCATCCATGCACGAATATTGGAGGCTGTGAGGTTCGGCAAGGGCGCAAAAAAGTAAGCACCGTGTTCGCGGAATTGAGAGTTTCCGAAGGCGAGAAATTCGTAATGTCTATCACCTATCGTGATACCGTTGGCCAAGGTACGCTTAACCCGGGTAAATACTTCGTTCATCGTATTATCATTTGTTGAATTTATTCGACCGATCAACTTCTCATCCGTGAATCGAACGCGGAGGAAACGATCAGCATATTCGATGAAGTATCGAATGACGCGATTCGAAATGTCGACAGTTGGAGTGCTGTAGTAAATGGTACTCGGAGTTATTCTGGCAGAGCGCATATAACAACAATAGGGCGGTATCTTAGCATTGGTCACTCCTCGGATAAATTTGAGATCAAATATCTTCATTGGATCGTGGAAGACTTCCTTTTTTGTCGCCACATGTTCCAGGAGCTTTCTGGCATCTTCCTCATCGAGCTCGAACAGCTTAGATGCAAACTCCCGTGGCATAGTGAATTCCGAGAGGTACCCATTCGAAAGACAGACCTCGAGCTGGTACCGAACAGAGAAGGGAAGATTGATATAGTCTTCATCAACAAGGTCATCCAGTGACGACGACGAAGCTCTGTTTCGTGATTCCGATAGATCTATCCATCTCCAAATAGGCGGGCTTTTTTGCTGGGCACTGTCACACTGAGTAAAACAGTCTGTATCCTTGATTGTCACATTGTAGTCTCTCAGGATATTACAAACCAGCATCAGGTTCCCATTGTCGTTGGAATTCTTAGGATACATAATCTTGAAGGCATTCCAGCGTCCTGATGTCAAATTATCAGCCTACAGACCCTAAGAACGAAGCTACCATCTTACTTACCGATGTCAATTACAGGGTTTTGCTTCCGTAGACTGGTAGGTAAAGTAGCTTGTGCCTGGGGGTTGTGGACCACGTGCGTTTGGCGGTACCAAGTGTCTCCATCCCTCCAGGAAGTTTCATCAACGAATGTGCTCTGGATATTCTTGATGCGTCGATGATAGATTGCAGGGGATTCCAAAAACGTAAAGTGAGACGTGCATTCGGACGCTAGATCATGAGTTTGGAAGATCCTCGTCAATTGGGTGAAAGGGATTTTGAGACGGTACTCTTGATATACGTCCGCAGATGAAGTCGGCTTGTATATGGAATTGAAAATCGGGAGTTGAAAGTAGACAAATAAGGCCCTGCGTTTCAGGTCGAGAACTAGGGACGGTTGCTCATTACGTCCAGTCCCAACAGTGCGCATTGGTAGCATCGTGGTCTCATTAATAAGAACTCCGATATCCAATGACACGATTGGTAGGTTCTGTGAAAGAGATCAGCATGCTGACAGCTTCGGGGTAGGAATTGAACCAAACTTACAACTTCCATTGGAAAAGAGAGGTTGTGCTGGACTAAGCTGGGTATACGATATAATTGGTGCTTTCTATCAAGCCTAATAAAGATAGTAGCTGGTTGGCCATCGGAGAGGGTAATTGTGTAGGTATTCGCTCTCCAGAAATCCGTATGAGGTGCAGGTCTGTCAAACAGTTACATGTTAGTTGAGACGTGTCGCAAAGAAAGAGAGAGAAAAAAAAAAAAAAAAACAAATAGAAAGAAAGAAAGTGGAAGAAGCGCAAATAGAAGTGGTCAAGCTCACTTGAACCGAATCTTCCCTTTAGAATCCCTATTACCGTGAGTATCCGTAAAGAGGTCAATCGAAAAGATATTACCCTCTTTTTTGAACGCCTTCCAGATAGTGAACGTGTCGGCCTCCAGAGGAACATTCGCGAGAATGACAGCCACCGTCTCCCAGTGCTTCCACCCGGGAAGTAGCTGAGAGGAGGGTTGTTCTTCTATCTCTCTAGGATGAGTAGTAGTATCAGAAATGGTGGTATTAGGAGGAGGATAACGAGGAGGAAGAGTGTGAGCAAGAGGAAAAGCCGCAGCAGTTGTCATTGTCATCCTTGTATCCGCCGTTCTAAAATATCGCCTTCTGCTCTTGCCCCTGCCCCTGCCCCTGCCCCGCGAGAAGGATGGGTTGTGACCGCGAGGAGGCAGAGTCAGCATATTCGCATTCCCGCCAATGAGGACTGGCTTTTCTGAGGTATCGATGAGCGGCGAAGGAGACGAAGGTGGGTATGAAGAAGAAAAGGTAGAATAATCATCCAACGGCGAAGAAGATGAAGGAGAAGAGGGGGTAAGGAAGCCAGATGGTGCGGGTGAATTGACACGAGAACCGACAGTCTGATGTAGAAAATTGCCCTCGGATCTTCCTCGTCTTGCATTCCTTCGCCGAGAAGGATGTGAAGGGAAAGAAGAAGACGAAAAACCGGAGGAAGAGGATGAAGAAGCAGAGCTCTCTGTGCCCATGGCCTCATGAGCTGCTGGATAGTGGTGAATGACAGGATAGTCCTTTTCATTCACCTTGTCTGTCTCCAGCGCTTGCTCATGGGACTCCAACCGCTGCCGCTGCATCTTGGGGTTTCTGTAAGCGCCTCGACCGCGCTTGTTTTGGTTGTATCTCATATTATTCTTTCCTTTCCCCTCCATTGCGACCAGTGATTTAATGATTGCCGTGTAATTGTATCAAAACAAAACAGAGCTCAGTGCTTCGCAAGGTATATATAAAACCTATAGTCTGTAGAAAGAAACTCAGACACGTTCCTGAAGAAAAAAGCAATATGTATGTAGGTTATGCATGGTGTCCAAACCTATTTTTTTTTCCACTGCAGCAGCAGTCTGATCGGTCTTACAGGCCATTGTGGATGGCTTCTTGCAGCGGGAGCTTGAGATAGGCAAGAGAATGTCCTAATGGTCCCCAATGGACAGAAGAGACAAAGGAACAAAAACAGGAATGAAAACTAATGATCCTTCAGATGTAAAGAAAACATAACAGACATTGACAGTTCATCTTACACTAAAAAAGGTGCTTGTCATGCAAAATAAATTATACACATTAAATCGGACGTGGCACATATCATGGCGACCCCGGGTCATTTGCGTCTGATAGAGAAGTACTCGTAAAAAGGAAATCCTTGGTGAATTCCACATCTATATCCAGGTCAAGCTCTTGAAGTTTGTTCCTATTGATATCGACTTGGCTCTCCGGAAATTGATTCTGGCCCTGCGACTGCCTAGGAGTCCGCTGCGATGCTGCTTGAGAATTTTCGTCAATGTCGTGCTGAGGTCTGCGTTCACGTTGCGATAGACTGGTGCGGCTTCGGGAAAGTAGGGCGTTTGGTGTTGGGTCGTGGTTACGGTTACACGGCGCAGGGGTCAAATCCAACGGGATTGAATTTCCCCGTAGTCGCTTGGGGCTACGACCGTTGGGGTTGGGGGTTTCGGAAGCAAAGGAATCGCCGAACAAATGGTCGGCCTGGGCTGGAGCTCTATCGTCGTCCGGGTTGATTGCTCGCTGCATCGGATTAATCTGCGTGGGCTCCAAAGTGGATTGAGATCGCTGTTGTTTGCTAGACGCTTTGGTCTCTGCAGAGTCGGGTTTGAAACCCATCACCGTCATGAGACGACCAATGTGCTCCTGCGCCACGGAGAATTCGCGGGCCTTGGAGGCACGTTCATCCCGCAATGATTGTATCTAAAATACGCATCAGCTTGGAGTTTTTCCGCAATTGAAAGATGGAAGATTGCCTTTCTCTCCAGGTGACGGATCCGCTTGTCCTTTGTTTGTAGCTCAACTGTGGCATTGGATGCGGCAGTCTGCATAGACTCATGCAAAGCTTTGTTGTCCTCTCTTTGTTTGACATTCTGTTGGTACAGACGAGTCAGCCAAGGCTTAAAAAGAAGAAAACAAGAGAGAAAAAAAAAGAAAGAAAGCAAATGATGTTTACCTCTGCACCGGCTTCAGAAAGCTGCATTTCATATTGCTTTCCAAGCGCGTCTACCTCACTCCTGAAATGGACTTCAGCGTCGCGAAGTGTGTCTCTCAGCTTGTCGGATTCAGACATTTCGCTCCCCAACTATACAGAGCGTTAGCATGCCACATTTTATTTGTTTCCAGATGCAGAGATTAGCATTACCTTCTGTTGTAGACCCTCCATCTCCGAGCTCATATGCTCCTTGCTAGCCACCAGACGGGAGATTTCCTCATCCTTTTGCGCCGCAAGTCGCTGGTTCGATACCGAAAGACCTTCAAGTCTAAAAGACTCTTTTCTCAATGAGGCGACAGTTTCTAAAGTGGTGCCATTGTCCTTAGAGACCAAATCGAGGGTTTTCCGTAACTCCTCATTTTCCGCTCGTTGTTCATGGTTCTCTACTTGCAATTCTTCGAGCAAGTCTTCTTTTTCCGCCAAGGTGGCCATAAAGTCGAGTTCTTTCGTCCGTGCCTTTTCCTTTTCACCCCGGCTTGATTCCTCATAGCTGTGTCGCTGGTATTCCAGTTTCTTTTGTGCAGCCTCAAGACTGGTAGATAACTCCTCGACCCTCGTAGATGCAGCTTCTGCATGGCCCTCGAGATAGGACATACTCTGTTGCAGATCACTTATCGTACTGAGGGCCTGCTGGAGTCGAGTTTTCAGCTCAGAGTTTTGTTGTAGCAACTGCTCTGCTTCGGAAGATGCCTTATCCCGTTCTTCCTCGACCACTCTGAGCGGTGTTTCCGAATTATAGCACCGATGCTCAAGGTCGCGACAAACCTCTTCGACCTTCTTCATTAGGCCATCGTGCGACGCACGAGTACTAGACATGAGCGTATCCGATACCTCTGCTTTCCAGTCACGTCTTAGATTAGACGACACTTGGCGGGGTTCGAGGTAAGAGAATTTGTCACGGGCATCGGAAGGCTTGACGGTAGCGAGAAGGCACTTTCTTTCACACGTGGTATTCTTGACCCGAGACGCGAATTTAGAGATGATGCTGGCTTCTACCCGGCTTGCGCCGCTATCATCCACATTCTGTGACATAGAAGCGCGGCAGTAAAGATCGAACAGATCAATAAACAACCTGTTTTCAGCTGTTGATAGTGCAGCATAGCATGCCTTTGTTTCATTACATTGCGACTGGCGAGGAGATCGTGGGAAGCTCTCGATCAACTCCCCCATAGAGTCCCTTACCAAAGCAAGAAAGACTTCTGTCATAACACGAGGCAAATGAGGTTCTGAACTTTGCAACCCATAAAGGATAAAGGTCGCTATTTGTATTGTGGTCATTTCCGGAGTAGGTGACTTCAAGGCAGAAAGCACGTAGTTCAACGAATCATTGATTGCGGATTTCCCAGAAGAAACCTGAAAGTGTCAGCGAAATGCATAGCCAATCGCGAGCGAAAGAAGACATACGGCATTAGCTTCCACCAAGCGTGGGATAAGCCCAAATGGTATAGCTTCCATAACCCGAAAGCTATCCGTTGGCAACAGCCCTTGCAAACCGAGTGCGAGTATCTGGGGGGGTAGAGTATTTGTTGGCAAAAGGGATATGAGAAACATTACACCCTGCTATAGTTAGTTGTGCCCATTCGCGTCATTTGCTATTTACCATACCATCATCTGCACCTCATAATTGATCCCGTCCCTTGTCACCTTTTCGCAAAGTTTCGCAATCTTGGACGCATTTCCGGAGATCCACACCTGCTTCTGCTCGGGCTCAACAGTGTCGCAGACTGCAATAGCCAACTGTACACTCTCTGCTGCCTCGTTGGGAACCAAATTGTTGCAGTTAGCAGAGCAAGCAAGAATCACTCGCAAAACAACCAGATCTAGAGTTTTGAGGCCGCGCTTGGGCCCAAAGAAATGTCTGACATGGTGGAGCCAAGATGGCGGTTGAAGTCCGTGTTCGTGTTCTTTGCCAGGGTTATGCGATGAAGCGATACATGCGAAAGTGGATAGACAGAGCAGGTTACCCATGTGGTCATCCATGTTGCGCAGCGTCTTGAGGAGCTCTCCTTGGAGCGTGGACATTGTTTCAACGGGGATGTCATAGAAAGTTCCGGGTGATGTTTTTAATCCAGTCAATAGTTTATTGATTGGTCGAATGGTATCCGCATTTGGGCACTCTGCCATGCGATGAACTAATTTTGTGATAAGACCGGCAAGACGCGCTGGTCCGGTGAAACCCGAGGGAAGAGGCGAAGACAGCAGTGCCGTACACGTCGAGAGGTACTATCTTTGTGTTGGTATCAGTTCAAGGAACAGAGAATGAAGAACTGACCTTTGAGTCCTCAGGTTCGATGGCCTTTTGGAGGAGTTGGTCCAGGATCGCTGGATATCGCTCCAACAAGGCATCGCGGAATGCTGCTACCGGTGCTATAAAAAAGAGTCAGATTGTATAATAGAGATATTTATAGTACCATGTATATCTCACCAAAGATGCTTATTAGTTCTAATGCGACGTTCGAGTAAGATAGCCCGTCAACAAGGACGTCGACTAAAGCCGCAACTTGGCATGGTTTGCAAGATGACCAAGAACTAATTACCGAGAAAGGGACGTTGCAGACAATGCTGTAGAGGTCCTAATATAATTTCCTCTTCAGCCTACTGAATTGAGGCGCAGAAAAGCGATTATCTGCTGGTAGACTGACCTGAAGAGAGGGCACGTAAGAAGCCGTCACCACGCGCTCCACCTCGCGTACCAGAGAAATTAGTCTGTTCTGCATGGCTTTCACAATCGCCAGTCTTTGTGTACAATGAAATTTTTTAATATTCTCGATTCATAGGCCAGGAGTGCATCATATTTGTCGACTTGAGCTTCAGTTTGAGTGAGTGAAGATGGAGGTTTGGTCTGCCGCTGGTTACCCCATCAACAGAACCGAATCGAATCAGCTCTTCTACAATTGAGCCTCCACGACTACAAACTACAGTAGGATTATAGTGGATTGGACATTGAACATATGTTATGAAATTGAAATACAAGTTTCTATCATTGATTAACGAAAAAGGAAAGGAGAGTGTATCGATGTTCACTATTCTCCCACTATCGGACCTTGGGCCGACTCGCACATACTCCTCAATGAAGCGGAGATGCGGACCGCAACGACCGTACTTGTATTCAGGATGAGCGAATCTCAGAGGATGAGATGGTTCTTTTTATCCGAGTTTCTTCTCGGGCGAGTTCCGGATTTCTCATATTTAGCCTGGATGGCGCTGCAGGGAAGTGTTTAGCCCGAGCACAGCAGCGACTGATCTAGCAGAATCTCGCCATCACTTGAACCTCGCAGTTCAATTGACTTTCGTCTTTTGAATATTACCTGCTCAGAGTCTTCATGACGGTAGCATAGTTTATACCTTTTTCTGAAGACGTCTCATCTGCCCATTGAACTATGCGACTCCCCGCCGTTCCTCGGAGGCTTCCCCCGCATCTCCGTCTACTTTATCGCCAAACCCAGTCCACTCGCGTTGCTCGCCTGTACAGCTCGAGCACCAGCAGCGAAGGGAACGGCAACTACAAAGACTCTACGCGGTCAGAATCATCGACAAATAATTCCTTTTCTTTTTCTCCCTCCTTCTGGAATACGAAGACATCTCTCATCGCCGCTGCAGCCGCCGCTGGGCTTGGATACGGTTATGCGATCTTAAGCCAACCTTCGCAGTCGCAAAGCTCCAGTCCCTCACAGTGGCAAAGCGCCAAAGAACCTCAATATGGTTCGATACAGGATTTCGAAAAAGTGAATGGACCTCGCGATTAGCTGTATATCTTCGAAGGAAGCACTGCTGACGTATTTCGTAAACTAGGCCATTGCTGAACTACGATATAGACTAGGCGACGATGCGATTAGCACAGAAGAGGATGATCTGAAGCTTCATGGGTATTCGGAATGGTCCAGCGTAAATGCGGACCGTCTACCAGTTGCTATCGCCTATCCACAGACTACGGAGGACGTCTCGCAAATCGCGAAAATCTGCCATAAATACAAGATGCCCATGATACCATACTCTGGAGGATCTAGTTTAGAGGCCAATTTCTCCGCGCCTCATGGTGGCATGACGATTGATTTCGCATTCATGAACCGGATTCTCGAGCTGCACGAAGACGACATGGACATTGTTGTTCAGCCGTCCATCCAATGGATGGAATTGAATGAGAAAATCAAGGATAGTGGGTTGTTTTTCCCCGTTGACCCTGGTCCATCTGCAATGATCGGAGGTATGGTGGGCACAAACTGTAGTGGCACGAATGCTGTGCGCTATGGTACTATGAAAGATTGGGTGATCAACCTGACAGTCGTTCTGGCTGATGGCCGTGTTATCAAGACAAGAAGACGCCCACGCAAAACATCAGCGGGCTACAATCTGACTAGTCTGTTTGTGGGGTCTGAAGGCACACTAGGTATTGTTACTGAAGCCACTCTCAAACTGGCCGTCACTCCAGAGAAGACCCGCGTTGGAGTCGTCGCATTCCCTACCATGCGTGATGCTGCATCGGCCGCTATGCAACTCATTCGGAAAGGGATTCCAGTACAGTGCATGGAAATTCTGGACGACGTTCAGATGGACGTGATCAATCGGGCTGGGGGCACCAGACGTCCTTGGAAAGTCCTTCCAACGCTCTTCTTCAAATTTTCCGGGACCAATGCTGGAGTCGCAGACAGTATCAGCCTAACCACCGAATTAGCCAAAAGTAACAACGCCAATTCTTTCGAGTTCGCGCAAAATGAGCGAGAAGGCAATGACCTGTGGTCTGCGCGAAAACAGGCTTTATGGAGTATGCTGGCCTTGCGAAAGGAAGGATCCGAAGTATGGTCGACAGATGTTGCTGTCCCAATTTCCCGGTTGCCTGATATTATCGGTATGTTCATATAGACGAAGCTCTTTGTCCGCCTCGGCTAACGGACATAGATATATCCTCCAAGGAGATCGCCAGTCTAGGCCTTTTCGCCAGTATCCTCGGACACATCGGCGACGGGAATTTTCACTCAAGTATCATGTTCGACAGAAATGACCCCGCAGAACTAGCGCGTGTTGAGAAAGTCGTTCATGACATGGTTGACCGTGCTATCGAGATGGAAGGCTCTTGCACTGTATGCACCCGCTGTGAAACACAATGAAAAGTAGCTGACTTTCGAACTTATAGGGCGAGCATGGCGTTGGTCTAGGTAAGAAGGGATCCCTCAAAAAGGAATTGGGCCTCGATACCATCAACGTTATGCGCAGTGTAAAGACATCACTCGACCCACATTGGCTGCTCAACCCCGGGAAGATCTTTGATTTCGATGTGGAGTCATGATATGGCGTCTAGCGAGGAATGCTTCAAATTTGACCAACATTTGAGACCATTATTTTGTACGATATAAATTGGTATCTAGCAATACATTAGTAGAGTACGGAGGAGTACTTGTAAGTCGCCAATAAAGGAGCGAAGCCGTAGTAAAATGCCGTAACAGTGGAGTATGCTGACCGGCCAATTATATGTGTTGTTATAGTTATTTTGAGCGCTGAGTCACCGCGGGACAAAGAGCGATATCGCAACTCGAGACTGAATCGCCACAAGTTATCGTTCTTCAACTTCTCAAGAAACCGTTAAAGTGGTAAGTAGCAGCAATTTGCCATGTTAGCATACGATTAAGAAGTTCTTTATTTGATCAGGATTCGGCGGTTTGCGCATTGGTATTGCCGGAATGACGAGACTCGCGCATTCGTCCCTTGCGGGGCAGAAAAATGTCGAGCCCTTGCTTAAGCCTCATGGCGAACTGATCGCAAACTTCCTTTCCTGACCGAATTGTTATCTTTTGGCCTACGTTGAATACTTGTGATATTTATTCAAGGATTCCAGGCTGACAACCAATATACAGTGACTTGACAAATTCAGCAAAATGTCGCCCACGATCACTAAGAAAAAGTGCGGTACGAATTCCCCTCGATTTTAGTACCTACCGTTCCCATTGCTTATGACGGACAGGTGTCCTCGGAGCTACTGGCTCTGTTGGCCAGCGATTCATCCTCCTCCTCGCAGAGCACCCTCTCTTGGAACTCCACGCCCTCGGTGCATCTGAGCGCTCTGCCGGCAAAGCATACAAGGATGCTGTTAAGTGGAAGCAGGCCAGACCTATTTCTGAGGCCCTGGGTAACCTTGTAATCCGCGACTGCAAGGCCGAGAGTTTCAAGGATTGCGATCTCGTCTTCTCCGGGTTAAACAGCGACATCGCCGGCGATACTGGTGAGTAGACGCCACACTCTAGAGGACGATGAAGACCGCGTTACTGACAAGTTTCACCGTCAAGAGATGGAATTCATCAAGGCCGAGATCCCCGTCTTCTCGAACGCTAAGAACTACCGCAAGCATCCCACCGTTCCTCTCGTCGTCCCTACCGTGAATCCTCAACACATGGACTTGATCCCGCACCAGAGACAACAGTTTGGTTTGAAGAAGGGATTCTTGGTTTGCAACTCAAACTGCGCTGTTATCGGTGTTGTTATCCCGTTCGCCGCCCTCCAGGCCAAGTTCGGCCCCGTCGAGGAGGTGGAAGTCTTCACAGAGCAGGCTGTGTCAGGTGCAGGATATCCTGGCGTTTCGAGCATGGACATCGTGGACAACGTCATTCCTTACATCAGTGGTGAGGAAGACAAGCTTGAGAACGAGGCGCAGAAAATCCTGGGTTCTCTGAACGCAGATGCTACCGCTTTTGAAGAGCAGTCCAGTCTGCGGATTGGCGCTACTTGCACCCGTGTGGGTGTTACCGACGGCCACATGGCTTTCGTTTCCCTGCGTTTCAAGAACCGTCAGGCACCAAGCGCAGAGGAGGTCAAGCAGGCTTTGAGAGAATACCAGTCCGAGGCCCAGAAGCTGGGCTGCCCATCTGCTCCTGAGCAGGCCATCAGAGTGTTCGATGAACCCGACCGTCCGCAACCAAGACTCGACCGTGACATCTCTAGAGGATACACTGTTAGCGTCGGACGTGTCCGTGATGGACTGCCAGGTGGCTACTTTGATTTGAGATTTGCTGCTCTCTCTCACAACACTGTCATCGGTGCTGCGGGATCGTCTATCCTCAACGCCGAAGTCGCTGTTATCAAGGGCTACATCTAAGTGATATCCAAAAAGTATAGATCTAGCAGTTTAGATGGCGTTAATTACCATTTCTTTTGTACAGCAAAGATTGACCATCGATAATCTCCTGTTTAGGTTAGCGTATATTACATAATCTTACAGGATCCATAGGAATAAGAGTCTGGATAGGTACTAGCGCTAGGGCTCACTCCACAAGCACTGTCCGCTAAGCGAGAATTGGATTATCAGCGCTGAACTCCCGACTCGGCCTGGTTTTTCCCATCGCGACACTACGACAACTAACCCGGTCAAGTCGACAAAGCAGTCAAGATGCCTCGCGGACCGTAAGTGACTACGCCATTCTCATGCAGACACGGGATTCGATTGCTTGGAAAAAAAAAAAAAAAAATTGGAGAAGAGCGAATTCGAATCGCCGTGGCCTGTAGCCATCGTCGCAAGAATCGAGACTGATATGATGAATTTTACAGTGTTAAGCACCAGAAGCGCCTTAGTGCGCCCTCGCACTGGCTCCTGGACAAGATGTCCGGAACCTATGCCCCCAAGGCCTCTGCCGGTCCTCACAAGCTCCGGGACTGCCTTCCCTTGATCGTCTTCATCCGTAACCGGTACGAATCGAGATCTCGCTGACAAGGAACTTGAATGAAGGGGGATGTGCGCTAACGCGTTTGGTCAAATACAGTCTCAAGTACGCCCTGAACGGTCGCGAGGTCAAGGCTATCCTGATGCAGCGTCTCGTCAAGGTCGACGGCAAAGTCCGCACCGACACCACCTACCCCGCTGGTTTCATGGACGTGATCTCCATCGAGAAGACCGGCGAGAACTTCCGTCTCATCTATGACACCAAGGGTCGTTTCACCGTCCACCGTATCCAGGCTGAGGAGGCCGAGTACAAGCTCGGAAAGGTCAAGCGTGTTCAGCTTGGCAAGGGCGGGATCCCATTCTTGGTTACGCACGATGCGAGAACGTGAGTGCTTGCTCTCTAAAAGTTCCGTGTCATTCAGTCGTTGGACCAAGCTTTGGTTGATCGGCGGAGGACGAAAAGAACTTGCAGTATTCCATTTAGGAGTTTTTACTGCGAAGATCAGTAAGAACTCTACACACCGGAACAAGTGATGCTAATTATGTGTTTTCTACAGCATCCGTTACCCCGACCCCGCCATCAAGGTCAATGACACCGTCAAGATTGACCTTGCCACTGGCAAGATCGTTGACTTCGTCCGCTTCGATACTGGTGTTGTTGTCATGTGTACTGGTGGTCGTAACATGGGTCGTGTTGGTGTCATCACTCACCGTGAGCGCCACGATGGTGGTTTCAACATTGTCCACATCAAGGACGCTGTTGAGAACACCTTCGCCACCCGTGAGTCCAACGTCTTCATCATTGGACAGGACAAGCCCTGGGTCTCCCTCCCCAAGGGCAAGGGTGTCAAGGTATGTTATTCTTCAATATCAAACCTAGAATATCGTAACTAACTATGTTTTAGCTCACTATTGCCGAGGAGCGTGACCGCCGCCGTGCCCATGCTATTGCTCAGTAAACTTACCATTAAATGTGGTACGGTGAGTGCATTCAGATGTCAAGATCTAAGCATTCTCCACCAAGTCCGCTGGGGAGACGGCGTCTTGTCTCTGCTTTGTGGGCCTATATGATGCCGGTTTACGACCAAAAAAGTCTTTCCTGCAGGACGCATAATAGGGTCCATTCACAGTTCCGTAGGAATAGATAGGGAAAAACAACGGGACGGAAGTCTTAATCTCAAAAGCTATGATACCACTTTGATCTCTCAGCGACTGAGTCATTTGCATGCTTGTTTTCTATCATTTACCCGTAACTTCCGTAGGGCAGCCGGACCGTCCGGACCTCACACTTGCGCTGCTAGCCCAGAGTTTGTTGTCGCCAGTCCTTTGAAGATCCCCGTATCCCTTCAGGCCTGAGATGCATCTGCTAGTATGGGGTTCCCTTCGATCACCATCTTACAACTCACATCACCAGATCAACCCAACAAAACCCCTTAGTTGGCTGGCTAAGCACGGCGTACAGCCTACTCATGTCCGCATCCATGTGGTCTGTCTCCAAGCCAATCCCAGCCGATATCATGGGGAAAATGGAGATAACCAATCAATTTTATTGAGGTGCAGCAGTCCCAAAGTATATCACTGTTTCAGCGCTCCGTATACGGAGTCTCTGTTACCGTCTACCAGGATCGAATCGCGACCCGTACCGGACCCGAAACACGTGTTTATCAGATTGAATATGATGCATTACCATTACCGGCAGCTGCTTGTACTCCGCCTTTTTATTCGGACTGGGTGCATTGAGATAGTACCGGGGTTGACGGTCGCTATTCGGTGTCGGGTATGAGCTGATTGCTGATTGCTGCTATTGCTTGCGTGGTTTATCCATGAGCCTTGTATGCATACTCGTGTATGTGCTCGTGTGGGACTGATCGATATGTTGAACTCTCCGTAGGAAAACGTAAAAGGTCTGAGGCATGAAGATGCTTGCTTTGTTTCATCGCCACTGATTGACTTTCCTAATGGACACGGAGTAATACTCCGTGACGGTTTTTAATATAAATTGTGATTAATAGTGTCGTCTATTATGATGATCTCACAATCCTGACCGACTACAATTTTTCTCCTCCACTTTGCCTGTATTGAGTCCTTTCGGGTTATTTTCTCAATGCAAATCGGGAGGAAGGAGCCGATCATGGTGGTTTGATACAACAAATGAAAAAAAAGTAGCAGTAGGATCAATTCAGTTGATCCCGTGGTCAGACAGGCTGTGGGGCGAGATGCGGAGTAGGGTGTATAACAGGTAGGCAAGCTGCAGTTCTATTGCAATACACAGTGGGGATATCCTCTCCCTAGCGGAGAAGGCCCAGCTGATTGATCGCATCGAGCAAACAGCGAACAGCAACGATTTTGACTCACTGCAGGGAATCTTCAGAAAACCTCACCCCACTCTTGCGCGGGATAGACGGAATCAAGATGAGACAGGGCTGCCTGCTGGTTATCCGGAATTTGCAAGATATACAAAAGGCAGCGTGCAGAAGATGGTCCATAGCTACTGCATTTACTACTGCACAGCACCAGCATACAACGCGAGGTCGGTGGGCGACCCCCCCGTCCGAACCGAGAGATTCAGCTTGAACGTTGTCTCCACCGGCATCACTTACACTCTTATACACATGGCTTCCTGCATATTTTGCTTGCTCACTGGGCTCTTGAGTGGCATGGTTGATACACAAGATAGACAGTCGACACGGGACCCGGAGTAATGGAATGACAAGGGCGATAGAGTCGAAAAGATTTTTCTTCTTAGGTGTCTTTGGCCTCAAGGCAAATCCTGGAACATGGCAGAGCACGCACAGACAGCGAACAACCAACCATTAATTTCCAGCTGGCCCATGATGAAATGCAGAGCGTGCCGATTTTCATACAAGACGGGCCCACTTGGCTAGATATTTGGAGAATCGAAAAAGAAAATTGGCAATCTCGGCATTTTAACGAGCGAGTCAATCCCGAGAAAGTCAATACCAAAGCCAGCAAACTCCGGACTAGTTGTGAGTCATCGCAGTCAGTCCGTGTTGGGATTCTAAATACGAGGGAGTACCGGGGAGGTAGTTTCTGAACCGCTTTGAGAGCACCGGATAAACAGGGAAAGCTCAAAAAAAGACAGAAAAAGGGATACGTTTCTCATATCCAATGAGCATCTGTCGTTGACTCGAATGTTGATCCCAGATATGATCATCATCGACACCACTTCGATTTATTGGAGACAGTCCATCAGTCAATGACACAATCCATCCATCCGCTATGGGTCACAGACGGCATTATCATCCGTCCCAGTTCTATCTTCTGTCTTAACAAAGTGTCTCCATTATGCAACTCAATAATACCCGACTCTTCGATACGCTATTGTGTACTCCGTACTGGTATTACAATGGTTTAATATCGGTCACAATGAATTACGTGACGGCGGGGACCTGGAACCACCATGACGGCGATGCCATTCAATCCAATCCATGGGACTGCACCGAACGGATTCGATTCGGATCGTCGCGCCTCCCGACCGATGATGGGCATGGATGGGCGCAACAAAGACACGGGTCATGGTTGCTGCCAAACTGTCGTGCAAAACTTGTCTGGATTTTGGTTATGCTCTATTCCAAATCCCGTCTATTATACATGCAGAGACGGCCCCCTGATCGTTCCGTATGCCGTGCTGTGGCTGAGTACGGGACACTCAATGTGGCAACAACTGATGGCCCCGCTAAGGTTTGCTCCAGCCCTTCTGGAATAGTTCGAATCCCGTTCCTGAAACGATTCGCTAGCCGTTTCCATGATACCCTACGGAGTACCCGCCCAGTGAAAATAAGTGCTACCTACTATTGAACCTGGTCCACGGTTTCGGTAACTTTAGGAAAGATCGAACGTCGAATGAGTGAATTCAACCGCCTTACCGGGGAAATGGATGATCACCCTAGTCCACGGATAGTCGAATTCGCGAAGCCCTCTTAGACTCTCGGCTTGAATCTTCCAGAATCATATTATTTGAGCTCTGTCCTATGAGGCCCGGATATTGCGATTCTTGACTCCTTCAGTGGAGTACAGTTCCGCGACTGACCGCTTCTCCTTGATTATTGATTGGAGTATGATTACCCAATATTGTCCGATGTGGAAGTGGTTCTTTTATTATTACAACCGTTTTCATGACTATTATTATAGACCCCCGTATCGGTCCCAATGTCAGAGCATGCGTACAATACTCGTACAGGAAACTGACGGCAAGCCCGAGAAGCAATGCATGTGTCTCCATCGTCGATGGCGAATTTCGCCCACCTGAAGCTGAACAGCTTGACTCTGTACAAACACTCACTCGTACAGGTAATTGAAAGAAAGTCCCTGCACAGAAGATCACTGATAGGACTGTGACGAGTAAGCTTTTTGAGTGATTCCAGTGGCGACTAAATGAATTGCGTGCGCCCTTTCCAGTCTGGTCATCTACCCCCCCTTAAAAGCTCCCGTGGACTTGAAACCAAAAGTAAGCCGCCCAAGACCCGACTGTATGGAACTTGGATCAGTGGATTTTCTTTTCTTTTTTTTCCCTTTCGTTCCCGTATTTGACAGTTACGTATTGGGTTGTGTTGTGGAGCGGGGACGAAGTATGTACGGAGTAAAGTATGGAGTCGCTAATATCGAGATGCCTCGCTAGGGTGTTCAAATTCCACACACTTACGTTTCTTCGTATTACGATATAACGGTAATGAATATTCATTACTGATAACATGCAATAAGAACGTTGACTCAAGTTTTAACGAGTATTTAGATGGGGTCATCCTGCTCGCTTTTCAATCGAGATTAAGCGCCGATGATATACTGTCGCGTTCTTCATTCTTAGGGACCGCACTATGCCCATAGTGTTGTGTCATTACCAACGGCAATCCCTCGGCGTGTAAGTCCATAGTCCTGAATATCCCTTGGACTATGACGCAAAATCGTAGATTAGTTATAGAGATGAACATGGGGTACATAATGCAATAGCCCGTTCTTGCGGTATGACATCTACAACGGTCTTTTGTTAACTCTTTGAGGAGGTTGATGAACATCTTTGGGTGGTATTCCATGACATCAGATCAGATCAACGACTGCTCAGATTCATGCAGGAACAACCACCATTAGTACCTCTTTGATCTGGGGAGATGAAAAATAAGTAATTATGATCTCAACTATGGCTTTCTGAGCATCTTCATGACTCGATGCCGTATGCATTATTACCACTAACCCATTAAGTCTGATCGTACCTGGCTGATTGAAATTACCGGATGAAATACCATTACTGGTAATTCACCGTACACGTGGTAGTGCCACCCACCACTTCCAGTCAATTACCACAGCCGACGACGGCTTGCAGCTCAGAAACTATTGCAGGATGATATTCGATATACGCTGTGCTCTGTGCACTCTCGCCATGCGTTCTGGATTAATCACAGTCGTTCATTTCCTCGTGAATAATTTCGTTCAACGTGGCAAAAAAATAAAATAGAATAAAATAAAATAAATAAAAATAAAAAATAAATAAAATAAAATAAAAATAAGGGCAAACCATTGAGCACCAGTCACCTATATGGTATAACTGCTCCCCAGTCGCGCTCCGATCTTCACCTTTCTCCTTCTATTAGCTGTCTGTGTTGCTGTCGATGCCGGTCGTTTCTTATTTCTAGTCCAGATTGCCCCTCTTTTTCCTTTCTTTTCCATCTCAATGGTTTCTTCTGCATATCTCAACACATACCTCTTCTAGTACTACTCGTACCAATATCCTCTCTTATCCACTCAGCTGGCTCTGGTGATCTTGTTTATTTTTGCAGGATATAGCAAGAGAGCATATAAGGAGAGAATTCTTTGCGTGTGATCATTTCCCATTGATCCCATGCTGGTCAACTAAACCCCCGCAGTCCGCTGAGATGAATTTCGTCATCAGTCCATACGAAAAGACCATTTTCGGGCCTATCTTCACTGCAGCAGGAGACAACAGTTCATATCCCGCAATGGATAATGGCATGGACTCCTTCATCTCCCAAACTCCTCAATCTCCTCTAATGGAATCGACTTTCATCCCTGTGCAGTCGACCCATCCCTCCTTGTTCCGGCCAAATGCAGAACGGCCCCGCTTCTCCGTCTCATACAAATGGTGGGAGGATGAAGCTACAACGGTCCTTTGGGCGTTCGACGCTGGGGAAATCCAACGGGTGATTCGCTACGGACTCTTTCCAGATGAAAATCTCCCGCGTACGGCTCTGCAGAGTCGGAACGAGAGTACCGTTGATAGCTTCCTGTTTACGCTTGTGCAGCCTTACGAGAGGCCTTTCACCGCTAATCTATCGCATGTTCAGAAGGTCGAGGAGATCCTGCGGCGGTCCAAGGGCACGAGCCCGGCGCTTGTTCCCTGGAGCTGGTTTCCATCGGTGATGAACCGTGAGCAGAATCCGGAGGCTATTGCTAAAGCGATTGATGCTGAGAGCCGGCTGCATTTTACTCGGATTCCGTTTGAGGAGTGGGTGCGGTATTCGTTGGGTTACCGGTCTATTTTGGTTGAGTCGCTCTTGGAGGAGCATACGAAGCTCTTCCATCATCTCCTCAACCACCTTGATGCGTTTCCAGAGGATCTTAAGAGGTATACCGAAGTTGAAAAGGTTTGTTTACTTTTTGTTTTGCCGTCTTATTATGACTATGGTTCCGTGCAAGATGCTGATAGCTGTTCATAGCATTTGCGAAGGCGAAGCCCGTTTGCCCACAGGGCTTTGGCGCAATCCTTACTCACCGTCCAATCTGGCGGAGATCGTCGGCCTCCATTAAGCCCTGTACCTGGATTTGACTTCATTGCAGGCCCCATCCAGCGCCTTTTCAAAGAGCACCCCCCAAGCCTGACGGCTATTCTGAAGGTGCTCTGTGTCCTCGAGGTCAGGTTCCGACGGATGTATTTCCACATTCCCGAGATGGACTGGTATGAGAGCTTTGACACCACCGTCACTTTCTTCGAGGACGTGCTTGCATCGACTTCGGCTGTCGACTTGGCTCGCACGTTGACTACTACCGACGAGGGTCACTTTTCTGAGTTGGACGAGCGGGGCCTGATGGAAGAGGGTCCTGTGGCTCGGCAAATCATCATGGAGTGGCACACGTTGAGCATGGCGGTCTGGGAAGTATGTTCTGCATTGCCAGACTTGATACCGTATATCCAAGAATGTGTACAGGTGAGTGAACATTTCAACTGATGCTTAAGAGGGACATTCAAGCATTCCAACCCAAAAATGGCCATATGTGGTGTCTCTTCCAGGGTCTCATCTTCTTCTCTCTTCATACCCACTACTAATCAAAGTATGCAGGCTCTCTTTCTCATTCGAAACTACCATTCGTTAACGGCGATGTTGAACGGTCTCCAAAAATACAGTATCCTGGCTATGACATTCAATAACGTAAACAGCACCACGGGCACAGTAACCCTGGGCCCCGTCCTCCCAGCCGACTTATTCTACCTCCTGAACCCCTTCCATAATTATCTCGCCTACCGGCAACAATTCCATGAAGCTCCAGGGATCCCTTTCCTCTTACCTCATATCAGGGAATTCAAGCAACACGGCCAGGGCGTATTGCACCGGTTGTTCCAGGAGATCCAGATCCCTCTCCCTTGAGCTAAAGGTGTTTTCCATACGGTATAAGTCGTCGTCGTTGTTGTTGTTGTTGCTGTTGTCGTCGTCGTCTTTTTTTTTTTTTTTTCCATATGCGATCTCACGAGATATGACGGCTCCCATTGTGGTGATTTGATTAATTGGTTGATTCAACATACTATGTGGTACATGGTGCTTTTGATTGTTTGGATTTGATATTGGGGTTTATTTGGGCGCGCTAGTCGCGCTTTCTTTTTCACTGTTCTTATTTTCCAGATTTTGAAGTTTGTTCTGCAGGGTATTGGCTGGGATAAAAGCCTTGGATAGAGGCGTAAGGATTAGAGGAGTAGTGTCTTTTAGGGTATGGATTAGTTGAATTCATTAAATTCATTAACTTGAGTCAGAAGTTTAACCAATCAACTTCAATGTTGATGTATCATAGCTTCGCCATGGATATAACCAATCTTCCTTCTTTGTCTCGCTGCCCTCGTAACAAAATAACAAAAATGTCCTCCCACCCTCCACCCTCTCCAGCTCCCCATCTCCATCCGCCCGTCACACATCCTCCCCAAAGCCTCCTCCCGCCCCACGACAGACTACACAATCAACAACGCTATAACTAACACAGCAGTCTTCACAGTCACAGGCAACAAATACGGCTCTAGTCCGGGGTGCGGGTTCCGCTATGACTCCGGGTTAACGATTTTCGAAATAAGGAGAGTTGCTGTGCTATCTCGATGGCCGTTTCGAGTGAAATTGCCGGATAATGAAGAGAAGGACTTGGGGAGGGTTTGTGTGAGCCGTCCTTCGATGAGGATTAAGTTTGGTATTGTGCAAAATTGTGCTGTTGGTGGGGATCGGAAACGGGAGGAGGATGAGATAATTAAGTTGGAGATTCTGCAGACGATGACGCTTTATAAGTTTGAGGTACTCGTTGGTGATGGGGAGGAGAGAAAGAAAACTACGGGTATCAGAAAGAGTGCGGAAAGAATAGGTCTGTCGAGTGTTGGCCTCGCGGGCCTTGTGATTATGTGCCTCCGAAATGGGTTTTGGATATAAGGGTTGTGGGGGGTTAGATTCGTTTATCGTGAGTTGTTATTATTGATTCATGATCCCCACTGGGAAACTAACGGGATGCGTATAGACAGCTCTAGTTGCAGTGTTTGTGTCGAATATGCATTTCGGAGATCAACCTGAGTCTTAGAATAATATCTTTCATCCATAAATAAATCTACCGCTGGTATCGTGGATCATCGTCTAGAATTAAATGGCCATAATCGATCAGCCTCCTCAACCGTCAACCCTTCACCGTTCGCTTCTGCCTTCCATGCAGACTCAATCCACTCATTATACGCGGTCCTATGTGCTTCTTTCGCAGCATCCCAGACCTCATTCGGAACCCATCCACCAAAATCCGTATGGAGAGAATCCTAGAGCCACATTTTCAGCTTTTGAACGGTTTCGAGGTGCTCGTAACCTTGTATATGTTGCGCAACCTCTTTCTCGTATAGTGTATACAGACATGTGCCTTGCATTCCTGGTCAGTCCATTTTGCCGATAATTCCATCAGCCCACGGCGAATCGCAGTAGCTCTGTCCCTCCATGTTGTATGACAATAAATAAAGGGTCGATAGAGAACAGGATTAAGGAGTTTTGCGGGACGTTGTTTGGGGATGAGGCCTTTCACGATCACGTCGTAGGTTTAATGACAGATCTTTACGTCGTTCAGGCTTTTTTTGCTCCCCTTGACACAAGAAGCAACTCACAAGGACCGCAGTCAGGGCTTGGGCCTCCATACAGCCCAGGCCCCCGAGGACTGCAATTCCAACACACTGGACTACAGCCTGGGCCAATGCAAAAGCGCTTATCATCAAGAAATATCTTTCTGGGCCGCTCAGTGGATGCGTCAGAGAAATATAAGTTCCCATACACGGGGAAATTGATAGATGCGATTTCCTTGATCTGCACAAAAAAAAAAAAAAAAAAAAAAAAAAAAAAAAAAACGCCTTTTTATAGAGCATATGCTGATGTGAGGACATAGATGGCCATATTCACGTATCCTTGGATAATGTATTCTGGATTGACTGGGTTTGATGGATTATCACTCCATGCCAAAATGTTTAGGGTAGGAAGCGAGGTCTGGAGACGTATTGGGAAGTAGTTAGTATCAATCAATCCTCGCCAAATGGAATCAATCAAGTTTCGACACACAGTACTTTATAGTAGCGACCCTCCAATTAGTCGTCTACCTTGCCGGGCCTGCAACCTTTGGTTGGCAACTTTGCGGCCACACAATGTCTCCGTATCCGTTGTGATTAATGAAGACCTGGTTGAAGCCCTCTCTTTTTTCTAGCAGGCAGTGACCTTGACTGCTCCTACATTTGAATATAATTTGACAATGGTATTACAGAGCTCGTCGAAATTGAATTGCATGAAGCGAGACTTTCGCTGTAGCTCATCACCATTGTGTATTGATATGAAGGTAGGATGCTGCCATGTCAGTAAGGGCTATGTATAAGTTGTAATAAGTATGCTCACGAGAATTTGAGTACATTGTCGCCAAGGCTTGTTTCATGGAGGTGTTGGAAGAAGATGAAAGGGTCTTTTTCTTTCTTTTCTGGAACACTGTTTGCTAGACTAGCGAATAATGGTATGCTTGGAACCAAAAAACGGCGGTACCCAAACCGATATATTCGCTTTTTAGACTGAATTCTGAATTGCTTCCTGAATTGCATTATGGAGATTTTGTTGATGAGAGTAGCTTTGATAACTAGAAAGTCTTTGCGGTCGTTGATACGCCAATAAAAACGCTTGACGCCTCGAGTATGTGTGTCTGTATGTTCATTTCTACTACAGTAATAACAGTATACACAAGTTAGGCTGGGAATATTCTCATAAACCCTCTAGTCTCAACTAAATTCGAAATCATCCATCAGTTTGGCAAATGCCAGAGAAGTAAAGTCACACTCCATACTAGCCTTGCAAACAAGCAAATTCATCAACCAAGGTTGGTCCCAAAAGCAGTAACCCCATTAAACTTTCTTCTTCTCCAACGGCGCCGTAGCATCCCCGAAAAACCCCGCCAAGTACGCCACTCGATTCACAAACAAAAACCCCGTAATCGAAATATTCCCCCAAGTTAGCAGGTTCCATCCCGCAACATCGAAAAACGCTTCAGCCCCCATGGCGAGATACGTCACATAGATGTGCCCAAAGTCCGCGACAGCAAGACAGAAGAGGTAGTTGCGCAGAACCTTGGGCTCGGTGGTTGTGTAGCAGATTCCCACACCGAGGAGGAAGAGCAGACCGTAGAGGTTGGCGAGTTGGTAGGCTAGGGCAATGCTGCTGGGATGAATGGTGTCTGAAATCAAATCTGGGTTGGGGGCTTGGTCGAGGATAAACCAGTTTAGATCGACTATCGGGAGGGCCCAGCCGGCAATCCTGATGTTTGTTAGTATATTAGTGTTTTTGTCTAGAACGACCCTTACAGAGAGATGGGCTCGATGACTCCGAAGAGCAGGTGAGGCCAGGTAGGAAAGATGGTCAAGACCATGTTGTCAATGTCAGGTTAGGAAGAATAACAAGAGATAAGAGAACAAAGCGATGGATGTGTGAGAGAGAAAGAGTATAGGGAGAGGAGAAAACAGAGCATTTATCTTCTATTTAAGTTGCAGTATAACTGCTAAACAGTCAAACAGTATCAAACAGTAGTGAATGCTTGTTTCAGAGGCAAAAAAAGCGCTTTAAAAATGCTGTATACTCTTAACTATTTCACTGTCATGAAGAAATAAAGACGTGAATATGGCATAAAAATAGGATAAAACAATGAAGTATAATATATATATATTTCAGCTGATTTCCAAAACCGGCAAAAGTGAAGCCAAAACCGGATTTATCCCGGAAACCGCGCAACTGGCCGTGCCGCACCCCGTAGAACATCATCGTCAGGCATAATGGTTATTTCTACCAACAACTTTGCCACTTGGTGGCTCCCAAGCTATTTATATGTGGACAATATGGACGGTGGGCGTCTTTACCCTGTTCAGCGTATGTTCATTTTTAGCCATATATGATTGTCTCCCAGTCCAGATGGTGAGGCTCCGATAATAATGGATTACAATGGCGCCAACAACTTTCAAAACCGGCCCCCCGATGAGTCTCTAACCCGCGAACTTCCCCAACTCCAAAATCTTCGCATCGCTCCTTTGCGTCATCCTGTTTCCTCGCGTGGTTTGAGTGTCCCATCGCCGCTCGAGCCAAATGCCAGCGGAGTCCGTGAATCCAAAGCCAGCTCGGTTGCTGTCAGCAGCGGCAGCGCCGGCAGTCATACGAATATACCCACGGTGACTGAGCTCTCGAACAATACACAGACAAAGAAAAATGATGATACTATGTTGAATCTGGAACCACCTCCGAAGCCGATTCTACCGGCGTTTGTGAATTTGCGTGCTCTGGAGCGTTTCCCATATTCCTCATTTGACGAAGACTCCCACTTGGCTCGCAAGCGTCGTCGTTTGGATGTTCACCCGGATGCTTTTGGAGAGCATCTCCAGTTGCCCGTTCCACAGCAACAAAAAGAACAGCGACCCCCACCCTTCGGGCCGTTTGCTATCCTTAACGGGTTAAATGAGCCGCCGCCAAACGCCGCCCTCCTTCCTCCTATTGAGGCGGGTTCAATTACTCACCTTCTAAGCAAGCCTACGAAAGACGATGCTGTGGTAGAGCCTGCCTTGCTGACGAATAATAATACTACAGAAAGCCATGCCAATGAGAGAAGGGAAGGGAGAATTGAGGAGATCTTGGCGTCGCCTGTTGGCAGCAGAGCAGGGCATGCTGATCAGAACACCGTAGAAGAGTCATCCAAAAACCAAGTGAGGGCCGGCAAATCTGGTAATGAGAACACCGAGGATACTAGGCCCGATAAGGGAGCTCCGCCTCCTGCGGAGAAATCTCCGCAGCCTCCATCGCCTAAGACGCGTGGTCGCTCGCGCAAAAACCTGCGCAAATGGACGGAAGAGGAGACAAGGGATCTTCTTCGTGGCGTCATAAAATGTGGAATTGGTAACTGGACAGCAATTCTAGCCCAGCCGGAGCTCAAGTTCAACAAACGGAGTGCTTCCAATCTGAAAGACAGGTACGACATGACAATAAAGTCAATCACATTGGTGTTTTACTATAGGATTCCACTAAAACTTCATACTTTCAATTTCAAGGTTCCGCGTTTGCTGTCCATGGGCATATCGGTATGTCTCATTCTCAAAGCTCCTCATTGAAACTCTTCTGACTCTGATAGGGCTGCCGATCCGAATGAAGCTACAAGGCAAGTGCGTGATAAGCTCGCTGAAGCTATTCAACGGACGGAGGCTGAGGGCGATGCAGCTGCGAAAATTCATTTGCCGCATCCTCGATCGAGCAATTCTGAAAGTGATAGAAACTGGCCCGAAGTACGCCCAGTACTCCAAACAAACGACTCGTCCTCATCAGGCTGTTCATTAGCAACAATAAGAACTGACACCAGTACATCGGAATCTGGAACCGGATATTCCTTATCCAGAACGATCTCAAACGAATCCGTATCTACGCTGGCTTCTCTTGGTGTCACAGAGTCTCATTGCACTGTAAAGCCCAGGCGTCGCGCGCGCCGTCCATTCACATCTGCCGAGGATGAGGCGCTGGTGAAAGGATATGCCGTGCATGGGTTCCAATGGACGCTTATTCAACAAGACAAACGGCTAAATCTATGTCACCGTAGGGCAACGGACTTACGAGATCGATTCAGGACTAAATTTCCTCATGCCTACCGTGAAGGAGGCTCTATCAGCGGGAACTCTTTGCAATCTGAAGCCCAAAATCCAAAATCCACGGATGAACCCAATCTGGCGACTGGCACGAAGCGAAGCAGGAGGGCTGAGAGGTGTTCTGCATCTGTCTACCATGGTAAGGCTGATCATGTTCATCGCACAGATGCAGCCATGCCAGGGTCTTCAGGTTCTGCACTTCTTCGTCATGTTCCTGCTCCACAGGGACTTCCAGAGGGTTCAACGGCTGGCGCACCTTCGACAGGCCCGTCGTTTCCGTTCCACTTGGATGGTCATTCTGCACCTACTTCGAACTCTGAAGCACAATGGACAGAAAATACGCTAGCACCGATGCTCTGGGATGATATCCCGTAGCGTCTCTCTTTTAACCTTTTATTCTCACTTCTTCGTTTCGCTTCCCCGATCCCGGGTCATTACTTGAGTCACATATGATCTGATTATTTTTTTTGTAATCGCCATTTTCATTCTGTTCTGACATGCACCTACGATTCTAGTTATACCACGGCGCATATTGGTTCCTGTTCACGCATTGCTTTTTATATTCGTTCATCACAGTTTGTGAACAGCACTTTGAGATGATTCATGGGAAATGAATGGCTTGCCCTAGGTGCCATTCCTGGTTTGCTTCATTCGAATTATCTTGTCAATTAGCTTCTATTACTTTCGCAGTCTTTCCTGCATTGCATTGAATATCTATGTCAAGCCAAACGCCTCTGCTGTCCTAGAAAATTGGAGTTGACCATGGCTCGTTCTATTCTATGCTCCGCTCTCTGTCCCATCACTGACTCGCAATGGTATCACCGCCAACCCTATACGGTATCACGCGCCGAGCACCCGTTAGTCTGACAGAGCGCGAAGAATCCTTATTTAGCATTGGCCAATTATATCACCGGGATTTTTGGGAAGTCAATTCCGAGGAGATCCTGCTGAAGTTGAAGATTCGATATGGTTTTCCGTGATAACACACACACACACACACACACACACACACACACACACAAATGAAAACAAAAAGTTGTACATTATGCCACTGGAGTATCAAACACTAAAGACAACCCAATCGAACCTGAAGATATAAGACTAATAAAACTAAGGATAACACGTGCGTAAATGTAGGATAAAAAAAAAAAAAAAAGAATGGCCGAGGTCCACTATGCGCCATGCCATGTATTTACCGTTCCCGAATGGGAAAACCACCAGAATGATAAGGAGGACGGATTGGTCACCGTTGTCGTTTTGGGAGGTAACCTATAAGGCCGGTCCGTACTAGGATAGGTAGCATCACTGATTCGCTACCAATAAGGAAATGTCTTTTAATTCACCAAGCGTTGCGGTCCCAGTTCGGGTCTGTTTAGAATAGCAATCAGCATCTCATATCCAATCATAAAATCGCAGATCCTGGCCGGAACATACCCTGAATAAAGCTCGCCAGAACTTTACTTCCAGTCTGTAGCAAGGGATGACCTGCAACAATCTGCAAGAACCTCTGCAAACCCTCTCGCCGGTGCTCAATCACATCATCGCTAAAGCGGTTGGTGAACACTTTCCCCGGCAGCGGCGGTATTGTGACCCGTGTGCTTTCGCGCTCCAGAATATCTCTGAAGTACTCGAAGTCGGAGTATCGCCGGCGCACAACGGAGTGTTTCAGTTTGAAGGCGGGAATGTTCGTTCGGCAGACGATCTCGTAGGAGGTGTACATGTTGCGGGAGGTACCGTGGGTTTGGGGATTGCGGACCTATTGGATAAGAAGACTTGTTAGCAAGCGGTGAGAATAGAGATGGGAGGACGAGCCCATTGCACTCCAGCGATATCAATCGATGGCAGTATAGGAGAGCACTCATTGGACTCGGAAATGAAGGCGCCTTACTTCAATCTCGAGGAAATTCTCCGGAGGCCCATAGATCTCCTCGAAGCTTTGCTGCCGTGGCTCGGGGACCGCCTGCATTGTGAAATGCCAGTGGGATGTGTGTACTCCGTATATCGCGTGAACGCTGAAAGAGGCGGGCGGGGGCCGCGGGGAAGTCTTCAGCTACTCGACGATGCAATGAACTTGAGAACAGTATCGATAAAGCGCAGTAGTGGCTACAATAAAGCGATATATTGACCTGAAACGGTGAAGCCAGTTAAAGGAATGTCGATTACAGCGTGAATTTGCTCTGCCCTGAAATGGCGGGATAGCATGACGATAGTCACATCCCCGGTTTATCATTGATCCGGATTGGATCTTATCGCAGGCGGTTATTCCGAGGTATGTACTGTGTTCTTGCTAATGAAGATGCATGACGCTGTTAGAGGGATTCGAATAGAAGCTTGGCTAAACGGTGTTCTATAATTGTTTAATCTTTTCAATTGTTGCATTTATTTTACCTTTTGTATGCGAATTGGCTCTGTACAGAACTCTCAGCGCAGGTAGTCAATCCTCTTATGCCTGGAGTAGATAATTTGATATCATAATTCCCTACGGAGTACTAAAGTTATTACTTCTTTTTTCTTTGATTTTTATATAGAGATCCCAGTTCTTGGGACCTAACAATGTTTCAATGCTTGGATACTAAACCATGGACGAGTCGGGGATAAGGCTGGAGTTAACGGCGGAAAACCCTCGGATGACATAACCGGAAATCGTATCGATAAGGAGGGTGCCGCAATCAACAGGACGAAAGCAACGATTGATTCAGACCACTGTCGTTCCTGGATGACGCTTACAAACATCCCCTTTATTTAAACCACCGTATCGAATATCCTCCAATCCATTACTATACTCCATCGTTAAAATCAGCACACGACCTCGACCCGCCGATCATGAGCTCTGGCTCTCCACCCGCCGGTGACCAGCGAGAGTCGTCCTCCCGGGAGTCTGGCACTGCATGGCATCCGGCAAGGGAGTGGATTGAGCAAGACGATGAGGATGATGGACAGAACTTGGACTACGAACCGTGGGGAAATATGGACGATGGAATGGACGAGGAGACAACGTCGGAGCAAGCGGAGGCGGAATATCAAGCATACCTGGGTAGGTCGATATTACTTTGATACTCTATCCTCAGGGCGGAACTGACAATATTTTTGATTCAGATTTTACAGGGGATTCGGATGAGAGATTGCGGAATATCGACATCGAATTCACTTTGGATGGCGACCCCGAAGGAGAAGAGGTCCAAGAAGGGAGCCCAATTCAACGGAGTACAAATTATACCTAATCCTCAATTTCTAAACAGGTAATAGCATACTGATGGAACCAGTTTCTGCTGCTCGAATAGTCAACGTTATGAGTTATCACGGCCTACGACCTTTCTTTCGTCATAGTCGTATAAGTGACGATGTTGACGACGGATCTGGACACTTTGGCTATGCATCACGGCATCCAAGAAGAGAACAATTTGCGAAAGTCCCAAATGAGGCGGGAAGGGAACTCATGGGATCTGGTGATTTTGGAAGTAATTCACACTACGTTGACGAACTGAAGAAGCGCAAGAAGGCACTTGCGACAAGATTGATGTGGCGAGAATTGGGAATTGATGTTAATGGACCGCGAACAAGGGCAACGCAGTCGATATCTCAGGTGAGTGTCCAGAGATTGGAGTATAAGGACAATGCTAATTGCATCATAGGATTTGATTCCTCGTTCAGTAGCAGATAAGATCATCCATTACGACTCACGATGCTATTCAGGCCAATTCTCCGATGACGGCAACTTCTTCTACTCTTGTGCTCAGAACTTCAAGGTTCGGTTATATGACACGTCCAATCCGCACGAATGGAAGTATTACAAGACCGTGGAATACCCATTCGGTCAATGGACCATAACAGATTGCACCTTGAGTCCAGACAACAGGTTTCTAGCGTACACTTCGATCCGGAATCTCGTATGTCTTGCGCCAACCGATCCAGCCGTTCAGTCAGACCCGACCATACTCAATCTATCCGTTCCTCCGGGGGGAAGACGCGAAGAAGAGCCTTACCGTGGTTCGCACTTTGCTGTAAGCGCTGTTCTGATCGTAGAACCTAGTATCGTTGTGTGGCTGACATAGGGATGCAGATCTGGTCGGTTCGGTTTTCGGGCGATGGACGTGAAATAGTAGCTGGTACATCTCAGAAAACGGTCATCGTTTACGACATTGAGACTCGGCAATCCGTTCTACGGGTAGAAAATCATGAAGACGATGTTAACGCCGTCTGCTTCGGGGACAACTCGTCACCTCACATTCTCTATTCAGGATCCGATGACACCACAATACGAGTATGGGACCGCCGCTCGATGGGTGACAGCCGTGAAGCAGGGGTGTTTATGGGTCATACTGAAGGACTAACCTACGTCGACAGCAAAGGCGACGGCCGATATGTCCTGTCTAATTCAAAAGACCAAACAATGAAGCTCTGGGATCTGCGAAAGATGATGACCACCGCAAAGTTCGACACTATCGACGTCAACAACTACACGACCGGGTTTGATTATCGTTTCGAAACATACCCAGATGATTACTACGAACCTCATCCTCATGACTGCTCTGTTGTGACATTCCGTGGCCACCGCATACTCAAAACGCTTATACGATGTCACTTTTCCCCTCCTGGAAGTACGAATTCGAGATATGTATATACAGGAAGTGACGACGGCAAAGTCTACGTGTACAATCTGGACGCGACGCTCGCGGGGACGATAGATGTCGGAATGACCACGCTTAATTCACGGCCACGCGAACCCGATCTTTTGATGAATGCATATGACTTCGGACTTCGAAGCGGCGAGTTGCTCTGGCGGACATGTGTCCGTGACGCGAGTTGGCATCCGAGTGCCCCTGTTCTTGCAGGTAAGTCATATTATGTTGTTCTTGCCGTAATCAATCTAGCAATCTGGCTAACGAGTTCAAGCGACATCATGGAATGGGTGGGGATTATCGACCGGCACCTGTACCCTACATTCATGGAATGACTGCCCTACTGAAGATGAAGGCAACCCTCCTGTTGGCTTGAGCTATGATTACAGACTTGAAGAGGAGCACGGTTTCAACGATTATAGGCAGACAATGCAGGCTTTTCAACGCGGAGGGCCTCTTCCAAGAATGAGACACAGCTATATTAGCTCCGACGAAGACGAGGACGAAGATGAGAATGAAGATGAGTCGGAATAATGATTCACGAATACGATTATGACTTGTATATATTAGCTTCGTGATAAAGCAGGCACAGGTTGTCTCGCTTTGGATAAATTTCATGAAACAGCATTATTTATACAAAAATACGAAGTAAGCCATAGTAAGGGGATATCTCATCACCGCGACTCTCTCTGCCCCGAGCCGCATCCGGTGCCCAAAGAGTATAGTGCTTCGAAGGAAATGTGACGTTCAATCCCAGTATCCGTTATAGCCCCCTGCCGATTGATTCCCTAGGATGAGCCCATTGGTGACGAAATAAGATGAATACGCCCGACGACACGTGGTATCATGACTCTGGTGACCCTCCTCAACTCCTAGTTTTGTTGTGCATTGGTATCAAAATTCGAAAACGACTGCGCTCCGCAATTATGCGCCGCCGACAAGGATATTGTTCACGGGGATGTGTACTGTAGTGGAAGTGGTTAGCCCTGCTGTTCCGTTCGCGAAGGTCTCGCGTGCTCCGTCCAACATGTCGATAGGTAGGGGTGATGGAATAGTCGAGATATATCGGGATAGCACGTACTCAACTTGATGAAGTACCCAATGGCACCCTAGTTGTCTGTTAGTATGCTTTTTGGTCAAGGCGCAAGCGCTATGGAGAATTGTCCGTACCATGATAAGGAAACCCATCCCGACGGCCTGACTGATCTTGATGAATTCACGCTGGTCGGCTGGACAGATAAACCGGTTAGTCAACGGCGCTCGCTAGTAAAGCGGAATTATATTCCACATACGCTTGGTGCATCTCTTGACGAACAGCGAACCGTCGCGGACAAAGTCCTTGGGGATATCGGCGAGCTCCTGGAAGTTGTCGGACATTATGACAGGATTTCACGATATAAAGGTGACGGTTATAAAAGATAGGAGAAGAAGAGTTGCAAGAAAGAATTGCGAGACAGTAGAGAAGTACAGGTAAATAAGGAATTGAATGTCAAAAGAAGGACGGAAGAGGATGATCTGGACAGATACGGGGAAATCACAGAGCTGGCCTGATGGAGGCCGGATTTTCTATTCCGCCGGGCCTCCGAAAGGTCACCAGCTCCACCGGTACTTTCGAGATCGAAGCTCGCTCTCTCTCTCTCCCATTCCAACTTCCTCCCATCTTTCTCCACGTCTTTTCATCACTAACCGTACTTGTTTCTTACCCAGGCTGCCCTTCGTCTGTATTATAGGTTATTGTGAGTGGGTTTGAACTCCCTTTGAGCTGTTTTCTCGACTCATCCGTCGCGTCACTCTGTCGCCTCCTCCCGGTTCCGGGCCCTACGCTGGGATTCGATCCAAGGGATACAAGTTGGCGGATATCCTGTGAAGTGAATTCACAATTGGGGGACTTTTGACTACTGACTTTTTGTTGGCTCCCGAGACCGTCCTTATCAAGGCGGAAGAGCTCGCGCGGCGCCGCATCTGCTGTGATTAACGTTCTCTCTACCTCTCATTATCGTTGATCAAGACTTGCCTTAACTATTTTGCTTGTATTTGGTTTCAAAAAAGAAGAAAGGAAGGAAGTTTGCTGCGCCCAACGAGCTGTCAGATCAGATATACAGGCCGTCGGATTGTACGTATCATCGTGTCTTTTTCTGTTTCTCTTTTTGTATTTTTTTTGTCCTTTTCTGGTTGGGAATTATTCGGAATCTTGCACTATCCTCAGACGCCCGTTCTGTTCTGTCCTTTTCTTTGTTTTGGCATAGACAATTTTCTCTTTTGCTAATGACAACCTGTGTCTGCAGACATGTACTTCCATTGATTCATCGAAGCAGAGAAGAATTCAGAGAAAAAAGAAGGATTGTTCATACTTGACTACCAAGCAATTAAACATTTGCCTTGAGATTTCGATCTTCACTTAAGCGCAATGGCTACTGAGGATGATAACTTCGATATTGACATCTATGGGGATGGTGGCGGTTATACTGCCAACGAGCCAGGAGATGCCAAGCATGATGACGCCGATATTATTCTAGACGCGCCGGATAATGCCCAGCAAGGCAACTCGCAGACGAATCAACAGCAAGCCGGTAATGCCGGAGATGCTATTGCGAATGGACAACAACATATCCCAAGTTCGGAGACCGTGAATCAGGACCAAACACCAAAAGAAACACCAGCTCCGCAGCAAGGTGTTAAACGACAAGAGGATCGCCCTACCGATCCCGACGCGACGACTGCTCTGCTCATTTCAGATTTGTTCTGGTGGACAACGGATGACGATATTCGTGGCTGGGTCAACGAGGCCGGTGTTGAAGATGAGCTCAAGGACGTAACGTTCAGTGAACACAAGGTAAACGGTAAAAGTAAAGGGTGGGTTTATCAATAGGCTCTTTGCAGGAAAATCACACTAACACAAAACAGACAAGCATTCATCGAATTCACCACAATCCAAGCAGCAACAGCTGCCAAACACAAAATTGAAACCGTCAACGCAACCGGCCAAACACCACGCAAGCACTCCCTCACCTACACAAGTCCCCACATGAACCCCTTCCGCACCCTCCCCAAAGACGCCCCCATGCGCAAAGACAATCAAGCCCGCTCAGCATCCGGCTTCAACACCCCAGCCCCGAACATGAACTTCGGCATGAATAATATGGGAGGCGGCGGAGGAGGGGGAGGGGGAGGAGGCTTCCGTGGCGGTCGCGGCGGCTTCAACAACCGTGGCAACATGAACAACAACATGGGCTTCAACCGCAATTTTCAGAACCCCATGGGCGGTTTTCAGGCTGCCCCCATGGTCGGCGGCTTCCAGCCAAACCCCATGGGCGGAATGCAGAACTACGGCTTCAATAACCGCGGGAACATGATGGGCGGTGGGATGCGCGGTGGTCCTGGCGGGATGCGCGGCCGTGGAGGTGCCATGGCGGGACCCAACATGATGGGTATGCCCGCTATGAATCCCATGGGTGGTATGGGAATGAACCCGATGGGTGGCGGGATGAACCCGATGATGGGCGGAATGGGTGGAAACATGGGTATGCAGGGTATGTTAAACCCCCTCGGAGCGCGTAAGGTTAGTATGAGTATCGCTAATGAGTATGCTGCCAGGACAAGGCGGTTTCCAAGGTCCCAATCCTGCTTTTAACCAGGGCTTCTCCTTCCCCAACCAGGGTGTAGGAGGAGACGGGGCATGGAATCCTCACGGCGCGAAGCGCAGTCGACAGGAGTAAACGCGAAACTTCTAATCTTGACCTAAACGCAGGAAAAAGCCCAACTCATCTTTGCCGTTATTGCTCACTGCTTGCGGACATTATTAGGACCGGATTTTATAGCACTTGTTATCTTTTTTACTGTTCCATATATCTCCGTGGTTTCGGATTGCCTAATTGTCATCTTTCTGTTACATTTCTAAAGGGTACACGGGAAACTTGGTCTTGTTTTTATTCGGATCTTTTTATTATCAGTTTTTTCTTTTTCAGGGTGTACTAGATGAATCAAATCTTGTTCCTGTCTTGTTTTGCGGGTGTCTGGTTGCTGCGTTTTTTTCTTTTTCTTTTCTTTTTTTTTTTTTTTTTTTTGGTGTGGCTCGCACCACGGTCAACTCAACTCCGTTCCATCCAATATTGTATCCATGACTGTAGTTCTCGAGCTGACCAGGTAAGAGGGTCAGAGTATAGTAAGGGTTTTTTTTTTTTTTTTTTTTTTTTTTTTTTTTTTTTTTATCAATTCTCTTCTTCCTGTAAAACGATTACGATTATCTTTTGTGGGCTGCATTGTTACTTTTAAAACTCTATAATTCAATTGCCATCTGGAATGGTTAATTGTGATTTTTCTAATTCCTATTTTAATCTAAACCAATCTAGAAACACTTCGACAAAACCAGGACCCAAGTGCCCTAATCTCACAAATCCCGCCAGTAATTCTGAAGTACTTCCAGATCTCGTCCCGTAAACCAAGCAGGCGTGAAGAAGAGGCCCAGAATGAGTAAATCACGCAAAAATAGCATGGAATTTCTCATCGAACTCGATCTTCAGCTCCCTGAACGCCTTCAGGACCTCTTTCGAGACCACTAGATTTTCTTCCTCCAGCTCCTCGGAATTATCACTTTCGGCCTCATCTTCTTCGGCATCACTGCCATCGTCCCAGTTATCGAGCAATTCGTCATCGTCTTCCTCGTCATCATTGAGTTTTCGGATAGGAGTGGGCTTGGACTTTGGCTTCGAAGACGACTTCTTAGTATCGACGGGTTCTTTCTTGGTTTGTTCGCTGCCAGATTCACCATCCCCCTCTTCGTCCTCTCCTCCATCATTGCCCTCTTCATCACCCACCCCCATCGGCTCCAAAACATTCCCTCTTTCATCAAAACTCGGATCAAGATACGATTCCAACGCCACAATACACGTTGCCAGAATTAGCGAAAAGTCGTTCAACAAAAACCACGCATCAGACCTCGAGATGTGATTTGCAACCTCGAGTGGCTGCAAATTTCCATGGCAGAAGAAATCGTACAAGTACGCGTTCAATGGTGGCATGCCGTTGTCTGGGTAGACACTCAGGTGAGGAATGACGCTTTCTTCGAGGAAAGCTTCGGAACGGACGGTACTGCAAAGATATCTGATGCTAATGAATTCGTCACTATGGCCTGAGAGGCCGACGAATGGGGAGCGATAGAGATTCGGGGATGAGGAGCCTAGGGTCTAGCTTAGGGGTTGGTTTCCGGTTCCGCCGACTGAGAGGCCTGTGAGAGGAAGGTTGGTTTCGGGCGTTTGGAGATGCTGGTCTATGTATGTTGAGACGTAGGCGGTGTATGTCTTGAGGATTTCGTCGTTGTGTTTGTGGATGACTTCGGCGGCTTCGGGTGGAATGTCGGGAAGCTTGACTGCAGATGGAGACCTGATATCTTCCTTGTTCTCGAGAAGTGTTTCGTATTTTTTTCTGAGAGTTTTGCGTCCGAAGAGGTGTGCCAGAACAATCATCAACGTTCTCAGTTTCTGTTTGGTATTCCCTCGGTTGGCACGGCATACAGTCTCGAAATATCCTTCGCGAAGGAGAGCATGGAACACGAAAGCGTTGTTCTCGGTGTAGTATAAGTGAGCAACACTGCGGGCGAGATAGATAGGCTCTCTGTGTCGTCCCAAAAGTTTCTGACGACGCAGATATTCGATAGAAAATCGGAGATGATGGAGCACCTTGTCCCTTGAATCCACACCATCCAGGCATAACCATGGCTGTGCAAGCAAAGAATTTATAGCTCGAACCGCATACGGTGGTTCATCAGAATTATGCAGAAGAATACACAGACGCAGCACCAGACTGGTTGTGATGGGGAAATGGCCATTCAGGTCGGGCAGTCGTGAACTTATCAATTGGTACGCCTTGGAGAAAGATATGCCATGGAAGATAACGTTTCCGAGAAGATCGAAGCCCCGACCTCCCGCTCTTCCTGATGCCTGACGGTAGTTCAGCGCTGTCAGGAAAAGGCTGTCGCCGCAGAAGATGACGGTCGAACAGGACATGTTGATACCCAGCGCGAGGGTCCCGGTAGCTACCACAACGCGTAGGAAACCTCGACGAAATAGGTGCTCGACCCTGCGAAAATCATTAGAACTTGAGGCGTAAAATATGACCTGACAGATTCCATTCACTTACAGATGACGGTATCGCCTGTTCAATCCCGCGTGATGAGCACCAATACCCCTTGTCAGAGCTTCGAGAAGGATAGGGTTGACATTGAATCTTTTCAGTTTGAAGATCTCGTCCTTGAGTTCCTCCCAGTCTTGTCCACGGATTCCGGCAAAGGAGAACTGTTCCAACGGCCTTTCAGGATCAAAACCATCGAAAGTATGCCGCTCATAATCAGCGGGATCCGGATTCGACTCGTCCGGTTTCCGTCCCTCTGCCACGCGAGCCTTCTTTTCCTTCAATGTCTGGTACTTTTGGTACTCTGTCATTCTCTTCTTCCAAGCTGGGCCATCTTTATATGCTGTCTCTGCATCGAGCAATCTCTTGAGTATGGACTCTGCAATTTGCTCGCAGGTCATTCGCTCGTAGTTGAAGAGCAATGCTGGCAATGCATTTTGTTGATGTAGGTTGACAAGGATTGGGAAGACGGAGGAGCACATATCGTCTTTTTCCATTGTAGCTGTTTTCTTAGGAGGTCGGTCGAATGAAGAGAATTTCGAGTCAAGCTCTTCCCGAACTTTGTTGAACGGCGATTGTGGATCCATCATCCAAGTAGCCAGGTGACTTTTGAGACGTCGTTCCCACTCAAAAACATCATTCCTCCGAATGGACGAAGACATGCACTTTTCTGGGCGGAGTGTTTCGGAGACGGGGAATTTAGCAGATGAATGCTTGACCATAGACTCCCAAAGAACGTAGCAGTCTCGAGGCTCGAGAGATAGGTCCTCTGTCATCTGACGCTGTGCATTATGAAATTTAGTCACAGGATGTATGGGATGCAGACCCTGTACATGCTCAAATTCGAGTAATCCCTTATGTTTAGCTCGAGAAAGCCCCTGGAAGTCGACCTTCTTTGGTGGAGTGTAGAAGTACTTCCTAAGATCCGAGTACCGCTGCCCATATTGGACAAGCTTCAAGTCAGTGCCTAGGGATTTCTGCGTCACAGATAGCCAGTCTGCAAACTCGGTTGGGTTGCCGACTGTCGCGGAGGGCAATGATATGGCACGGAGCGAGCAACAATAACTGTTCCCATACAAGTCCATCATCAGCTTGACCAATCGAGTGGATTTCATCGAAGACGATACACTTGACACGAGGGGCCCAAGTTTTGGCATTGACCGGTGACAGTAGCATCTTCAGAAGTTAGCCTGATGAAATTATTCAAAGAAGAGTAGTATTGAAAGGAACGTATCACTGGACTTACAATCTGAAGCATATGCGGAACAGTCACCAATATTTGACACTTTATCGGATCGTTGAACCGTATATCACGAGTATGAATCGCCCACACAGACTGCTCACTATTGCGAGGATACGTCTTCCTAAACCGCGCATGGATTTCCGCGGCAATCTGATTGACTAACGCTTTGGTTGGGGCAACATAGATCAACACTCCGGTATCATCCTCTTGGAGAACTTTGGAGATAGCATGGAAACTGGTAAAGGTTTTACCAGCACTTGTTGGTGCCACGACAAATATACTGTTGTTTTTGTCCAGTTCATCAAGGACATCACGCTGCCACTGATCCGGCTCAAACGAAACCCGTTCGTCTGGCTTTGCGCCAGTCTGACGATCCATAAAGGGACCGCAATGTAGCATCTGGAATTGTTAAAAGTTGAGCGGCGCACCTAGCTGCTCTGATTTGATTGACCCAGATTTGGGAGTAAATGACAGAGAACGACTTGGTAGGGTAGACGAAGAGTGTGGGACGTGTGGAATGTCCGGTACTTGCAGCTTTTTGCACAGACTTTGAAACTCTTGGTAGCATTGCAGAGTCATGCGAGCGACTTTCTGACAGAGAATTCGAACTTGGTTCCAGGTTTCTGTTGCCAATGCCACACGCTCTTCAGTCGCGCGTGAGCCTTGGTACTGGATAATCAGTAGCGACAGAAGATATAGTCGTGCTTCGGGTTCCAGAAAATTCCCTTTCCGGTTGTCGAGCTTCTCGATGTAGGACTGACACTCTTCAATCTGAAGACGGGGTGCCATGGCCTCTATTTCCCTGACTTTCTTCTTCCAGGAATCAACCCACGATGGCTCTTCTTTCGCTAATTTATTCTTCTCGTTCTCTTCAGCAATCTTTTTTCCTTTGGAAGACTTGGCAGCAATTTTTTCCTTGGGTTGTGCCTTGCGCAGTTCTGGAGAAAAACAGATTGCGGTTCAAGAGCATTTCCCTTGGCATTGGTGAGACTCTTTGCATATTTTTCCATGTCGCGAAAGCGGCGTTGGTTCCATATGTTTGGATTGCGCCACTTGGTATAGGGTTGCTGCGGTGGATTTATGAGACGTTTTGGGCCAAGTGGCTTCTTGTTGTGCCAATGCTTGTCGTCACGTATGGCGTTTTTGTACGTCTCTATATGTGAGTCATCGACTGCCACGCGAACACTTGCCAGATGGCTGTCGAAGACTTTGTGCTGGAAGGGCAGCAAGGCCATGCTGGCTTTTGAATCATTGGTAGGTTCTGTGATTTTGTTTTTGTCTCCAGACAAATGGTTGAATTGGCTGTGGGCAAATTCAGAGATATCTTGGTAGCACTTCAAGATCGTGCTATAGCTATAGCCGAACTGCTTGCTGAAATCGGCCTCTCTATCTGTCCAGGCAGTATTGAGAGCACACGAGCGAAGAACCCTGCCGTCAACAAGGTCATAGATGTCAATCTCCCAGTTGCATTTGGTAGCATCGTTCCACTCGAGACTCCGTAGAATTGCGCTTGCAGCCTGACAGAATCTATCCAGAAAAGCATTATGAGATCCCAGGTCGGGGTTCTCAGGGAATTACAGTCTTCGCTCATTCAGAGACAGAGACATGCCAGGTGAAAAAGAACCCTACCAGCCATGCACTTTGTTTCTTCGTCTGGGGTTTCCATGAGAAGACGCAAGAGCGCAGAAAGGCTAAGTGCTTCTCTCATCGACATGTTTAATTCCTGGTTGTCGCCGACAGAAATTGCCAGGCTCTGGAAACTCTGAGTACATTCGGAAAACGAATCTGGCTCATCCGTGGCCGCCACTGAGGTCGTGGCTGCGTCCTCTTCCACTATATTTCCCTCGGCCATTTCCGCAGGGGGTCTTAAGGAACTCGCCTGGATCACCTTCGTTATGACCTAGAATTCGATACACTTTCAATCAGCAATTGATTTCTCCAGTATCGCAACCAAAGCAAGCAGTGGGAAATCACGAACCTTAATATCTCTCCACTCAATCTCGTTGATAACCGCAACATCCAACCCCAGATCCATGATATTGGCAATAACCTTGAGCATCGGCTCAACAGACGGGACATTATGCCTCCGCAGCGCTCCATTATGACACATGGCAAAATAAACGCTGTAGGTTCGTATGTGCTGCTGAAACTCTTGGGAGTCTACAGCAGGGAACTGGTGGACTTGAACGTCGGGGTTCACCTTTTGGAGATACGTCTTCAGGTGCTGGTAGATGACTTCTCTTGCTAGCTTGTATTTTGAGCGGTAGATATCTTTGGATGCGGCGAGAGAAGAGAGGCCTCAGTTTTCTAGGAAGAGTGCGGATGAGCGTGTTTGCTTCGCAGGTTTAGAAGGAGAGCTGCGACTTACCGTCGAAGAAGATAACGTGGAAGTTGCATTTCGTAGACAATAGTTTCGACAGAAGTCTCTCAACCATGTAGACGGCATGAAGTAATTGGAATCCATCTGTATATCGGTTAGTTTGTACTCCATGATAGCTCCTGCTTTAACCTGTCGATCTTACCTTCAAAATCCAACGCAAAATCATCAAGACACTCCAAGACTAGAGAATCGCCTCTTAAGCAGAAAATTTCTCTTCCTGCGTAGTCGTTTACCAGGTCAAGATTCCTAGAATCGAGACTGCTATACTACCTTTCCATAGTTTCGCAAATCTTGCTTTAGAGAAGGCTGGCGGGGGAACTGTAAGACCGAAGAAAAGTAGGATATTGGAAGACGGAAGGAGTGAGGTGTAAGAAAAGTACGAGAGGGGTAGAAGTCAAGAACTTTTTTTCCCTTTTTTTTTTCTTCCCAGGTCTGATGGTACAAGTACTTGTAGGTTATTGATTGCAGTCTTGTAAACAATGGTATGTTCTATAGTAGTAATTTTACTATAATACCCAAATAATAAAAGCCGAACAAGAAGAATTCAGAGGCCCCACAAAAAAACCCCATTAAATGCATCCATAGCCATAGATAGTCATTTGATCCATAATATTAACCCTAGCATAAACAGCATTGTATGTCATGGTATGGAATCAAAGATATGATAAAAAACGATATAAAAGCCATAATAGGCATGATCACTGTAAACAAAAGCATAGCAGGTAAATCCGAAAGAAAGCAGTACATCATTATTCGTCGTTTCTCGTTACAAAACATATAAAGTAACCCTGAAAAAAAAACGCCGTTAGCTCAAAACTTAGAAGAATAGGGACCGCAAATTCATACCCAGTTTTATCATCAACATCACTCATGAATCACAATTGATTCCAAAAAGCGGGAGGCAGCAAGCCAGAATGCAGATGGCTTTTCGCTAGTCTCGCATTCAGCTAGAAAGGGCTCAATAAATTGCTTCAAGAGCCACTGGGGTTCAAGGACGATAGAGCCAACAGCAGGTTTTGGTAGCCAAGTGAGATTCGGTTTCGGATCCAAGACGGATATATCGACGTCTTCGGTCACTTCGGTCACTCGTCGAGAGCGTGCAGCAGCAGCGGACTGAAGCACAAGCAATTGCCTGATGATATTTGTTTTCTCTCGCAGCTTAGGACGCCGTTCGTTCTTGGCGATATGTGTCAAGGCTGAGGCTTCAGTTTGGGAACAAGCGTCTCTGGACTCGTGCGCGAGTGCTTGTTCGGCATGAGCTTGGTCTAGAGAAATATTGTCCAAGAACCTCGTTTCCGCTGGGGATGGTCTCCTCGTTTCGGAAACAGGGGGGTCAATGTTACTTGGTCGAGAACAGGGATTGGCTGACGGTAGTTCTCCAGTATGAAGCAAGCCGGAACCTGGAGATCGCGGCTCCGATTCTTCAAAGGAGAAAAACGGACTTTCCGCGTCAGAGCCTGGCGACAATGACATATCCGGGCTTGTGCCATTCTCAGGTGTCCCCTCTCCGCTAGTGTCATGGGCCTCCGCAACACAGCGAAAGTTGCAACCGGTGCCTGAAGCGCCAGTACCAAGAAAAGACAAAAACTGCGCTCCCATTCCCCCAGTAAAATGATCTTGAAATTCTTTATCGAAAATGTTTCCATCTCCGCCGCCCGAGCCACCGTTGTTGCCATTGTTGTTACCATGGTCACGACTTCCTCTCCTGCTCGAGAAATCGCTTTCCGTGGAAGGTATGCGACAATGATTGGCTATGCACTCAAACCATTCATTCCAAGAACTTACTGTTCTCGGACAACGCCAGCACGCCCTTGGAGTCGGCATTTGTACTCTTGAGGGCCCTGTCATGCCGGAGGAGAGCGTTGCTGACATGATGTGGCCTGTTGATCTCGACCGATGCTGCCTCATCTTGTCCTTTCGGTACAATTTGACTGTACAACCAGGTACATGGCAGCGATATTGATATCTAGGACAATGCTTGTCTTCCACGTGGCGCTTGAAAGTCCCTATACTTCGGTATACCCACTGTTTCTCTTCGGGGCATAGCAAGCAACGATATCGGTCAGGCTGGTTGGATATACTGGTAGAGGCAGGCGGCATAACAGCCAGACTCTGGGGCATGGTGTACGATCCGATGGTGGCTTCCACTCTGATCAAGCAGGTTTGGAGAAGACCTCTTACACGATGCAACTGGTCCGTGGTATATTGGAGCGAAAAATCATTGAATCTTAAGTCGAAGAATTGAAGCTCGTAGATAAGGTGATCTAATTGTGGGGACGGCGAATAGTTCGGGATCGAAGGCAAGGATGTAGGCTGCGAAACCTCGGCGAAAGAATCTCCTGCACTAAAAATGAAGTCGGATGGATTGGTAGATGTGCCATCGCTTCCTCGGCGACTTCCACCATAGCCTGAAAGGCCAGGAACCTGGAGGGAGGCACTGCTTCCGTTTGGGTTTGCTGCCATTAGGAGGCCTTAGAGGAAGGATAGCCGCTGGGAAGAAGTGCCGGGTCAGTTCAACCCGCATGGAAGGGAGTTATGAGAGCAAGAAAAGTAAGCAAAGCGGGGGAATCAAATGTCAAAAAAAATAATGCAAAAACAAGAGGCGGATGATGAGCAGAATAAGCAAATATAACGAAGAGAGAGGCACAAGGCTATGGAGAAGGCAGAACGAGAAGGGGGGGGGGAAGAAGGGAAATATCACAACCAAATCAAAGCACTAGCACGACCAGCTAGCAAAAACAAAAGAGAAGAAGAGACGACTAAATGGGTTTGTCACAAGGGACTATAAGAAATAACCGGAGAGGAGAAGATGTGCTGAGAATCTAAACGGCGCACGCTGGCTATATAGAGGCGACTTTCCCATCTATCACAGCCTCACTGAACACCGGGGCAGTGAAGGAGTAATCCGAAAAAAATAAAAAATCATTTGCGATAACTAGCTTGCCAGAGAAGGCAACGAGGCTCATGGTGAGGGTACTTTAGCCCGGAGAAGTCTTGACTAATCCTCTCAATGATTTGGACGGAAAGATGCCGCTTCCTTGTCGAATAAGACTGTCCGCTAGGAGGACTATTCTAAAGGGTCCCTATGTCATGCTCGACCCACTGGGGGAACTCCAAGCAGCCAGACCCGCTGGAACGAGCTAATACAAGGATCCGATCAACAAGGAAAAGAGGCGCCATGGCAGGAGCTTCATTATCCTTTGCTTGCTGCGCCGCGATGTTTTTTTTCCATGAAGAATACAATGTTAATGTTGAGGAATCCCTGGAAGCATTACTGTTGCCCTGAGCTCTTTTCGCCTTCACCCCATACATTCTTTGGGCAAATCCAGAACTCCGTCGCGAGCCGACTGCTTGAGAAATCACCCTCGGGCAGGGTAATAATGGTCATTGACGTCAATAGCGCGCTTTATGGGTGCTGTGTAAGAATATTCAGCGGGCTTCAAGTGAGAAAGCCCACGTATCCATATCTATTGCCCCGTGCTGTGCTCTTAATATAGAACACTAGTAGTGGAGGGTAGCTTTCACATCATGCACTAGTATATTCTCGAATATGGGTCTCTGATGCGGGTCGATGGCTTGAAAACAGACAACTGGGGTCGACTTTGGAAATGACCTATATATTCTAGCGTGTATACATATGCTCGGTGCAGTAAGAAAACGGACGCAGTTGCCTAGGAAAGTAGATAAATGTTGTTAGTACAGAGTACGTCATCAGACAAGAGTACTACCGAGGATATCGAGTTCATGTGCGAACCAGTGGAAAAACATCCAGAAAAGTGAGGCAAAGGCGGCGACGAGACGGGTCGGAGGGCAAAGGCTCGCAAAAGGATGCGGTGCTTATAGTTATGGAGGGTATCTGGCGAAGAAAAAGAATTTTAAGAGTACGGAGGACGCCGTTCTCCGGGTCCGTACCGGCCCGTATCCGAGGACGAACCAGATTTTCAATCTGGATTGGGACTAACTATTTCAAGCTCGCACTAGAAGATAATTATTTGTCAGTTTTGTGTACCCATGTGCGGAGTACTTGCAGCTCAATTGCCGCTCGTTTTACCTTAATAACCTATATTTACCATATTCCCTCTCTCGTGACTACTGGGATGAAACAGGGGACATGTCCTAACGAGTCACATTAACGAATTCATCCAACTGCTATTTCTGCCCGCTATTCATAAAAATCACGGCAAATAAGAAGATGCCTAATGGATTGGTTCAGTGTCAAGTATCATGTATTGAATACAATATTTCAACAACTCTTACAGCGCTCATCAGTGTCGCACTCAATCTTATCTGCGGCAACTAGTCCAAATCAGTACTAGTGTACAACCTTATCTCAGAGTCTTGAATAATGAATGCTTGTATGGCTCCAGTTATGATTCAATCCTTGAGAGAAGGAATGAATAAGAGGAAATGTAAAATAAAATCAAGGTTCAGCAAATCAACAAATCAATGAAGCTCTGATCGCGCATAAGCCACACATCGCGCCACCCATGGCTAGATGCCAAGACGAATGACGAATGGTTCGCAAGGCAAACGGCCCACTACAGGTGTACTTGGACTCCTCGGAGAGAATTGAAGAAAAAGAAAGCATAGCTTCCCCGCCAGTGTTAGTCGCCGAAGTCGGGGTTTAATTGTTGATAATCCAACGATCTACTCTGTGCTTCGGAGAAAAAAAAAGGAGACGGGTTCTTGGCTATTGTGCTCATGTATTCTGCTATGATTTACATATAGATGCAGGCACGGAACGCAAAGAATGTTCCATTATTCGGACCAGTTCGAGAATCATCTGTCAGGTTGATATTGACTTATGTCGATCAAAGAAGACAACAGGTAAGACTCATATTGCAAAACTCAAGTCTTTCGAAACGCAGCAGTTGGCAAAATCTATGTTTGCATCAAATAGCATCACTTGTACAAAGAGGAATCATCGATAAACCCGAAACCGAAGAATCACAATGCTCATTCGTCCCAATTCCCAAGTATTAGTCAAGCCCAAAATATCCCTGTCCAACGCCCAAACCCATCGAAAACCGAAACCAGTACATCATTATTGCGCCCATGCTGTATGCTGAAGATATCGAACAACGACAGTTGTCAAATATGCGAGAGGATTGAGGATTGGTGAAGCAATCGTCGCAAGATATATATCACTTCTTGTCCATCATAGCTGGCGACCATGGCATGTCTTTTCGGTCCTCATTTATGAAGACATCCAGCATATGAGACGTGTTTTTCGACGACGGCGGCTGCCGGGGTATTTCTGGGACTCTGGGGTTGATGGGGGATGAAATGTCGCGCTTGGAGTCACGCTTGGTTTCCTCGTTGGCCCATTCGCCGATGTGTCGGAGATCTCTGTTGGAATTCATTTTGAACCGTATAGGCTTTGGAGAGAAGATCGTAGATGAAGCAAGAAAACGATGTGTTATTTAGTTAAACAGTAGAGTACGGACAGTTGGAAACAGTACGGTTGGTCAATGACCAGCTCTATGGGGAAGGGGGCGAAGGTATGAAGAACTGGATATGATTGAAAATAGACTGGGCCGTAGAGGGTTACCTGACTTTTATATATGATCAGAGTGCAATCACCTGGTAAAACTTCCAACAGGGCAAAAAGAGGGTGTCATTGCAAAAGCCCATCCAGACTGCAGTGCCCGGAAATTCCCAACTTGAAGAGGTAAAAAAGAGGTGAAGGAATGATACCGCCAGATTTGCCCGACTCTGGTTTGTCCATGGCCTCTTCCTGCAAAGTAGGCGCAGAGGATGGGCAGCTGGGTCATGGTTATTTTGCCTTGAAGCCACAGTATATAGGCTTGGCATTTTGGAAAATGAGTCCATAGCAAGCAAGCAGTACTCGGTCATCTCTCGTCCCACTGATCTTCAGTGCCTTGTACAGATTCGACAAGCACATAGACGGGACTACGCGTGACACTCGATGGAGTTAAGCACAGGGGATTAATCAAGACTTAGTAAAAGAACTCCCGTATCGGTTGCTCCTTTATCTTTTTCCATATTTCAATTTCCCCTTTTCCGACGGGCGTTCATCCATGATTTGCTTGCCCGTCCAGATCATTCCGGTAGCCTCGTCTCAACGAAATGGTCTTGCCTCATTTCAAACCTTGTTGAGAGTAAACAGAGGGAAATTAAATAGGAATGACGGCGTGCAGGGATTCGCACCCTTCGTCTGTTTCATTCCTATTCGAAAAATAATAATAATATTTTTTATTTTCTATTTTTTATTCTTTATTTTTTATTGTAGGATCCATCCGATATATAGATGTATAATTCAATCACCAGAAACATTATGAACCGAGGAAAGTCTGCAGTCATCCCCTACCGATTAACGTCCCGTAACCTTTAAGGAAAACAAAAACAAAAACAAAAAGATCAATGCAATAAATCAATAAATGCGTGAAGCATAATAGAGCCGAGATCGAATATTCCTTGTCGAGAAAGTGGCCAAAACCCTCGTCTTCTCGCACCATCTATACCACCAGGCTACGCCCTGTAGTTAAAGTAAAAGTAGCCCCATCAATATTATATACTAGACTGGGCCGTTGAGACGAATAGGGATCTACGGCATCTTCCCTGACAGCCGACATACTAGGATACATGCACATATGTCGCACAGAGAGCATGATGCATAGTGTATACAAACCCGAACACGTGGGTCTGTGTCTTTTTTCTCTTCCTGGCCAATGCAAAATGTGACTGTATGTATTCTAAATTCCTACGATATGCGTATTGTTCCGAGAACCCTTCCTCATAATTATTGATGACCAGTTATAACGACGACGTCATTTTCAGTATCTTGACTTACAAGCCACCTCGAGGTATTTCAGCATCACCTGCCTAAAATTATTTGTGCTTTTACCCGATACCCAAATTCGAGGGTATGAGGCAGTGTAATGCACTAGCCTGAGAAGCGGTGTAGGAACTAAGGGACTGCACAGCCATGTTCATGTTTGTAGAATTACCTTTTTTTTTTTTTTTTTTTTTTTTTTTTTTTTTTTTTTTTTTTTTTTTTTTCTAATCTCTACTTTCCTATGTTTGTTACTCTTGCGGGTATGATAGGGTGATTGATATCATGATCTAGACCTTCAATGCCAGATAATGAGGATTGAGGATTCGATGTAGCTCAACACATGAACATCTAGAACGATCTATTAGAGCAATCATCTATTGTGGTCTAGATTCCAATAAGAAACAGAAACGGCTGCACATAAACGGTCATTCAATTGTTGTATCGTAGAGGGTTTTGAAAATAAGCAAGATCTATGGCTGACTATGCGACTTTCCGAGGTTCAATGCGCACAGCTTGTCCGGACGGAGAGGTAGGTAATATAATACAGGTATGTCGCTAAATAAACGGTCTAGATGCTCTTTTTTTTTTTTTTTTTCCTTTCACTTCTAGGCATTAAGAGGGTCGTGTCACGCAAAGTCGTTAAGACGTCGCTCCGAAAGCGCGCAAAAGCAATTCATACCTGTTGTGACATGTTAGTAACCTTATCTTATCAACAAAGCGAACCCGAGATACTTACATTCCAAACATGATGGCAGCAGACGGAACCACACGAAGCAAATGCGGCGTCAAACCACCATACAATCCAACCATGCCCTCCTCCTTCCATACCGTCTTGAAGCACTGCACGAGCCCGGTATACTTCATCTCAGCCTTACCCTCTGCAGTCGACACGGTAGGGGCCTGCCTCAGTCTTGTCCGAACAACCTCATGCGGGTATGTGAGCGCCGCAGCGACCAACTTCGCCATACCAGCAGAAGCGATCCGGCCACCCCATAACTCCGCGGTATCCCAGTATCCGTACTCATGCTTTGGATCAGCCAGTTTCACCTCTTCCCTGCGTCCGAGGAACATCTTCATTTGTTCGTACATAACCCATTGTAATGTCGATTCCGTCACGCCCAGGTATGATGCGGAAAGACCCTTGTACAGACCCCGGATACCCTCGTGGTGAACCGTCTGCTTGATGCAATCCCAGCTGTTCTTATATTGTCGTCCCTTTCCAGCTTCTAAATTTGACTTGTCGAGTTGTAGTCGCGTCTTGATGAGCCAGATCGGGTTGGTTGCAGTGCCGGTGGCAATCCCCGCCACTGCGGCCGCTGTTAAATGCACCCCAACGGGCGTCTCCTTCGTATCCTGGTAGTCATAATAGTCGCTTATAATACGCTTTCCGTTTCCATATACAGCGAAGTTGATCGCACGGGCCGGGACGACACCGATCAGATTCGGGCCCAAGCCCTTGAACAGAGCGCGCCACCCTTCATGGACATGTATTGAGCGGAGGATCTGGAATGTCTCGCTGAAATGCAGGATCGCTAGACGAGGGAGAGAGATAATCGATGAGGATGGCGGTACGGGGTGAGAGGCACGAAGGGCTTGTAGTTGTGCTTGGTAGAAGTCGGATTGTAGACGGGTTTTCAGGACATCAAGAGGCGATGTGAGCGTCGCAGAAGTCATACCACCGAGGCTGTGGAAAATAAGACTCAGAATTCGTCAACCATCAACAAGTAAAAGCTTAGGAACATACCCTCCCGCGACGAAGTGTGCATATGGCTTTGGTTTTGTCTCGGCCTGATCTGGCCGCACGCGCTGGGGCACCACATTGCCGGTTTCTCTTGATTGTATTATTTTATCATTCCCAATCTGAGGCGACTGATTCCCGGTTGCCAGATGCGTCTGCGACGTGCCGGTGCTGGGGTTAGCTGGGAGAGACATTCACAAGGACTGGATGTTGATGTACCAGTCGAGGGCGGTTCCGATCGGCGCGGTCTGGGGTGACAAGGAAAGAGGAGACAGAAGATAGGAGTGTACTTGAAGTAAAAATGACGTAGTCTCTCCTTCTGATTAAGTGCTCAAAAAAGTGTACAAACAATAAAAACAAATTAGAAATGAAGGAAACTGAGTCGTATCGATAGGAAGAAAAATTGAATCTCGGCGGCGGCGATTTTTTGCGGAGTCCGGAGCGGACCTGTCTGCCACTGTTGATTGGAAATCAATGGCAGGGCAGGGGATCAAAGGCCGCAGAATAATGCATTTTTATGGACTACATGAGCATTGGATATATAAAATCCGCCATCTAGATCGATGGTGTATGAATCCCGGGATCGTCTCAACGTCATGAGCCCTACGTGCGTAGTACGGTGACCAAAAGCCCGGGCTGGTTTGTGTAAGGTAGGATGGAGTAGCCGCACTTAAACCCTGTCTAATCCTAAGCAGCAGATATCTAGCGGATCGAGACTTCTACGGCTACAAGGTGGTTTGGCTTGGCTGCGGACGCCATAGTTCACCTCTAGTCTGGACCCAGTTCCACATCATGATCATGGCTTCAAAAGTGCTTTTGGTTCCTCATCTGTATATAGGGGCTGCACGATATCCGTAGTCATCCAGGAGAATGCGGCCAGACAGTTGAAACAGGAAGAAATTGAGAATTTTTCTTTTTTTCTCATTCAAGGGAATCTATGCACAAGCCTTACAAGTGCCGGAACAACGAAAAACCCTTTAATATTTTTTATAATATTCCGCTTCGTTGAATGCAAATCCACCCATAGATGGAGAAAACCCAGAAACACCAAACCGCGTCGACCGAATCCATTCGTTTAAATGTGAGTGTCGTAAGCAACAGGGGCGATGGTCTCGGGGGTGACACCCTCGACGGTGTGAGCCTCACGGGGCTGGGCGGGCTGGCGCTTCAAGTGAAGGTGGACACCCTGCTCCTTGGCCTGGCGCTTCTTTTCGGCGTTCTCCTTGACACGCTTGATGAAGTCCTCACGGGAGCGGGAGTGCTTGACGTGCTCGATGCGGACGTTCAGGCGCTTCTCGATGTAGCGGTTGTCGACGACCTTGTAGAGGAGGACACCGACGGAGGACTTGGTCACGTTGTAGACGACACCGGTCTTACCGTTGAAGACCTTGTGGGGCATACCCTGCTGGACGGCACCGTTGACATGGATGTCGACAATGTCGCCAACCCTAGAAATTCATCGTCAGATTCCTTGCCCTTATAATATATCTCGATATCGCATCAGAGCGGGAATTCGTGTTCGTACCGGTAGGTCTTCAGGTAGGTCGAGGGCCGAATCTGGCCATGCTCCTTGAAGTTACGGGCAAAGGCATACTAATATTCCTCGTCCGTCAGCATGCGCCGTTCTCCCACGCTATGAACCACGATCGCAAATTCGCCGTAGGAAAAATCGACTTCGAAAAAACAAGAGCAACATACCCGGGTGCCGCGTCTCAAACCGTGCGAGTGACCCATTGTCGGCGGTTTTGGTGATACTGGAGTTAGTTGTCGACAACGAAAAAGTGCCTTCTTCCGCACCAAGCGGTGGTAGACTTCGGGATTGCTTAGTGCGCGGTTCTCCGCCAGCATAGCCCTAGCCCTTGCACTAGTCCACATATGGATTTAGTCCCACTCTCGCTCGCTTAGTCCCACCCGGTGAAAACAACATCTTCAACTTCTCTATCTTTGCGAATTCCGAGAAGCTTGGTAGTGTTCGACAACCTCACGACAACCCACCTTCGCAGCCATGGCCCCCGTCCCGTGAGTATCCTGCATCGTGGGCTCGATTGCCTATGTCGCATCGATTCTAACTACTATGTGAAATACAGTCGCGTCTACTCCAAGACCTACAAGGTCCCTCGTCGTCGTAAGTACTCCTTGAAGTTATACAAGAAGATGAAGCAAAAAAAAAAAAAAAAATAAATCAATTAGCAAACATTTGAATACTGACTTGTGACAGCTTTCGAGTCGGCTCGTCTGTTAGTACTCTCCGGCCACTAAGCAGAAGCGTGCTTCTGTTTATGTCGTGTGTTCAGTTGCCTAACCATTTTTCGATAGTGACTCGGAACTGAAGACTGTCGGCGAGTACGGCCTGCGCAACAAGCGTGAGGTGTGGCGTGTCCAGCTTACCCTGTCCAAGATCCGTCGTGCTGCTCGGTATGCGATCCCAGTTATCCGATAAGGAAATCATCCAATGAAACTAACTCACTTCCATAGTGAGCTTCTCACCCTCGACGAGAAGGACCCCAAGCGTCTGTTCGAAGGAAATGCCTTGATTCGCCGTCTGGTCCGTATTGGTGTGCTTGACGAGTCGCGCATGAAGCTCGATTACGTTCTTGCCCTCCGCATTGAGGACTTCTTGGAGCGCCGTCTCCAGACCTGTGTCTACAAGCTCGGTCTCGCCAAGTCCATCCACCACGCCCGTGTCTTGATCAAGCAGCGTCACATTCGTGTCGGCAAGCAGATCGTCAACGTTCCCTCCTACATGGTTCGCCTTGACTCCCAGAAGCACATCGACTTCGCCCTTACCTCGCCCTACGGTGGTGGCCGCCCTGGCCGTGTCCAGCGCAAGAAGGCCCGCGCTGCTGAGGGTGGTGGTGAAGACGGTGGTGAGGAGGACGAGGAGTAGATTATTAAAACTAGGAGTATGGACGGGTTTTAATTTAGATATTCAAAAAACGGGGTTCCATTGTGACTGCAGCATAGCGTATCATGTTGTACGATCATACGATAAACGAATAAAAAGTATCATTCGAGACCCTAATTCATGTCCGTAATGCCATGTCTATATACACCTTTGTCCCTAACTCTCATTTCCTAAAACGCCGTTCCTATCGTAAATCATACAAACCCGAATGAAGATCCTTACTCCCCGACATCCACTATCTTTTTCAACGTTTCTTCCGCTCCTCTATACCACCGTCCCATCTCTTCAAGACCATCACTCTCTCCCTGTTGCTTCTTCCGCTTAGCTTCTCTGGCCTGTGCAATTTCCTCAGTCTTGCGTCTCTCAAGCACACCCAGTTCCCGCTCAATGGCCTCAGCCTCCCTTGTCTTTCTAGGCAATGCATTCTGCACCGTAGCCAACTGACGATTAAGTGCCGCAAGTTCAGCCTCACGCTCAGATAACAGCGATAATGTCGCAGGAAGAGGAAGCTTCTGCGATGATGACGCGTCGTCCATATTAGCAACCTGTTTCGCGCGTAACCCGGCGATAGTAGACTCGAGGTTCGCAATGGATTCGGGGAGTTCGGAGAGTTGGGCCCTTTGTAACTGGACATTTTTATAACGGGCTGCAAGATCCCTGCCTGTCTTCTCCATTTCCTCAATCATCATCCGGACATCTTCTTTGCGCGCTTTGAGTTCTGCTTTTATTTCCGCAAGCTGGGTTTCGAGTTTGAGGTTCTCATTGTTGTCGACGACGAGGGGTGGGTCGCCTACGATTGCGCGCAGAAATTTCTCTTTTGTGACTTGCTCGACGTAGGAGAAGCGTAGTTTGGAGAAGAGTTCCTATACAGACGTCTATCAGCGTTTGTTCCTTTCAATTGTACAGGGTAAGCCAACAAAATTAATTCTATACCTTGTAATGCGTCAAGTCTGCCTCCAAAGAAGATGGCGTGGGATTATCGAGAGCAGAGACATCAGACCCACGCTTCGAGGGAGACCGTTCTTGATTCTCAACCTCCGATTCCACGCCGATGGGTTCGCTGATGCGGAGGATGGAGAGGCACGTTTTGATATCGCCGTGTTCGTTTTCGAGGCTTTTAAGTTGGTTAAGCGCTTCGGAGGAATTTGCCTCTGTCATATTGTCGCAATGCCCCAGTAATACCAGAAATCAATGTTTCTCGAAAAGTGTTGTTGGTAACGCGCGATGCGGAGGTAAATAAATTGATCTCTATCGCCGCCCGCCGATCGATAAAACTGCTCCGCTTCGGGCGGTAACTTCACCTTTGTCAATCTTGGGCATTGATATCTCTGATCTGTTTCTTCTTATACCACTTCCTCTAATCTTGAATAAAATTTTCTCGGTTTTTTGTCCTCATTTGCTATCGCACTTCAGCGCGACTCCCTCTGACTATGCCTCCCAGACCGGGAGCGATTGGCGACGTCAGCAACGACGACTACGTCGCGCAGGTCCTCGCAAACGAAGCACGGGATAATTCCAAGAAATACGCCTTGGAGGGATTAGGAGCATACATGCCTAAGAAGTTTGTTACTCTTTAATGGTCTTCAAATGGTTCAGGCTGTTAATGAGGATGAATGCGACAGACCGTCAGGCGCAGCTCCGAAACCAAATACACGATTCTTACGACATATCATCCGAGAAACGGACAACCATAACACAGCATTGAAGCGAAAGGAGGAGAGGGAGGCTAGGGAGCGAATGCGCCAATTACGAGAGCAACAGGCTGCTTCTTCGACATCGCGCGATACAAGAAGACACCGTAGGGACAGGGACCGTGAATCCGGCGATCAAGGCGGAGAACGAGAGAGAAAGGATAACCGGGAAAGAGAACATCGTCGGAGAAGACATAGGAGTCGGTCCGCAACAAAAGGTAAAGAACGGGATCGCTCGCGAAAACACAGGCGGGGACATGAATCGGAGTCTGAGAGCTCTAAGTACCGACGAAGAGACCGTGACGACGATGAGCACGATTACTCGAGACGGCATCGGTCGCATTCTCGCTCGAGAAGCCGGTCACCGCGAGGTGAACGGGAACGTAATCTCCGAAGTATTAGGCGGCGTCATGGACGATCGTATCATTCTAGGTCTCCAGAACGCTCTGAGGGGGAGTACAAAGAGGGCAGTGGTAGCCGAGATGGACAGCGCGGCTCCCGTGAGCACCGGTCTACTCACAGGTCCGGCCAACATTCGAGAAGATTATCTCCACCTCCGACAAAAGAACGGGATCAAGCACCAGATCACGACTCAGATCCATTGGAGGACCTGGTAGGACCGCTGCCACAAAGAGACGGTGCTGAGGCACCCATGCGCTCTCGCGGACGAGGCGCCTACAAGTCCAGTCATAGTAACATCGACGCCCATTTTGCGAAAGACTACGACCCAACGCTTGACGTCCACCCGGATGACGATGACCCATATTTCGGAAATATATCTACACGCCGACGAGTACCAGGGCTCATGACCGAAGACGATGACTGGGAACTCGCCCTCGAGGCCCTCCGGGACCGGACTCGCTGGAAACAAAAGGGAGAGGAGAGGTTACGACAGGCTGGGTTCAGCGAGTCTACGGTGGACCGGTGGAAGAACAATGCTGCTTTTACAGGAGGGAATACAGAGGGCAGTATCGAGGACGTGAAATGGTCGAAGAAAGGCGAGGGACGTGAATGGGATCGGGGGAAGGTCTTTGATGAGGATGGGCATGTTGATATTAGGGCGCCTTGGTAGGCTTTCTGTCGATTATGGCGCCCAGTTCTTGGCACCTTGCGTAGCATAGATCATTCATATACCAACATTATCATCTCAGTTCCCTAACTTTTCCCCCTCTAATTAGTTTAGCATTGAGTATGCTTGACAATGCGTCACTAATCACCGTCAAGCCATAGATTGCGCGCAGTTCCGCACGTTAGTCAGCGCGGAAATCCAGCGTTGACATCACTAATTCAAATATTGATCTGATAATAAAATGCAAATTGGAAGACTGGTTGTTATCTGATTCGTGATTGCAGGGGGTAAATTATCAATAATTACTGGCGTGGTTGACTCTGGATCTTTCCACTGGACATCAGGTCCAGATATATTGTGACAACCATCCCATCTTACGATTTGATAGGAAATTGCATTGCTTATTGTTAGTGACCATTTATTGACTTGAAACCATATCGAAGAAATAGCATTCTCGGCGCAATGACGGATCAATTCGCATATACATACCCCTCACCGTTGGAGGGGTATGAGAACCTCGAACCACTCCCGGAGTAAGCGACATCCCATGAGACACAAACGAGAAGAATGAAGGATATACTGACAGCTTGATGCAGAGAGAGAAACGACGATGGAAAGTCTTTCAGAAACCCGCAGCATGGGGTGCTGAGCAAGGCGTATGAGGAATTTCCGGATCCTTTATCCAAGGGTCGACGGGGAGGGTTTGATATCCATATTTATCATTTTCAGGTTTGTTCGCTCTTTTTCTGCACTAAGAGCGTCTGTTGTTAAGACTGAGGAAGCTAATTGTTGATAGAACAACCCCGACCAAGCAGCTTACGCAAGAGCCCTCTGGGAACGAATCCGCCGGGAATGTAAGTAGCTCATTCCCCGACACCCGAATCCAACCTAATTGAATCCACTTACTGACCATCGATAGTCCCCGAACTTCGTATCTACACCTTCTTCGACCGCCCCATAGGCCCTCACCCTGTCGCCATGTTCGAAGTGAACCTCTTCAGCCCCGCTCAATTCGGCGCTTTCATCCCATGGCTGGTGATCAATCGTGGTCCGCTGAGTGCCCTGATACATCCGAATACGGTGGACGCAGAGGAAGAGAGGAACCATACTCAGAGGGCGACGTGGTTAGGAGAGAGGATTCCGTTGGATTTGAGGCTGTTTAAGCTGATGAAAGAGAAGGAGAAGAGGGAGGAGGAGAGGGAGAGAGCGGCTGTTGCTGGTGGTGAGGGGAGGTTATGAGCGTGCGTGATAAGCAGCGTACAGGGACAGGGACAGGGGCAGCGGTAGTATAGTAGAATGGATGGAAGTTGATTGATTAGATAGTGATACTAAGTGTCAAATGCACGTGAATACAAACTTGGTCATGCCCTATCCCCATACAGGTAGACAGGTAAACATACATCACGGGACCTGCGCAGCAATCGCCCCTTCCCAATCACACAACACCTGTACCACCATCATCGGGGAAACAGAAACATGATCGCTGATTCCATCATCCGCATCCAATAAGCATCAAGCATGTATTTTCAGCCCATGCAGACGGACTTAACGATCTTCCCTGCCAAACCGCAATTCAGAACGCTTGTTCCTTGCACGGGGTTGCAGTTGGATTGTGATTGATTTTGTTTCGACTAAGGACAGTGCTGGTATTCGTGGACTGTCACAAGATGAGTTTCTTTGGTGCTACTGGTGGGTTTATGGGGGCGTTTTGTATGTGTTATTCTTGTGACATGGTTTTATATATAAGGCTGGCCCGGAGAACTTATTTTTGTATTTTGACTACAGGGTCGCAGCAGAGCAACTCTTCGATGTACCAGTGCACGATGCAGTTGGCACTAAATCCTCTCGTGTTCATTTCTGGTGTACTGTCAGGCAGTACGCCTCCTACAGGACTATCTGTGACGCCAATCCCAAACTATGTCATCGAATACGGTTAGTTCTCACGTAGAACCCAAGATCTGTCCGTTTCTGAAAGATCTAGCGCCTCTCATCTGGCTCCATAGCCAAGATCCCTACAGACCCTCCGGCATCGCGCAGCAGCTCGCTCATACAACACCCATGGTCAACTGGACAGCCGTGCAAGACCTTCCCGCGCCGGTCTCCCTCAGCAATCTAGACAGTCTCAACGAGTACGGAAACAGCAGTGTCTTTTTGACGTCGAAGGAAGGCATTGATGCTGATCCGCAGCCGGCGTGGTTGTATGGCGATACTTTCGATCAGAATAATAACACTGGGAATGCTATTTCGTCTGTGGTCATCACTCGTGACCACGGGAATGACACGCTTGATGCGTTTTACTTTTACTTTTATGCGTGAGTTACCCAGATAATGAGATGTAATGAACTTTAGCTCACCAGCCCAGGTACAATGAGGGAAACACGGTCTTGGGAATGGAGTTTGGTAACCACATAGGAGATTGGTTAGTCGAGACGAACCCTACTTGGATCATCTCATGCTGACCATTCAGGGAACACAACATGATTCGTTTCCAGAATGCAACGCCAGAAGCAATCTGGTACAGCCAGCATGCTAGCGGACAAGCATTCACATACAACGCTACAGAGAAACAAGGCAAGAGGCCTTTGGGCTACTCCGGAAATGGCACCCATGCCACTTATTCCACTCCCGGGTTAGTCCTTTTTCCATTGAAAGACTCCGCCCTCGACTGACGCTGTACACTCCACAGCAACCACGATCACACAATCCCGGGCCTCAACCTTCCTGCCGGCTTCCTAGTCGATAAAACCGACCGTGGAATCCTCTGGGATCCCACCAAATCCGCATACGCATATAGTTATGAGCCCGCCACAAAGACCTTTCAGGCCTACGACCCCAGCTTCCCAGTGAGCTGGTTGTATTATAACGGACAATGGGGCGATGATGCACTACCGGGGGGACCGGAGTTGTTTGGGCAGAAAAAGTGGACGGGAGGACCGAATGGACCGAAGTTCAAGCATTTAGAGAGGGAGGAGGTGTGTCCGTCGCATCCGTGCGTAGTCTTGCCGTTTCGGTCATGGGAAGAAGGAGAGGGTGTGTCTGAATAGCGTAGGGGATGTCTGGTGATTAATGATGCGCATGGATAATGCCCCGCAATAGCTGCTCATGTGGGGTTCAGATTGCCTGCAGCTTTTAGAGGTTCCATATCGGTGGTGCGTGTCCTGTAGATTAGCATTTGTCATGGAATTGAATTTCAAATGATGTTCTTTCAGTACTGCGCAGTGCTTGACTGAATCATGAATAGTCGCCAGTTCTGGAGTACAGAGATGGAGAACGGAGTAATGGCGCTCATCGAGTGGACCACCACGTGATACCAATATAACCCGAAAAGGCAAGAGTCAAGCCACTTAAAGATACAGACACCGGGAATAAAGTACGTTAAGCTATCCCGTTCTGAAGGTACTCTGAAAATAAATACGGGACGGGTTGCCACCGCCGCACCGTGCTCTGTATGTCAGCTCCACGTGTGGTCAGATTGACCACTTTTTAGAGCCGGACTATTGAATGTTGCGCGCTGGGGATGAATTCTTTGATCGATCTGGGGGAGGAACGAGGCTGCATGAGCGTTAAGAGTGGATATCGTATTGTTCAATACGGCAGAGTTGAACGGATGTTCAGTCGAGCATGACTCCGGATGAGCTTCCCCTGAAAATGAGCACCTCCGAGCCTAAATACGGTCACTAGGTCTAGCGCAACCAACCACACGCCGCGCTTCGGGGGGGAAAGCATAGGTCGAGCCCCTGAGCTGAGGACCAGAGGGAAAATTTTCGAGAGGAGAAAAAAAAAAAAAAAGTAAAATAACGGCTGATAGACAGATCGCATTGTCATCGTGCGTCCCATCATTACTGCAGGCATAATAATAGCAGGAACAGGAATACATGTGGGTGGTCATTGCTTTCAATCCGTTCATACATATCAATCACTTTCGGACCGGACAGCAGGAAGAATAGGGAAAAGGCGAGCCCATCCATATCTTCGCTCGGCCGATCTTCATCAACGCCGGAATTGCGCTTTTCTAATTCAATCTGCGCTGCTCTCGGCTCTTCTCCTCTCTTCTCTCCCTTCTCTTTGTCTCATTTCCCTCCTTTTCCGTTTCGCGCATTCGCATTCTCTTATTATCCGTCCATCATTAATATTGTTCTCCATGCGCCGCTTTAGTCGGACGCTGTGAGCTGGTTGTTTCGCATTCCAGATCGAAAGAAAAAAAAAAAAAAAAAAAAAAAAAGCGCTTTGCGAAAAGGAGAAGAGAGACAGAACTGGTATCGACAAACGCTTGCTGGGCTTGTGGTTGTCGTTTTTCTTTCTCTTTTATCTCCTCAATCTGCGCGACTCATTCTTACGCATTCTTTTGGATATTTTCAATTACTATCAGAGCCTGGTGGAGAAGACTAGTGTGTCACGACTACTGTAAGTGCTGTATGCAATGCTATTCACTGGGTGGACTTTCTGGGCGTGGGGAGAGCTTTGCGGGTATGGGATGCGCGCAATTCTCCTCATGCTTTTTGTATTGCATTCTTTTTCTTTCTATTCCTATCTTTACTGACAATTTAGTCTGGAATCTAGATAGTCAGGTAGTACAAGCCTATCTGCCTCAGATTAAGTAATTCCAGGCCGATTTCATTATTGACTACCCGTCCCCCACTTCTGCGCGTTGGGAAAGAGCAACTGCGACAGAGACAACTAGTCATGGCAACCGCGTCGCCCAGATCCTCGACCCCCGGGCGAGGCCAGGACCTTCCTCCCATCACTGAAAACCACAGCAACAGCACTTCCAACTCCAAGGACCAGCGCAAATCATCCTCACTCGGTTTCCTTCGTCGTTCCAAGTCCACTGAACCACTGGCTGAACGCAAAATCTCTGGAAGCAGAACTAAGAGATCCAAAACCCAAGCTATGGAGGAGGAACGTCGCCAGAGAGAGGCCATGCCCAAGCAACCTCCCCGTCTTCCTGACTTGTCCCCTCCCCCCAGACTTGAGACCTTTGGTGGCGATGAGCGCCCTGACAGCGTGGCGATGTTTTCTTCCAGGCCGTATGAGAATACTGCTGCTCCTGGAACCGCGCTTAGCTCGCCTGCTCCTTCTGTCCACCCCGACCCATATGCACGCACTGAAAGCATGACGCACCGTGGACGCTTTAGCTATGCTAGCAGTGCTGTCAGTACCTCCAATAATCCTCGCAGACTGCGTCGTCGCAAGGATCCTACGCCGTACAAGTGAGTACTACGTTAGCTCTATTTGAAGTGAGCCTCTGCTGACTCTGTCAAGTATCCTCGTGATTGGTGCACGGAACTCCGGGAAGACCTCGTTCCTTAACTTCCTCCGCAAGTCTCTGGCCATGCCACCACACAAACATCCCAGCCGTTTGCCGGAAGAATTTGAGCATGTCCAACCTCATTCTGTCTCGAATGATGCTTTCACTTCTCACTATCTGGAAACTGAATTTGACGGCGAGCGGGTAGGGCTGACCCTGTGGGACTCTCAAGGCCTGGAGAGGAACATTGTCGACATCCAGCTTCGTGGAGTAACCAATTTCTTGGAGGGCAAATTCGAAGAAACCCTGAACGAGGAAATGAAGGTGATCCGCTCGCCAGGCGTTCGAGACACCCACATCCACTGCACCTTCTTGGTCCTTGATCCCGTGCGTTTGGACGCGAACATTGCTGCTGCCGAACGGGTGGCCAATGGCAAACCCAAGGGTTCTGACTCTCCTATTGTTGGTATCCTGGACAAGTATCTCGACCTTCAGGTCCTGAGGACCGTACTGGGCAAGACCACTGTTGTGCCGGTCATCAGCAAAGCAGACACGATTACCACCGCGCATATGGCCTACCTGAGAAAGGCCGTCTGGAATAGCTTGAAGAATGCCAACATCGATCCCCTCGAGGTTCTTACGTTGGAAGATCAGGAATATACTTCTTCGGAGAGTGCAGACGAGGAGGAAGTGACACCTACAGGTTCGCAGCACGAAGATACACAGCTCGAGGTGACCCCCGAGGCGATCCCCGAGGCAGCCCCCGACGCTGAAAACCCTGACCAAGTCAAGGAAGCACCTGCACCCACACATGCGGTGTCGGAGTCGGAGTCAGAGCCAGCGCCATCGAACAAGAAGGCTGAAACCCAGGGCCCACCATCCGAACGAAGTCGCAAGTCCTCTGGGTCCGAAGCGGTTGCTCGGAGTCTCCCGTTCTCGATCCTCTCACCTGATCCGCACTCGTTGGAGGCCGGTGATGAACCCGTGGGCCGCAGATTCGCCTGGGGATTCGCTGACCCGTACAACCCCGAGCACTGCGATTTCGTGAAGCTGAAGAATCACGTCTTTAATGACTGGCGAACGGAACTCCGGGAGGCTAGCCGTGTGATCTGGTACGAGAACTGGAGAACCAGTCGGCTGAACCGCAATGGTGTTCATACCGCTCCTCCTCAGCGGAAGACGTATGGCGGACGAATGGGCCCATTTGACGGGCGTCGGACCCGGTAAATGCTTGCAGAATAGCAGTCATTGTTATCACAGACAAGCTTTTACCCCGGCCGCGATCCTACTGTTCTCGCTAAACTTGGGTTCTCCAGTTTCAATCTACAGCCCGATCCGTAACATGGACAGTTTTTCACCTTGTTCCATTCTTATCATTCTCCGTGGTTCATGTTTTTTCTCTCCTGAAAAAGGATAATGCCTCCAAACTCGCTATCCGCCAAGACGCATAGATACCCATCAGCCTTTCCTTGCGCGTCATGCTTGAGCGTTCATATTGTGGCAGCAGTTTTCTGATGCAGTTGTTTGCTTGGATTTGTTATTTTTTGCCCATTGAAGCATTGCTGACAGTTTTTCTTTCTTTTCTTAATTACCCCAATTCTTTGTATCTCCCCCTGCTTTTTACGTTCTACATTCTTCACTCTCCTTATACCAATTTCCGTTCAATTTCTAGCTATGCTGGATGGTCATTTTGTATGTTGTTCCGCAAGACCTTCGCGTGACGAATGACCTTGTACATCCGAGTTTGGTGGAATGCTGCTTGGTTTGTATGGACTTGGTTTATTCCTCTTTTCATTTTGCCTGAAATGTCTGTATTCTTGATTCCCATAGTGAAATAGCAGTTCCACAGGCTGGTATCTCGTGGTATCATCTCTATGAACGTATGTCATTTGTCATTCTCCATGATTCTCGTGGTTGTAGCACCAAACTGTTCCGTGACTCACCTGATGATAGTATTCATGTGCATCTCCGCGCCATCAGGGCTAGTCTGCTGCGCCCGACCAGCTTCCCCGACCAATAGCAGCCCTTTTAAAAGCTCCAGCTGCATCTAGACGCCCCGGAGCTGTACAATTCAGCTGGCAATTCATCGATTATGATTATCTCTGCTGTTTGTGAACGAGTTGCCGCTGCAGAGACGGCAGCCCCGCAAGCACCGAGTTTAACGCTAGAAGCGATGATCCACGACCAACCTCGCCGAGAGCAAACATAACTGAGCCTCTTTTTCTTTCTTTCTTTTTTTTTTCTTTTTTTTTTTACACATTCTCTTTTCACATGAATTGATCTCCAACCTTTCCTACTCTAGGTCTATCTGCTGCTCTACTACTCTTTTGCGTGCTCTTCTACCCGCCATTCCACTGAACAAACCGAGTGTCGGTATGTCACTCCAGGTCAACGACCCATGGTCGCGCGGCCGGTCCAGCAGCCGAACCCGCGAACGATCCAAGTCTCGCGATGCCCGAAGCCGCAGTCGAGTATCCTCGGCCGTTCCACGGACCAGCAAATCTTCACTGGCTTCCTTAGACGACAACCCACCACGGTCCCGATCGCGCGGTCCCCGCAGCAGCAGAGCACCCAGCGCCGTGCGCGGCCACCGCAGCAAGTCGCGGCCGCGGTACGATGTTCCAGATACTGAGGGTGGCGATGGAGGAAATGCGAGCGACTATTACCGTCGAGGCACGAGTCGACGGCCTCGTCGTCGGGAATATTATCACTCGGGCGATGAGGGTGATTATGGGAAGGAGGAAGCGAGCTATTATCTGAAGTCTACACCTAGTACTGGTTCCAAGTTTGATAAGAAGGCCGAAGAATCGGATGATTCGTCTGTGGACGATAGATTGGCATATGGCGATATGCCGGGGGAGAGAAAGAAGACGAATAGAGGATCCAAGTTCTGGTCATCGCTCCGCGACTCGGCGACCGAGTTAGCACAGCAGGCTGTTGCAGCGCAAGCTGCGCAGAATAAACCAGAATCGCCAAAGCCAAACCTCCCACCACGTCCTGGATCGCAGCCGCAGCCAGAGGCTCCTCCAGGTCCTGGCTATGCTCAACCAGAGCCGTTCAAGTATGGCTATGCGAGCCCGCAGCAGCACAACTACCCCACATACCCGCCGACGTCGTCTGCAATGCCATCGAATTGGGCACCTATTCCAGAGTGTGAGATGCCGGGGTACGTGCCGCCGTCGTCGCAGGGTGAAGGGCAGTCTTCTATGCCTGGAGCTTTCCCACCTCCTGAGACGTCGCAGCCGGCGTCGACAGGTCCGTCTATGCCGCAGTATGCGAATCCGGCGCCGTACTCGAGTGCCTATGTGCCTCATAGCGCTCATCACAGTGCGCATCCTGTTTATTCACCTACGACGGGCGTGTATAATCCAGGTTCTTATGCGTCAGCTCCTCATACTTCGTCCGGGGAGGGACCTCCGCGGCCGGCGTATGCGAATCTTCCGCCGTTCCAGTACGCGCAAATTGATCCCAGTATAAGGTATGGTTCGAAGAACTCGTCCAGGCCATTTAGCTATCCTGCAGTACCGCAACCGTCCAGGCCGCCCGCTAGTAGCCCGAGCCAGCATCATCCTGCACCTCCACCAGCTGCGCCTGCTCCACCAGCTTCACGGCCTCCTGCAGCGTCTGCACCGCCGGCACCAGCTGCGCCAACCCCTCCACCGAAGCGCCCCGCGAAGCCTCAGATTTCTGTGTCAACGCAGGCCGCTCCTACGACAAGCAATAACCACTATGTCGAAATCACGCCGGGAGGCCGGACCCGCCCACCCAGCAACTCAGTATCGTCCGCCAACCTCACAGTCGAGAGACCAGATCCGAGCCACCGACCGGCAAGTCCTCTGCAAGAGCCTTATCAGGGCACGTATCAGACTATCTCGCCCATGCCATCGCCCATAGTTATCCCTGCCAGGCCGGAAGACGATGTCTCGGACTCCGAGACGCTGGATCCGAAGCGATCACATAGACGGAAGAAGTCCAGAGATGGTCGGGAGCCGAAGGATGAGGGATCTAGCAGGCGAGAGAGAAGCAAGGTTCGATATGAGCGACACAGTTCCACGCAGAGTCTGGAGCCTGAGTCTGTGGTCCTGATCTCCCCCGGAGCATCGCAAAACAAACGTGTGTCGTTCTACAATCCCACACCTGATGCACTTGCGATGCAGGAAGCTCTCTCGCACACGCGCCATATCGACCACAAAACACTAATCCACATTCTACCTCGATTGGGAAATGAGGAAATTCTCGACATGCGCAAGGAATACAAACACCACGTCAAAGTCCACGGCAAGGGCGTCAACGTCGCCAAACACATCCACCTCAAACTGGGCAACACCCCCTTCGGCAAAGTCTGCTACGCCACCGCTCTCGGCCGCTGGGAATCAGAAGCCTACTGGGCAAACTGCTACTACCAATCCGGCAGCTCGCGACGAGAACTCCTAATTGAATCGCTAATGGGTCGTCGCAACTCTGAAATCCACGCAATCAAAGAATCCTTCCGCGACCCGCGCTACAGCGATAGTCTCGAGAAGTGCATGAAATCCGAGCTGAAAGCCGATAAATTCCGAACGGCGGTGTTGCTCGCGCTGGATGAGAGACGGCAGAGCGAGCGCGAGCCGATGGACGAGGAACTGATTGACCGGGATGTGGAGGAGCTGCATCGCGCGCTGATCTCCCGCGACGGTGGCGAGACGGCCATGATCTTCATTATTGTGCGGAGGAGCGATTCGCATCTGCGCGAGGTGCTGCGTACTTATGAGAAGGTCTACCGGCATAATTTCGCCAAGGCGATGATTTCCAAGTCTCCGAATCTTGTCGTACGTCCCCCCCTTACAGTCTAATATGCACAATGTATATAACGTATACTAACTGATGACAGGGCGAAACCCTAGCGCATATTCTCAACGGCGCCATTAACCGCCCCATGCGCGACGCAATGCTGCTGCACCAAGCACTCCACGAATCACAAACAGGCAAAGAGCGCTCCGAACTACTCATCTCGCGACTTGTTCGTTTACATTGGGAGCCTAAGCATTTGGAGCAGGTGAAGCATGAGTTTCGGAGAAGGTATCGGGAGAGACTGGAGGAGGCTATCGCGGAGGAGGTGCTGCCGATTAATGGGGGGAGTGAGTGGGGGGAGTTTTGTATTGAGTTGGCGAGGAGTTGTAATAAGGAGTGATTGCGTTTTCGCTCTTGTGGGAGAAATTATTTATGAATGATAATGTGCGATGATTACGGTTTTAACGGAATATTATCTTGTTTATTTATTTTTATTTTTTGCTGCTGCTGCTGTTGGGGTTGCAACGGGAATCATTCGGATGTCCTCAAGGTGAGGAGATGGCTGGTGGGGGTGTGGAAGAGGGATTTTTGTTTGATTGATACCACTTGGTTAGGGCAGGAATAGATTGGTCTCCATGCTTAGTGCTAATGCAGATGGCGTGACTTGATCACATTGACTGCTCATCCTCGACTAAAGTTATAGCTGTGCTCATCTGGATACTGGGCATACTACCCCCGGTATTATAGATGGGCATTGGCATTACTTTCTATTACCTGTTTGGGAAACATGGATTGTCACACTGCCCTTACAGATACTCGATAAAGTCTATCTATAAAGTCTATTCAAGTCAGATGTAAGGCATGAACTTTTATATGTTGGTACAAGTAGGTAATTGCCGACAAAGTTCCGAGTATGTACACTGCCCGTATCGCCTGTACAGTGGGCTGTACTGTGAATGCATTTGACGTGGTCATATAGTACCTGCAGCGATGTGATTAATCGATTCCTGCCCAATTAAGATGCCTACATGCAGTCCCGGTGTAAATCTGCCTATCCGATCTTTGTATACTCGATCTCGAGTCCACCGAGTCCTAGTCCGAGTCAGCAATGATAGTAGTGCCAATGTCACACCGCAGCTACATCGCGTCAGATCGCGGTTTGTTATTGATCATTGGAGTATCCTTAGCAAACATTTGTTTTCATGAGGCACTGAATGATACTATTAGTAGTATGTATTGGTATTGTGGCGTATAGACATGCCGTATAGAGTCGGTGCTGCTTTCCTATTCGGGTAGGGGCTCTTGCCGGCTTACTTCCTCCATCTTCCGTTCTCTTTCTCACTCTCTTCCACCAATCCTCTACTCTCCTCCATCACAGTCTTTCGTTTCTTTGTCTCTCATCAAGCTACTCGTTTATTTGCTTTCAGTCCACTCTTTACACCGCCATTCGTTATCCCAGACAAACAGAAATCAGCAGAAACCTAACGTATGTATGGCTCTCCCTTCTGACCTGTTCTACAGTCATCCACTAACTCGCGCAGAATATCCCGTAGCTATTTTCCGATTCGATTCCGGTCTGCAGCCGTCTGTATGTATATCCCGGCTTTTCTTTGTTTATACACTGCTACCCTACTACTACCACCTTGGGCACGGCTATTCTCCGGTTTTTCTGCCATTCTCCCTTTCTCTCTCCTATATGCTTTCCCCTTGCCTCGGTCCATGTGGCTGAAGTGGCATCACGCCCTGTCTGTCTCTCTGTCTTTCTTTCCTTTTCTCCGTCCACCCCCACAGCAATTGACATGTCAGACGACATCCGGAAGATTCCCATCTTGCATCCATCCTGCAGTCCAGACTTTCTGACGCTTACTTTCTGGTCTTAGGTCACAGTTGTCTTGTCTTGCCCTGTCTTTGTCACCTGCGGAGCACCAGTGGTATGCGCTTATAAAAGATCTACCTGCCTAGCATTCCGACAACAAGCCCTTCCCTCTCCCTTCTTTACGTTTCTCCACACCTTGCAGAGCGGTGACGATTCCTTTCCTTGGTTCAAAAGGAATTCCTGCCATGCTTCTACGTGACTTCTGAAGCAACTACTATTCGTCAATATGAATCTCTATCGTTTTGGTCTTTTGGTCGCTTCCCTCGTCTCTGCGGTGACAGCAGAGTCGACCTTTACTCCTGCTAGGCCTCCGTCGCTGCCGTTGGCTGTCAAGTCCCCATATCTGAGCACGTGGCTGCCGGCAGGACAGGATGGGGGTAATGGTGGCTACCTGGCTGGTGAATGGCCGAGGTTTTGGGAGTGAGTACTTGCCAACTTGCACCACTTTTGCGCGCATGAACTGACATTTGACCAGAGGTCAAATCGTTGGCTGGGCTGGTGTCATTCGTGTAGATGGTAATTCCTACACGTGGATGGGGTTGCCAGGAACCACTACCGTGAATCAGACGGCCTACGAATATACTTCGACCAAGAGTATTTTCACCATGGACGTTGGCGGTGCAGTGCAGTTGAATCTTACTTTCCTCTCGCCTATCACACCCAACGATCTCAAGCGGCAGTCTTTGGTTTTCTCCTATCTTAATGTGGAAGTTGCCTCGCTCGATGGTCGATCCCATGATGTTCAGGTGTATTCCGATATATCAGCTGGTAAGTCTCTTTGCGGAGTATTCCGCATTTAGATTATGTTTCACCCATCTGACCAGTCGTCCACAGAATGGGTCTCAGGAGACCGTGGCGCTGCTGTACAATGGGACTATGGTGTCACGGACGATGAAGTCGCTTATCACAAGATCCAACGCCAAACTCAGTTGCTTTTCTCCGAATCCAGAGATCAGTCGGAATGGGGCTCTTGGTACTGGGCCACGCATAACGGAACGGGTGTAACGTACCAGTCGGGAAATGCAGAGGACGTTCGCAGTGCGTTTCGAAGTAATGGAAAACTGTCCAATTCAAAGGACAGCAACTACCGCGCCATCTCAAAAAACTGGCCAGTCTTTGGATTCGCCGTTGACTTGGGATCCGTCAGCTCTCAGACGGCCGACCGGCTATTCACCATTGGTCTGGACCAGCAAGATGCGATTCAATTCAGCGGTGCAACTGGTACACGCGCGGTGCCTTCTCTCTGGAGGAGCTATTTCAAAGACGGGTTGGCTGCTGTAAGTCGCTGAACGGCGATGTGGTGAAATAAATGTAAAGCTAACTTTGCCAGCTCGACTTCTTTTATCATGACTACGAGGAAGCCAACAAGCTGTCTTCGGAATTTGATGATCAGGTTGTCCGTGATTCTATTGCTGCTGCCGGCCAGGATTATTTGACCATCACTTCTCTTAGTGGTCGTCAGGCTTTTGCGGCCACCCAACTGACCGGTACCATTGAGGAGCCCTACTTGTTTATGAAGGAGATCTCTTCCAACGGCAACATGAACACGGTCGATGTCATTTTCCCGGCGCATCCCGTTTTCCTTTACACGAACCCAGAGTTGCTGTTGCTCCTGTTGAAGCCTCTTTACGAGATTCAGGAATCCGGAAACTATCCCAATGCCTACGCCATGCATGACATTGGCACGCACTACCCCAATGCTACCGGTCACCCTGACGGTAACGACGAGCCCATGCCGCTTGAAGAGTGCGGGAACATGGTTATTATGGCACTCGCGTATGCGCTCAAGTCGGGGAACACGACCTATCTGAGTGACCATTACACCAAACTCACTCAATGGACCGATTATCTCGTCGAGGATGCGATTTACCCGGCGAACCAGATTTCGACCGACGACTTTGCAGGGCCCTTGGCGTAGGTTTCTCTCTGGTGGTAGTCTTGAGGCATGCTAACGTGTATAGCAACCAAACCAATCTGGCTCTGAAGGGTATTATCGGTATCGAAGCCATGGCGACCATTAGTTCCATCACCAACCACCTCGACGACAGTGAGAATCGGACTACGATTGCTGAGGATTACATTGAACGATGGCAAACATTGGGCATTTCCAACAATACCAACCCTGCGCACACCACCTTGTCGTATGGAGACAGTTCATCTCACGGTCTACTGTACAACCTCTACGCTGATCGGGAACTTGGTTTGAACTTGGTTCCGCAGTCTGTGTATGACATGCAGAGCTCGTTTTACCCAACAATCGAGGCGACATACGGAGTTCCGCTTGACACCAGGCACAGTTATACCAAGAGTAGGTTCTCCGTTATCGAGACGTACTATGTAAACTGACACAGTTAGGCGACTGGGAACTGTTTGCTGCGGCTGTAGCGTCGAACTCGACTCGCGACATGTTCATCAAAGACTTGGCTACCTGGATCAACAAGACACCGACCAGCCGACCTATGACTGATCTTTATGAGACCAGCTCCGGAGAGTAAGTGCTCTGACGTCTTTGTGTGGATTGATGCTGACGGAACAGTTACCCCGGAATCACCTTTATTGCTAGACCCGTCATGGGTGGCTCATTTGCATTGTTAATTTTGAATTAGGTTATGGTTATGATATCCTTTGCGTGTGGAGACGTGGTAAGATTCGTGTAATATTGTTGGATGTTATCCTTACGGTCATTGTTAAGACCATATGGGTCGTTATATATAGGATTGAACGGCTGTTGCTATACAAGTATTTGTTTATCATCATGGAGTCCGTGTATCATAAAGTCAATCACAGTTCGTGAGCAAATTCATCCGTTTCGTCCCATTGGTCGAAAGCGCGAATCAAATCTGATTTGTCAGTCTCGTCGTAAACTTATGCATGGCCTTGGGAGACATACCGTAATACATCATCATACCCTCAAGATGAGTATCGATGGACTGTTTCTCATCAACAGTGTGAATATTGTTGAGGAACCTCTCACGACTAGGATTCCAGCGGTAAATATTCCGTGACAGATTCCAGTAGAACCGCGTATCCGTGTTCCCAGTCATCACATCCCCACTGACAACAACCTTCTTTCCCTTAAGAGCAGGAACCGACTCAAACACCGCGCGCGCAACACCCGAGAACCGAGCCCAAATCTGGTCCGCGGACACATCCGTCGGACTAAGCGGCGCGGGGACGAGCGGGGACGAAAGCGGCCTGAGCGTGAGATGGTTGATCGTTTCTTCGCCTCCGTCAGACGAGTACGGATGCGAGAACGAGAGATTGTATCTTTCGACAATCGGGGAAATAAGATCAACCGCGCGAGAAATAACAGTGTCTGGTGTCTGATGCAGCGCGACACGGTAGTTGATCACAGCGGAGATTTTCTCCGGCAACGCGTTGGATTTCACACCGCCGCGAATGATGTCTGTTGCTTGGGTTGTTTGCAGGGTGACGCGGAAATTGTCACCGCGCGACGCGCCTAGTTTCTCAGCTAGGCTGCGGTAATCTTTTGTCGATAGTGCATGTCCCAGCCACGACTCGATGTGTTCCGGCGAATGCATGACCTGGCATTCCAATGTCTTCCGTGTAGGATGGTCCTCGTTTAGCTCGGGGATGAACAAGTCCTGGCGTTCGAGTGTATGAATGATATCCGCTATGATTCCGATTCCCGTGTGCGCGGGCGGGATGGAACTATGGCCGCCGGGCACGGCGAGTTCAAGGACGAGATCGAGAGAACCCTTCTCGCCGACTGCAGGGAGCGCGTAGACAACGTCTTCGTCATCGGGGAGGACTTGTACTCCGTTTCCGCCCTCGTCCAGGATTAACGCGATACTATCCTTTCCATACCGCTTCTCCAGCTCGGGAGCTAAATGCCCCGCGCCTAGGAAACCGTGCGACTCCTCATCGAACCCAAACGAAAAGATAACTGTGCGTGATGGCCTAAAGCCTTGAGCGAGCAGATCTTCGAAGGCGGAGAGGAGGCCGATGAGCGTATTTTTGCAGTCGCTGGCGCCGCGGCCCCAGATGTAGGTTCCGTCGTAGTGGCCGGAGAAGGGCGGGTATGTCCAGTCGGTTGGGTCGTCGATGGGAACGACGTCTTGGTGGGCGAGGAAGAGGATCGGTTGGAGGTGTGGGGAGGCGCCGGGGAGGGTGTATAGGAGGGCGTGGGTGTTTATGTGATCCAGTTGGGCGGTGGAGTGGCTGCGGATGGTAATTTAGCATGTGGTTCCGATCGAGACCGGGGAATTGAAGACGTACACCAACGGGAATAGTTCACGGAGAAGGTCTTGAAAGGTTACGAATGGCGCAAACCCCTCATCGTCAGGATCCGTCACCGAATCGCCCACACTTGTATCGACCCGCACCGCACGCGAGAGCCGCTCAATCTGTCGCTCCCGAATCTCATTGTCTTGGATAAAGTGCAGCGAGGATAGAAACCCGTCGCTACCCGGGTCTATTTTTGGCGCAAGAGGACATGATATCTCGGAGGTGGTCGCCTGGAGAGGCAGAGGCCGTTGAACCGAGGCCGAAAAGGGAAATGAAGGCAGGGCCAAGGCGGTGGGGAGAAGGATGACTAAGAGGGGCCGCATTTTGATGTGTTTAATTAGCATGTTAGCGGAGGGGGGAGTGGGATTGTGGCTATTTATATGTTAGGGTATGGAGAAGGGAGAACAGGGTTCTTATCGGAGGGGTCGGTTAGGATCCTGCAAGTCGGATAGCTACGTGATTTGGGTAGGATGTTTGTCTATCTGCATACAATTCTACATATGAAGTACTCTGCTGTAAATATGCAATGAATCTGACTCGGATTTATCCTGACGTCGATGACAACCCTAAACCCGCCCGAAAAGGGGCGCCGATCGTACGCAAAAGGTCAACCGTGACGAGGAAAAGCCGAGGAGATCTCAATAGTTTGTTTCAGCCTGCTGTATCTGTTCAGGGGTATATGTATATCAACTGCCCTTTTTTCCTTTTTGCTGTTCGTCAAACCACTCGTTCGTACAGTGTACGCAGGACTTTCGTTCTTTTCCATTCCTTATTCATTCTTTTGATTTTCAGTCACTCCTTTGAACTACATATACCAGCAAAATGAAGAACGTCGCCATTCTCGCTCTTACCACGGCTGCCTCTGCCGCCGCAGCCAACAGCTGCTATCAGTCCCTTGGTGCCGAACCTCTTGTCCTCCCGGGCTCGACGTTCCTCACCAACTCCTACTGCCAGACCCTCTGTATCTCGCGCAACTACGCCGTCACTGCGACCAAGGACGGCAAGGAGTGCGCTTGTGTTAAGGAGTTGCCTAGCAAGGACCTGAAGGCGGATGAGAAAGAGTGCTCGGTGCCCTGCCCGGGCTATGCAAGTGACAAGTGTATGTCCCCTTCGATCCAGCTTGCGATTGGAGATGTATGTGTAGATACTGACAAGAACAGGCGGCGGCCCTAACGCCTGGACCGTTACCGTCCCTCAGGCCCCTAGCTCCGGTGCCAGCTCCAGCTCTGCCGCTGCCCCTACTGCCTCTGTCGTCCGCCGCTCCGACCACCCAGCTTGGTTGGACTCGGGTTCCAGCGACTCTTCCTCGTCCGACTCTTCCTCGTCCGACTCCGGCTCTGACGACTCTTCCTCGTCCGACTCTAGCTCTGGCGGCTCCGCCGCCGCTGGCGTTGGCCCTGCTGTCTCCGCTTCCCCCTCCTCGGACTCCTCTTCTTCCGAAACTACCGGCTCGGCCTCCTCTGAATCCACCGGCTCTGCCTCTGCCTCCGCCAGCACGGAGGACGGCATCGTCGTTGACTCGGAACCCACCTCGTCGTCTTCGTCGGACTCTGATGCCGCTGCCACTACTTCTTCCTCCGACTCGTCTGAAGAGAAGTCCACCGCTGCCGCCGCGACCACCACCGCTGCTGGCAACGACGCCGCGACCACCACTGCTGCTGGCAGCTCTGCTTCTGCCACTGGCAGCAGTGACTCGGACTCGGACTCCAACGCTACCCAGACTACTTCCATCCCCAACACCCTCCTGACTGCTCCTTCGAGCACGGGCAGCAGTGCTTCGGCCTCGTCTTCCTCCAGCTCTGGATCTTCGTCTTCGTCTTCGTCGAGCTCTGACTCAGACTCTTCTAGCTCGTCCGACTCGAGCTCCAGCTCGTCTGCTTCGGCATCGCCTAGCTCGACGGACAGCGCGGCTGGTCGTGTTGAGGGCGCTTCGTTCTCGATGGTCGGTGCTGTTATGGGTGTTATGGTTGCTTACTTGCTGTAAACAGCCCACCTTTGACTTTTTACGGTACCTTATTTTATCCTATCCTATTCTACCTTTGAATTAGGGGAGGTCGGGTGTAGTGCATGTGCACAGGGACAAGAAAGCGCCGGTGTAAAGCAGGTGCACAATGCAGGGCAGGCATTCCCTTCGTTTTTGTATCATTCTTATATTTTTATCTATTTTATATACCTTTTTGATTTGACTTGATTTTTATGATTTGATTCTCTACGGCATACGTCGGCTCAATTATGTGTACGTGTGTATGTGTATATTAGATTAGAGTCCTGGGGATCAATATCGATATCAATTATACCATTATCATTCGGCACATCCAAAATGTACAGTAGTCTAAACAAGCATAGGGTATCATCACGCATCACAGTAAACAAACAACACAAGATAAGACCAATAAGCATGTCAAAAGGCAAAACCAAAAACAAAAAAGCTAGTCTATTTCTATCCCCCTCTTCCGTAAACCCTCCTTATCTCGTTTACTCATAGTCACGTACTCGAATTGTTTCGGCAATTCATCTTGTCGTCCCTCACTGCTCCAATTAGTCATATGTATACATACACACTCCCAGCGTGCAGGGCAGACATACCGATAATAAATGATCTTCAAATTCCTTGCCCGATCTTTAAACTGCACCTGATCGCGATCCTCAATTCGTACCTCACCCTCCTGCACAGGCTCGGCGTGGTTCTGCCGAACCAGATCCGACCAGCTGGTCCCACACTCGCGGATAAGGCGCATTAGTCGTTTATCTTCCTCGGATGACCAGCGGACTCGTACTTTTGAGTCTGTCGTTGTAGTTGTAGATGTGGTAGTGGTAGTGGCAGGGGCGGTACTAGGTGGTGGCGAGGTCCTCTCTCGCCGCGGTGCGTCGTCGACTCGTCGACGCTTTATGTGATGAGATTGGTCTGGTTTCTGTGCACGTTTGACTGAGGGGTCGATTGCCCGTTCGTAGCGACTAAACTCGTCGTCGTCGTCATCTTCATCTGTCACGCGCCGGCGCTTTCGTGATGGTTGTGGCTGCGGTGGCCGTTCTTTACTCCGTTCTGCGCTGCGGGGATCACTGAGACTAATCGGGGATACTCGTCGAGCGTGTTCCTGGCGGTCGACAAAAGCAGCAGGTGCTTTTCGTTGCGGGCCGGCTGTCAGTCGAGGAGTTGCTTTGGTCGCTGCGTTCCAGACTTCCTCGCTAGTGGGCAGTTCGTTTGGCGGTATGGATATAGTTTGGCGACGCATGGGCGGGCTGTGTGATTTTTCCGGGGCGGGTTCTCCTCTGTGTGGTTGTAGATGGGAGCTGGAGTCAACAAAGAGGTCTTCTTCACCTTGCAAGAATGTCGGGGAGTTTTCTGGGGATGCTGGGATTTCGCGAGGTTCTGGCGGCGCAGGTGGGTCAATCGTCACTGGCCCTGACAGTGTTTGACGCCGATTAGAGGTTTCTGGCGACTTTTCCTGAGAGACTGGTCTCACGTAGTCCGTTTGTCGTCGCTGTCTCTGGCTGATCCGCTCGATTATGGAAGCGTTGAGCCATTGGCTTTTGTGCGACTTTCGTCGCTCAGACTTAGCTGGCTGGGCCGCTGGTTCTGGTTTTTGAGCTGGCTCCGGTTCCTGGACCTGCTCTTGAGCTGGTTCCTGGGCCGGCTTCTGAACTTGTTCCTTCGGCGCTTTCACCGGCACGGTCTGTATAGTTGACACCTCCCGTATGGCCATAGGGGAGCTACTGCACCTGGTAAACGACGAACTCTCCCGTCGGGGTTCAGAGAAATATTCCTCACGAACGGCCTCAGCATCGGATTGCGATTGCAAGTCTCGATTGATTTCGTTTTCTCTCTTTCGAATCCATTGTGCCGCCCGTAGAACAAATTTCTGCCATCGATAGGCACCTTGTAGCCCGCGGACACCATCATCGTCTTCTTCCGCCAGCGTGACGCGAATCTCATTGACGCGATCGTAGACAGCTTCCGTAAACTTCTCCGGAAGCCGGCCGTTCTCGTCTTCGAGCAGTTTGATATTAAACCCACGAAGAGGCGCCTGGCCGTCCTGATACGAATCATCTTCCTCCCCCATAACATCATCAAAGAAGACACCGCTCACAATCGCCTCGGGATCGAATTTATCCTCATTCTGGTGCGCCTCCAGTTTCACCAAAAGCGACTGCGTGCGAATCTCCAGCGCCAGATCGAAAGTGTCTTTCTCAAGAACACTTAGACCATGACCCCTCTGAAGTCCTTTCCCGAGTTCGTTCATAAACGGCGATGGAAACCGTCCCTCCAAGTCATGAACCACCTTCCTCTGCGACTCTGTCTTCTTCCCACTCGACGCATCTGCCAAAAGCACCTCAAGCGCTAAACGCGCACAATTCACCTTGTGTAGAACAGGATCCGGACTCCACTCCCTACTCGTCATACCTTTTTTCTCCAGCGCAGAAACAAGTAGCGGGTTAACCTGCTTCGTGTCGACGTATGTATGGTGCCCGAAATACTGCGCTTCCGCGTCTAGATTCGCCATTAACCGTTTCAATCGTTTCCTCTGCGGATTCTGCGGATCGCGCAACTTCTTCGCGGTGTTAACGATACTAACCGGATCTACAGACCCAGGAACGAGGATATGCAGGACATCATTCGCCTCTCGTTCCAGAGAGGGTAGAGTCTCGATCATCATGTCTGGATCGAGGTCCGTTTCCGGCTCTGACGGGAGAATGGTGGTGCCGGACATGTTGACGGCATCTTCCGGGGAACCCTGTACTTGGACGGGATTTGAAATGCGTTTTGGGGGTGTTTGGGTCTTGGCGGGGGATTCTTCGATCGCATCGAGTTCTGCAATATGATTTAGTTGGAATGTAAAAATGGAAAAGAGTAATGCGTAGTGACGTTTGATGCGGTAAACACCACGCTTATACAAAGACTCGGGTATAAAAAAAAAACAAACAACCAGAAAACTGTAAAGACAAATACCCGTAGAACCGAAAGTAAACAAAGCACGGCAAAGAACAAAATAAACTCACTCTCAAGATCCCTTCTCCTCCTTCCCCGTCCCTTCCCCGACTCACCTCCACCACCACCATCGCGACTCTGCTGATGCGACTCAACCTCCCGACTCTGACTTCTTGTCCATCGTCTGCGCGGAGGACTATTCATATCCAGAGTCGTACTATATAGCGCAGCCTTCTGCACCGGTCGCGGAACTGAAACAGCCTTGCCGTGAACCGCAGAGCGCGACCGGGACCGGGCCATGGCTGAGTTGTTCTTTTGGTGTTTGTTTATCGGCGGGGCGTATAGTTAGTATAGAAAATCCGTATAGAGCGGTGACGGTTTTCGTAGAGGAATCACCGGTCGGAGGTGGACGAGAAGCGATGAATGAAGAGGTTGGAAGAACAGAGGGAAAGATGCCAGCGACCGGCAGAAATTTGGCCAGGCTGTGAGGCTCTGACGCTACGACTCGCTGGCCGCTGCCGCTTTAGTGGTGCGCTTTGAGGAAGTCTAGGGGTTGCTGACTCAGCGTGCACATGGGTGCCCCAGGCAGAATACCCTAACCCTAGAGTATGGTATGGCAATAATTACAGAATATCATATTAAAACATGTATAGAAGTCCATGCTAGATGCTAGGTTTTTGTTACTCCAATCTACAACAACCACCAATCCGATGACAGAAATTATTCATAGAGCGCTTCGATCAAGTATATGACGCCAAATACGAGGAAGGCCGTAGCACCACCCAGAGTCACTGTTCATGATTAGCAGGGGCCAGATTGACACAATAAGAAAACAGGGAACATACCAACGCGCATGCTAACTTTTCCAGCGATAGCACTTCCTCCAATCACGGCAGCAGCCGTGCAGATACCATGTCCCGTAGCCGCGCCCACAGTCACCCACCAATAGTCCTGTCCGGCAGCCATCGCAATTGTCGCGATCTGACTCCGGTCGCCCCATTCTCCGAGGAAGGTCATGGCGAAGGTCTGCACCCAGGCGGGACTCAGCAGTAGCGAAAAGAGGTTGTTCAGCCCAACGAGCATATCGTTCCATCGGCGACCAGGGCTAGGAGAAGACTCGCGCGACGAGGACGATGAGAGAGACTCGGGAGGCGACGGCATACGGTTCTTGGAAGAGCGACCCCGGCCTGCTTCCAACGAGTGTGGCGTGACTGACGAGCGGCGACGGCCCAGACGAATCTGCTCCTGTTCCTTTTCTTCGAGCTCCATCTCGACTTCCTTCATCTCTTCGCCCACGCCCTCATCAGGAGACATCTCGCGGCCTTCCTTGACCATCTTCAAACCGAAAATGAAGAACAACAAAGCCGCCATGAACTTGGTGAAAGTCTTGGGGATGAGCGTAGGAATTCCGTGTCCAAGGATAGCGGAGAGGACGGTCATGCCAATCAGAGCGGAAAAGGCTGCGGAGAAGACAAGCAGACGAGGGTGTCTCATGGCCATAAGGGCCGCGACCAAGAAAGTCTTGTCGCCAATCTCGGAAACTATGATCATTGTGAAAGAAAAGACGAGCGAGTGCAAAGGATCCGCAGCTGGTTGTTCATCCAATTCCAGCTTGCTCTTCGAAGATGTGCCTTTCGTGCCCGTGTACGTATCTTTTGACGATGTTGCGGATTTCGGGGTCGCGACGTCGTAGGTTTCCGGAGGAGTGCTGGGTTTCTGTATCTGTTAGCCCTAATTACCCAAAGCAAGAAGGCTAATAATACCGCAGGCACGCCCTTTGTACCCTTCCCACCAGCACTTTCCTCCAAAGCCTTCTTTTGCTCACTATACGGCAACGGAGGCGCCTCCTTCGGCCCCTCCGGCACTTTCTTTACGCCTAATTGCTTCTCTGACATGTCCTTTTCCGCGCCCGTCACCCCATTATTTGATTTCTTAGCCCCCTCTGCTGAGGAAACCGTCGCATCGAACTTCTCGCGTCCCTTCACGGGTTTCCCCTGCTCTGTCTCTTTATTCCCCGCGTATCCATCCACAGGGGCGTCCAGCGTCCCCTTAGACCCAGCCTTGGAGGCCCCGACTACCTCCCCGTTGGCATTTGTGACGTCTCGCTGGGCGAGGGCGGATTGTGTCGGGATCACAGGGTTCGGAGCGAGGTCTGCGACGACGGTCGAGACGGCGGGGAGGAGGAACAGGAGGCGAGAGAGCTTCATTGTGGCGAATTAGAAGAGATGTCGAGGACGTGGATGAAACGAGAGTATACGGGCAATGCCCAGGTCGTGAAAAAGGAGAGGCGCAATAAGGGACGGGTCGAACGACCAGCGACGATCCTTGAATGGCCACGATACCAACAGCACGCGAACAATGGCAGCGAATTCGTGGGGGAAAGGGTCGAGACACAACCAATGTCGCGCGATTCAATTCAAGCAGTCAAAAATGATTGACAAAAGAGCGAAGGGAAGAAAGAAAAAGTCCCGAAGGAGTGGACAGCAACAGGGACAGGAATAACAGCACATCATTTTGGCGAGAAGGGGTCTCCGCGTCACGTGATCACTCTAGATTTGCTTCTTTATTTAGATGCCTCAGATCCCGATTTTTCTAGAATTCTTCTCAATAATGTACAAGTATGCTTTGACCGCAGTACCCTAACTTCTTAAGAGTATATTGGTGTGCTGTTATAATATAAGCACTGGCGTTGGCTCACGCGGGAGATATTCCACTACTATTTATATCCTGTCAGATCGCTATAGTTACTTGACATGACATGGCCCAATATGGATGGGATAAGTCGGGTGCAGAGTGAATATCCCTGGTTATATACACTGACGCTATTTATACAGGAATTCACTGCAAGAAATATAAATGATTATGTTTGCAATCTACTGCATTCTTTGCCCTAAATGCAAACACAAAGAAAATTCTTATATTCACAGTCTAGACTATTTTCTAGCTGGCTGAGATTCTTAACCTTCTCCAAACCCACAGCTTCTCCCACGAAACCAAGGAGAAAGCGAGAAAATGGCTTCTGTCCTCCTTCCCCTCATCCCCAGAGCAAGACGCTCAACCGGCACCAGCAAAACTAGTCTAGGTCTCAACCCAACAAAATCCGCCAGCAGCACCGGAGACAAGCCCAGCAAGACCAAAGACAGGCCCAGAGAAAAAGAAGACAATGACGTGGCGGTCTGGCTAAGCATTTTTTTCGGAAACACAGATCCTGAAGCCCCCGAGCTTGACCATGCTCGTTTCAACGGCCGTGTCCCCAAGGAGACTTGGGAGCCTAGAACACGTCCGTACACGAACCATGTCGAGAAACTTCTGTTTGATACGAAAGAGGCGAATCGACTCTCTGCGCAGCAGTCCGTACATCTGAAGAACCCTGAAGCAAAGCTTCCTATTTTCTTTGCGGCGGGAAAACTGGCTGTTCGATTCTCAGACGAGATCTTGTCGATACAGAAAGGTGCGTGCCGAATATGTCGAAGAAGGGAGGTGAAATGCTTCGTATTCCGGCCGCTGAGCGCCACGAAGAACGGCTATCTGGATCTGTCAGATTTTGAAAAGATGCATCGTATCCTGCGGACAATAGCGTCGCATACAACGCATTTCAGGAAGAGGGCTGAGGTAGATTGGGCAATTGGGAATTTTACGAGTGATAGGCCATACATGTGTTGTCTAGCTGTACCTGTCTGCTCGCTTGAGGATCACTGCTTTCGAGAGGCTATGATGAGTTCGCAGAACTACATCATGGGTGTTATGGAGGGATCGATCAAACCGCGTTCGATGAAGGAGGATATCAAACGTGCTAAGCGCAAGATGACCAATACGTCCGTGGGAAGATCCTTCAGCAGCACCCCAGGAGCCATGAGCCCTACTGGCTGGATGAGCCCCGGCTGGATGAGTCCCATTAGCCCCGGATCATCATTTGGCGCATACACCACACCACCATCCTCCTTTGAACAACCAAACGACCCAACCAAACAAGACAAACTCTGCACAATCGGCACAACAGTCTTCATCGGCAGACCCTCCCTTCAAGCCCGCGCCCCACAACCCGGCCAGCTAACCTGCCTCGTCCTTTCCTCAACCTGGCCCGAAACCCTTCTCCCTGCACAATCCAAAAACGAAGCCGACGAAGCCTTCGACTACTGCCGCATAGCAGGCTACCATGAGCGCCACATTCTCGAAACAGCAGACTACCGCTGCGCGATCTGCTCCGACGCCGTGCCCGCTCGAAGCCTAGTCCACAGGCCTATCGCGTACGTTCGAACGGGTAGGAAGGAGGTACAGGATAAACGGCTGCGGTATGCGCTGATGAGGTTTGCGCCGTATGTCGAAGGGCGGTGGAATTGTCCGGATGCAATTGATTTCTTTGGGGAATATAGTGATGCACAGGTTTTTGATTTTGCGGTGCCGATTTGTCGGAGTAAAAGCATCTGCGAGGAGGTTGCGAGGACTGCGGCGAGGGAGTTTGTGAAGTTGTTTATACCAGGGGATATGAAGTTTATGTTTCCTGGTTTGAGCCCTGACACAGACTTGGCCTTGATAGAATTCGATGATGGTCTCGTCTACGAGGATAACCCTGAACTCTTGGTGAAGAAGATTGGTCCGTACGCCCTTTTATCCGAGAAAGGAGACCGTGGCGAAGACCCCATGGACTGCGCGTTGACTATCACCAAACTCCGCCGCTGGTACGAACTATGTTACAAAGAAGAAGTCACCAAGCGGGCGTATCTCAAACAAATCGGATACAAGCGGACCGGCGACGTCAGTGAATCGGATAGTGACAGCGACGACGAAAGCGTGATTGACGATTCCGTGATCTGGGTTTACGAGCGTGAAAGCCGTGGCGATGGTGATACGGAGTCTAGTACTAGGAGCTCGAAAACCGCCAGGCTGGAGGACCAATTAAGACGGGAGACAATCATCCAAAGACTGGATAATCAGACGCTTTTTTCTCCGGTGCTCAACCTTGACTTCTGGTTGTTATGCGAGGCTGCCGGTAACTCGGGTATTTATGGGGGGGTTGATGGGAATTCAGAGCACAGCGATTCTACCGCGCGGACTGAGAGATATGAAGATTGATCCGGAAATGGAATGCGCTATTACTGTGTGGATATGAACTCATGACTATTAGTCCAGGCCAATATGGCAATCCACGGCCCATATCACGCAAATTTATAATGCATAGTCACATATTATCAGTATCAGTACTCACACTGGGTCATCTAACTCTGCACACCTGTGTGCTTCTACATAAAGCTCTTGAGCGCCGATGTCGGTGTCAAGAGTGAGGTGGTACTAGTGATAACATCGGTATGGATTGGTGTTGTGATGGCATGGTAGTACTCATAGTCCGGCCCTGCGCCAGGGAGAAGAAGCTGGTGACTGCTACAATTGAGGAGAGCTGCATTGCGGTATGGAAAATAACAGAGTAGAGGCAAGCTGTGGCTGTGGTATGGTCAATGTGAAATCAAATAGGAACATCAAGGCTTCTTATAATGCTGGTCTGTCTGCTGTACTGCATAATGCAAGGCACCCCAATCCATTCCAATTATCACATTGGGTTGACTACTACTTGAGTGTAAGCTAAGATATCATTAGTCCGGTAGACTTGTTACTTGTTATTATGTTGCACTGTATCTGGACGGCTCCACATATAAAATAGTAAACATTGCAATAAATGGATATATTGCAGCTCATCTCGTTCGTGTACAGAGTATCCATCCATCCCCAAAACCAAACCATTCGTAACTCGTAAGTGTTATACAGAAGAACCGAAACGCCATAACCAAAACCAATCGCTAACCCCCCCCCAAATCTATATGGATATCCCGCTTAACAAACCAATCCAAAAAAGAAAGAACTAAATCAAATCATGTTGTCACAATATCCCTGCGTTTATCCTCCCACTCATCCACTAATCCCGCCACACTCTTAAAGCTCACGGGTTTCGTGAGGAATAGATCAACACCAGAGGTCAACGCATTAGCTTCATCGCGCGGACTGCTAAGTCCTGTTAACGCGATGATAGTTGCGCGGCGCCAGGTGCGGTTCTCTTTTTCTAAAGTCCGTATTGTGCGTGCTGCTTCGAAGCCGTCCATTACGGGCATTGACATATCTGTTCTTCTGTTAATACTCTTCATTTTTCATTGAATGGGGGAGGGGAACATGGGAAGTGGAAAAGGACGTACCAAGGAAAATAAGATCATAGCCCTGCATCCGCTCAACAGCGTCGACGGCGATTCTACCATTCTCCGCTGCATCCAGGGCGAGTAGCTCACGCTTTTTCATGAATGTCATCATCAATTTCAAATTGATAGAGTTATCGTCCACAACAAGCACCCTGGCCTTAGCCTGAACCTCGGCCTCGGCATCAGGCTCGCCGTCTACCTCAATATGGGGCAGTTCCGTGACAGTCGTAGTCGGCGAGTGCGGCTCAGTAGGCAACTGCTCATCCTTCTCGACGTACGGTGAAGACAACGGGAGAGGACCGGTGGTCGCAGTATATGGCATCGGCGGTTCGGACTCTGATTCCGGGGATTTGGAAGATGTGCTCCCGCCCGAGGAACTATTTGTTAGCTCCGGGGGTGATGTGAGGTCGAGGTTTACGCCGGTGAGGTCAAGCCGTTTAACGTGTAGTGAGGCGGCGCTGCCCTGCGAGGAGATTGTATCTTGTGATGTGGTGCGGTTTGGGAAGACGATAGATATCGGGTGTTGTGTTGTATCTGGGACGCTGTCGAGGGATTTGCGGATGAGGCGGGCGAGTTTGTGCGGCCCCGACGGCTGGGGGATCATTTCGACGGAGTGCGCGAGGTGTACCCATCTTGTTTTCGCGGTACCGTAATCGGATTTGTTGCATAAGACTAGCAGTGCTGGAACTCTCGTCGTAAAGCCGCTATCTTGCTCCATGGCGAGCATTTGTTCGTCTGCTAATACCAGATCAATAGGCGTGGAGGTGGTTGGCGGCCACGAGACCAGCTCGAGACCGTACCATTCTGTCACGTAGTGCGCAATGACAGACCAGACGGGGTGTTGTGGAGCGGTGACCGTGTCGACGCCGAGGATTGACACGCGGCGGCCGGCGAAAGAGTCGCGGAGAAGACGGGCTTGGCTGAGCGCGTCTTTCTGGCTGAACTGCGGAGTCGGGGACTCGGGTTCATCTTTCGTTTCTGGCTGTGGTCGTTCAAGTGGTAGTGTCACCTTGACCATTGTCCCCTCGTCTGGGCGACTGTAGGTATTTACACTTCCGTTCAGAGCCCTGACGAGACTTCGCACAATCGACATTCCTAGTCCGGTACCAACAGCCAAGGAGTCCTCCTGTGCGAAGGGGGTGTACAGTCGCGCACGCATGAACTCCTCCGAGATACCCCGGCCTGTATCAGACACGGTCAGGGTTACCAGATCCTCAGCATCGCCTGCACTAGCTCGTCGCAAACGAGATTCAGACGCCTCAGTAACCTCCAACCGAACCGAGACACGGCCAACGTCGGTGTATTTCATAGCGTTGCCGAGAATATTCATGAGAATGCGCCGTAACGCACCAGGCTGCGTGCGGTAAACCCAGTCGTTATGCGCAATGTCCATCATGACCTCCACATCCGTCCGCTTATTCGGGTCGCTTTGTGGTTGGGACTGTGACCGGCTCCGAGAGGTATTATGTGGTAGTATGACAGGCTGCTCAGCCGAAGCGGTAGCTTTCTGTCCGTACGAGTGGCCTAGACAGACACCCTCGACGACTTCTTCAGCCAGCACGGCGAGATCTGTCGATACATAGGAGTCTAGATGCACCTTTTCCATACCACGCACTTCCAGCGGCGAGGCCTTGTGTCGTTTGATGTTACGCCATGTGCGCTCCAGCGAGACAATCTTGCTAAAGTCGAGCACTTGGTTCATTGTATCGAGCAGGGTACGACCGCACGCGTTGACGGTTTCCAACAAAGAACCCTGAAATCCATCAAGCTGCGTTCCCTGAAGGAACTCCGCTGCTGCAAGAATCCCATGAAGCGGGCTTCGCAGTTCATGCGAGATACTGCCAATGAAATCCCCCTTCTGCCGATCCGAAATCAACGACTGAATGCGGCTATAATCCGCCATGATCGACGACCCGAAGCCAAGCACACTACTCAACTCCACACTCGGACTAAGCACCTTCGTCTCAACGGTATTCCAGCAAAAGCAGCCAGAGAACCATTGCGAGTTGCCTGCGTTCCATAGCGGCACGAAGAGCACTTGGCAGGCGTTGGGGAAGTATTGGTTGAGGAGTTTGTTTTCCATTGCTTTCCATTTCCCCTTGCCGCTTCGGGGGAGGGGCAGATCGCCGGTTTTGGATTTTTGGGAGCGGGAGCGGCTGAGGCGTGGTTCGTCGGCATCGTCATCGTCGGAGCTGGAGAGCATGCCGTCACGGTGGAAACCCCAGAGGCGACCTTTGCTGTAGCGGCGGAAGAGGCGGAGGAGGAAGCCGCGGTCGAGGTTCATGGCTGGACAAGTGACCTTGGACTCCGTGCTCGGGCCAAACGGGTCCTCAAGTGTCGAGATTGCTAATGTGGGCGCTGGATTGCCCGTCTCGCCCGCACTGTCGCTTCCAGACTCTGAATCTAGCGTAGGGTTGTTGCCGGCCTCGAGGAGAATCACGCCGCCGTCTCCGCCTAGTTCCAGACTTTCGCGGAGAATGTTCGCGGCGCGCTTGAAGGGCCATGAGGTATCCTGGGTTTCATCAAAGGGGGTGCCTCTGCGGGGGCTGGACTTCCATTCGAAGGGCAAAGATTCAGCCTTGCTTTCGGTTTCGGAGCTGATTGAGCGGGTGTCGGAGCTGTGCGAGCGTCTGGAGGGAGGACCGCCGCTGTCCAAGGAGTCACCTAACCGGCTGGAGTTGTCATTCGAGAAGCCAGGGCTACCCATGTACGAAGGATGTACGTCTTCAGTCAGACTGCGACCGCCTTCAACAAAACAACTCAGGCCGCGCGACAATCTCGTCGCGCGCCGTCCTTCATGTGCTTGGCGACTAATCTTCAAGTAATCCATAATGACCATCCCCAACGACCCCAGCGTCTGCTTCTCCGCATCCGTCAATCCACTCCGTGGCTGCGTATCCAGCACAAAAAAGCACCCAATGTTGATGTTCGTCTCCGTCGTCAATGGCGTCCCCGCGTAGAACCGGAAGCCCGGCTCGCCCTGCACAAACGGAAGCGATGCGTAGCGATCATCTTTGCTCATGTCGTCGACAGCTAGATATCGATACTGCGGTGGGTTTCGCGTCGAAGGCGGAAGTGCAACAGTCGCCTTGACGGGGCCATGCTATTCAGTACATAAGCCGGGATTTACGTACAGGTGGGGTCATACTTACCTTGCAGATGCTCCAGGTGTGGTCGAATGTTGATATACCGGACCAGCCATCTGTTTGTCCGGTGGTGTCGAGTGATTGTGCTGAGTTGGCTAGGATGTGTTGCGAGTCACGATCCGATACACTGCCCGTATTAGCGCAAACCAAGCTGACGGAATAGAATAAAGACCATACCTAATCATAGCCCGCTGCACACCCAAGCGCATCGCCGCCAATTGCGCAAACGAGTTCAATGTCTGATTAGGGCTGCCCAGCACCAATCCCTCGCCGGGTGAAGGTCCCGTGCAGAGACCCGCCGCGGGATCCGGCGTCGACACAGAAGCGGTGGAAAGAGCGGGAACAGTCGCATTGTCGCTAGCTGATGATTCCCCGGCCGCCCAGGAATCGAAATACGACGAAACGAGGGTGGGTTGAGGGGATGGTTCGGGTTGGAAGTAGCGGTAGAGTTCGCGGACTCGACGGCCGATGTGGTGGTCGTTTTGCGAGCGCGGTGAAGGATCCATGATGGACGATGACCAGTTGTGTGTTAATGAACTGGTCTAAAGGTCATATGCATGGCGCACCGTAGTAGGCGTAAATGTAGGAACCGTGCACCCGTGGTTGAAGGGATATGTTTTGAGAGGTAGGGAGATATGGGATCGTACGTAGTTGTAGGAATAAATAAGCGATGGCAAGGTGTTTAATCAGATAAAACTCAGCAATCGATGGAACGGAATGGATGTAAATCGGAATGAAGGTACGGAGTACTCCGTAGGAGAAAATAGGCGAAAGGTCGTCTTTTGCTGGACAAGAATCCGATCCTTGGCCGGGAGTCACGTGGTGCGGCGGTGACTGGCTGGAAGCTATCCCATAACCGTTTAAGGATGAACCGGTTTGGGTAAAACCGGTTGTGGGAAAGGGGGGGCCAGCCAATCAGAGGCAATTTTAATAGTAGTGACAGGTCTTCGCGGGAGTTCGTTCTCCAGATCACTAATGATAGCCATTTACTGTTTTCCATGATTGTCCTCTGATTCTGCTATGAATCATCTTTAACCTTGTCTACTTGCACTTGCACTTGCACTTGTACACCTTGTACGCTCTATCTGCAAGCATCCTGAATAATAACAGTTTATCTGATGCCGGTTTACTGCGGACTCGGGCCCGCTAGCGTCCCGCTAGCGACTTCTCTAATTCCGGTACGGAAGCATCAACCACCAATCATGACGGCCATGCCGCGCAAGCCACGCACCGGCCCGCACGTGTTTGCCAATGCATGACAGTTGGACTCGCACTCTACTTGTACTTGTGCTCGATCAGTGGCTGAGCTCGTGGTACGGTTAAATCTTTTGTTTGCTGCCTCGTTGTCTATCCGGCAGTAATAAGCACAATCGCCTTCTAGACTTGAACACAACGATTCATGATCCCTGTGCTGCTGACTCATATTGCATAACTATGATGCATTGCGATTTATGCAGCATACATATGATCAATCGTCAACTCGTATCTCATTAGTCATTGTCTATACGCGTAACTACACCATCGAAAAATCATGAATCATCCAAATTCCAATAAACTAAAACTTCTCCATCAAACGTTTGCGTACTGTCCACATCCGCGCCCGCTTGCCGTATATGTACATCGGGATTGTAAATAGCAGACAGCCTAGTTGGATGCCGCCAAGGGCCAAGAATACTGTCCGCGCCCCGTCGGATTCCATCCAGTCGACAACGAACAGGGAAAAGATTAGGCCGTGAAAGACGTCTGCAGTCATGTTAGCATATGGTGGAGTAAGATGAATAGAGGGAGGAGGCGACACACTCTTGCTCCAGTTCAGCGTCACCAGGGCTTCTCCTGCATACTGTCGATAACTGTCCACGGCGAATGTAATCGCCGTTGTACTACCGAGACAGCATCCAAATGATACCAGTCCAAAGAATATCGTAGGCACGATCCATGCGTCCTTCTCCTGCGCACTCCAGCCAAATGCCATCAATCCTGCCGTCGTCGACAAAGCGATAGGAATGCCCATCACGAGTCGGAACTCCGGCTCATAGACGCCTCCATTACGACGGGTCATGAACTTGACGATGATATCGGACACTTTACCCGCTACTGCGGTACCGATTAGACCTCCTACGAACGGGGAGATGTAGATCAGACCCGTCTGCAGCGAGGTGAAGTTATAGCTCCCTCCCTGGTAAATATGCGAGACGAGCTCTGACATGACAATCAGCCATCCCACCGACAGTGCATAAACCGCCGTGGACCACAAGATGGCCGGGTATGCGAAGAGAATGAACGGTCGAGCTGCAACACGGTGCCAATGGTCGTGGGTGATCCGGCCTGGCCAGGGTCTGAGATACGAGGCGAATGGAATTGGACCCCGTTCTCGAAGACGGTTGGTGTAGTGTGCCTGTCCGGTGATCGGTGCAGGAGAGTCGTTGCCTGTAGCGTGCCTGGCCGCTTCAGGGTCATTCGGATGATCTGGTTTCTCAGGATCAGCCGCTCTCTCCGTTCCCGCGGTTGACGCTGCCATGGTTCGGCCGCCCTCGTGTTGATCATGCACATCATGTTCGTCCACCTTCTCTCCGTCGTTGGCGAACCCAACATGGCGATCTGGATGTCTTCCCGCAACCGGCGACGGGGGCTGAATCTCTTCTTCCACCTTGTCGGCCAGGCTTTCGGCATAAGACGGCCGACCTCGTCGTCCGTGAGAGATTATATTGGAGACACTCCGGCGCAGATTTGGTCGTTTGTGATGACGGTGGGGACGAGGTGTGCGATCCCAAAAGGTCTCAGGTACGAAGAAGAAAATGCATACTAGACACCCTCCGGTAATGATAGCCACGATCCAGAACACCCAGCGCCATCCCATGCTGTTGATGATGGCGGCACTCACCAACGGCACCAAGTTCTTGCCACCTAGTAACAGAAGGGTATAGATGCCGATCCGGTATGCTCGCTCGTGCAAAAAGTAGATCTCTGCGATGCTGGCTGATGGAAGACATTCGACCGGGCTCACTGCGATGCCCTGGAAAACACGGGCGACCACCAAGCTAGCGTAATTCGGCGATAGTGCACACCACACGGCTGAAATAATAAAAAGGAAGGCGCCTAGCAAGTAGACTGGTCGTTTTCCAAACAAGATTGCTGTCGGAGACATAATCACCGAACCCACTCCCAGTCCCAACATGTATAAACCAGTCGTGTAAGCCACCTGTTGCGTCGACACATCATAGGTTGCGGCAACGTTATTGAATCCCGCCGCCAGGACAGGGGTCATTCCCCCACCCAGCAAGCTGTAGAACCCCAGCGACAGCAGCGCAGCATCTCGTCGCCAAACCGGCCAGTTAAGCGGGTCATTCGCAGAATCATCAGGCTGCGGGTTCAAGACGACACCATTGTTAGTCTTCTTAATCGGATCACGAGAAGGAGATGAGGTCCGAGGATTCGGTTGAGGAAACGATGACGCAGCTGTACGCTCGGGTTGACGTCGCAATCCTAGCGGTTCGTTGCGGTCGTGGGACAACAGAAGAACCGTTCCTGAGCCGCATCAGCTACCTTGTTTTCTGTGTTACTTCGATGCGATTATACTTACCAGGTACTTCGTCCGTCTGCTTATCGCTCAAGATACCCAATGTCGACTTGGAGCGGTAAGACTCTTCCATCCCCCCAGACAACTCGTCCCTCGACTTGTCCCCAAACCACCGTTTCCAGCGAGAAGGAGTAGCTTGCCCCTCAGAAGTCTCTGGTTTGTTCTCCATGGCGCCCTCGTCGGACACAGCTCCGTGAGACACGTCCCCCAACGTCATTATATCCTCGATACTTTTTCGCCTCCAAGAAGAATTCCTGTATCTGCACAAAGAGAAGATAACCAGTCAGCCATGTCACTTGCTTCAAGAATCTCGGGACCACGCGCTCAGATCACGTACATGTGGAATGTGGCAGTCTGGGCACAGCCCAAGACAATGAACTGAAATTGACACCTTGTCACCAACCAACAAAGGTACAAGTGACCTTAGTGATCACGACCCGCGCGAGCACGTTGAAGTAAGAGCGAACTAAGTAGTGTTGCAAAACAACGACATTTTAAAAAACAAAAAGAAGAAAACGATGGAGAAGGGGTGCAGAGATAAATATGTATCAAGTCACGGGAGAACGGTCCAAGCCAAGAAAGTTAGAAAAAATGGGCCAAGGATGTTGGTGGGAGCTTATTCGCCGATATGCGACATGTGGTAAGATAGAGATGCTTAAAAGGAGGGACTGTGCTATTGAAAAAAAAAAATGACGAGTCCAAGTCAGACTGAAACAGGCAAAAAAAGGTGATGCTCAAAAAAAAGTGATAAGAGTGATATGCACGTGGACGGAGGGCGGTGGAGGCAAAACATCGGAAGTACTTGCAAGGTACATGGCGTGTCACCCTGTTTACTAGTACTTTGAGGTATCTTAATTAGACTACTCCATGTACTGCCGTGTACAATGCATGCATTTTTATTTTATTTTCAGAGTGTCAAGTGTCACCTCAACGCAGGGTCCTCGACTCGTATAGATAACAGAAAGAACAGTTCATGTGATCGACCATTAGCGCTTGTCGTCATCGTGCAGAGATCCGCGACAAACTCGAGCTCGTGCTTAGCTTTAGAAGTATTTTAATGGGCACATGACAGCCGCGTATCCCTCATAGAAAATAGTAGATGCATCAAAGAAAGAATGGAAAGTAAGAAGAGGAGGAGAAAGCGGACGGATGAAATGCATACAACAAAGCCGCCGTATGGGCGTTGCTCAACGTACATGAAAAGAGTTCTCAAAAAGCCCTGCTGACCAGTTCAGCACTGCATAAAAAAGAAAAAAAAAGTGTGAAAAATCAAGATAATCGGAGTCCTCCTTAGAAATTTAGACAGCATTTCACTGAGCCCTTGGGTCCCTCCGATCAATTGATGTTGCGATGAGACATGGACGACGGCCCCTTCCAAGGCGAATTGGACGGCCAACGGGACGAACACTACGCCTCCCTTAAGGCTAGAATACAGGAATCTGAGACCCCTCGGATTTATTCCACATATTGGAACATCGGTATACAGATTCAGTCCTGGTTCTTGAGAGAAAATGCCCTAAAACAGGCATTCGCCTCTTAGGGCATCTCTCTATTCACTGGCCAGTGAACTGGAGTTCTCCATAGAACTGATAATGAATTCTCCATTATAGACACTAGAGAGGTTTACTAGCGAGAACAAGTCTGCTCCTGAGATGGTGAATGCCATAGGAGCTGAAGAGTGCATAACACCTCTGTGGATGAGAAGTTATAAAAACATCATGGTTTCTGTTCTTCTTCCCTCCAAGCAACTGAGCTATTTTGGCAACTACAAGAATTCATTCAGTTTCTCTCCATTCAGTTCAGATATTCAAAAACCTTTCGCGATCATGTCTTTTATAAAGGCTCTCCTCGCCCTCTTCTTGCGTTTTTGCAGGGCGTCAGTTCAGTTTTGAGACACTGGTTCTAACGCTAATCTTGCTGTCTATTGGGGTAATTTTTACACTCTTCCACTATATTGCTCAGTGTTAACAGATTTCTAGGCCAAGGTGGGTCGAATAGTTCCCTCGCGGGGTTCTGTGATGACTGTAAGTATCAACCACTCCCTAACTCTAATATTTAAGAAGTGCAGTCCTTTCCCCGGCTCCAATCTAGTGATTTTTCCTCAACTAGGGTATTCTTCATTCTCCCCTTTATACGTATACTTTTGCTAACAAGTCTACAGACAGGAAAGCAAGACATGTCAAGCCCAAGGCTAGACCATCATGTTTTCCATCGGCGGCGCGACCTACACTGAAGGCGGCTTCTCAGAGCCAGACGCCATCAACAGCGCAAGCACCATCTGGCAGACCTTCGGCCCCAGCAACCCGGAACCCTGGCACCGCTCCTTCGCAGATGCCGTGATCAATGGCTTCAACTTCAATTCCGAGTTCCCAGCGACCAACATGCCTGCCTTTGGCAACCGCCCCCGCAAGCTCATGAATGGTCAACAGGATAGAGCTTTCTCCCTCACGGCCGCTCCGCCATACTCCTTCCCTGACAATAACGTGGGCAATGTACTGAAAAACGTCCAACTCGATGTGATATTTGTCCAATTTCACAATAACCCACAGTACGGGCTAGACGCATTCACATACGGCGCGCCTACGGGCTTCAAATTCGACCAGTGGGACCAGCAGGCTCGTGAAGAGTCAGTGAGCAAGAACTTCAAAATGATGGTTGATGCGCCGGGGAGTCAGGATGTGGCACCGAGCTCGGGGTATGTTGATGCTGGGCAGCTTGGGCAGATTGTGGAGTACTCCAAGCGGTTCTCTAGCATGGGCGGTGTTATGGCTTGAAATGTGTCGCACTGCAGGCGAACCCGGGTATTCTGGGGGGTATTAAAAAGCTGGCGGATGATGCTCAGGCGACTGTTGGAAAGGTTTTTATTGGGTAGATGGGGTGTTTTCGTGTTTTTAGACGTTGGCTTATGATATTTGGACTTTAGAAAAGATTATTTGTTTTTCTCTTTGCCGTCTTCTTTCTTTTTGAAGCTTGAAGCTTTAATTGCTCTCATAGCATATGTAAACTGAAACAACATGTTAATTATGTCACGAAGTATGGGAATTCACCAACAACGCAGGATTATTGTATACTTTGGCCTGTTTGAATATAGGGCAGGAACCCCCTTCGCACACTAGATAGCACAGCGCTGGCAAGCCCAGCTTCTTTCTTTCCTTCTCATGGTTAGTATTTCGATAGAGACTCCACCAATAAATTTATGTTGTTCGAGACTGTCACAGATTACTCGTATCATTCTTCCCTTCATTGTGGCGATATACAGTGACCCTTGCGGTCTCCGATGGGAGGGAGTGACATACTAGAATTTCATTATGCACCTAGGACATAGCCAACGCCATCTTCTAAGCGGCCGCAACTGAAACAGGGCAAAGCAAGGTCATATCATTGATCTCTTCTGGTACGCAACAGTTGAGAAATGCTCGGTACTACGTACACTGGGTAACTTCACTCTCTTTATGAAGGTATAGCTACTGTAATTCGACTTCCTCGCATAACACAGTAACAAATAAAGCCATAAAAGGCGTATGGTATTTCTAGCATTTGGAGCTGGTCTATAGTTGAGCCTAAGCCACAGTAGATGTCCATAAAAGGAAGGCACTCCCTTTCGGTCAAAAATTTCTCCGCTCCGCCGCTCGCCTCTCAAGTCCCTTCATGTGAATATTCCATCTTGTAAATCAAAATGGCCGTGATAGCTTTTGTGAGTATTCCTTTGGAAACAGCTGAGATCAATTAGTCGAAGTGTATCCGCCTCTGGTTCTCAATCGCCTTAACTTCCCGCCGTGGAAGTGCAGTCGACTTTCCCCGCTATTCCCCGCTATCGTTGCATTTCCCCCGGATCGAGGTGGCGTCGTATTCCTCTCTGTACAGAGTACTCTGGACATGCACCTGGGTACAGAGCACCTGACTCTTGTCTGACTCTTGATATGCTTGTACGGAGTTTTATGGACAGAATGCCGAATCATTGGCTCGGCTATGCCGACTGTCGAGCGGGGTTTGTGACATGCGAGTTGATATAAAGCCTGCTGCGCTATGGATGCATTTCCCCTCAGTCAACCTCCGAGACATCATACCGCATCATGGCCCAAATGCCTTTCCAGGTTGGTATCCCGATATTTCTCCGGTTTCACTGTCTAACTGACCGCTCAGCTCGATGATCCTTCGCTATTGCACTTTGACTCGTTTGTCGGGAACGAGTGGGTGCAGGCAAAGCACGGGGAGCGCTTCGAGGTCGTGGGTATGTGCTCGGTAGATTGCCCCAGAGGATAGCTGCGTAATGCTAATCGACAGACCCCGGTACTAATATCCCCTGGGCCAACTGTCCGACCAACACCTCCGACGACGTCGATGCGGCCGTGAAAACCGCCAATACAGCCTTCCAACAGTATCGCACCACCACTCCCCGACAACGTGCACAATGGCTCCTCCGCTGGGACTCCCTCATCCGCGAAGCCAAACCCGATATCGCCCGCATCCTCACTCATGAAACCGGGAAACCGCTGGCGGAAGCTATGGGCGAGATCGATTATGCTACCAGTTTCACCTGGTGGTTTGCCGGCGAAGCGGAGCGTATCCATGGGACCATCAGCGCTTCGTCGATGCCAAATCGTCGAGTCTTGACCGTGAAGCAGCCGATCGGGGTTGCGGTTGCATTGGTGCCCTGGAATTTCCCTATTGCCATGATCCTGCGTAAGGCGGGCGCCGCTCTCGCAGCGGGATGTACGATGATTGTGAAGCCGAGTCCGGAGACGCCGATCGCGACGCTGGCCGTTGCACATCTGGCGCAGAAAGCAGGGTTTCCGCCGGGTGTGTTCAACGTGCTCACCACCGACTTGGCGAATACACCCTCACTGAGTGAGAGTCTCTGCAAACACCCGTTAGTGAAGAAAGTCTCGTTTACGGGGTCGACTCGCGTCGGGAAACTGATCGCTGGTCATTGCGCCACGGGTCTGAAGAAGGTCACCCTTGAGCTGGGCGGCAACTGTCCGTTTCTGGTGTTTGACGATGCGAACCTCGATCTCGCACTGGACCAGCTCATGACCCTGAAGTGGCGCCATGCTGGTCAAGCTTGTATCACTGCGAACCGTGTGTATGTACAAGCAGGAATTTACGATGCCTTCGCGCAGCGCCTCAAGGAACGCACAAATACCCTTGTCGTCGGCCACGGCGCCAAAGAAGGGACCACCATGGGACCACTGACGACACCACAGGGAGTGGACAAGGCGCGGAAGCAAGTGGAAGATGCACAGAAACACGGAGCCACTGTTCTCTGCGGTGGAACTGCACCGGAGACCAAAGAGGGATACTTCTTCCCGCCGACAATCCTCACCGGTATGACGCCGGATATGCTTATCTCGCAAGAGGAGAGCTTTGCGCCCATTGCGGCGCTTTACAAATTCAATACGGAGGAGGAGGCGGTCCGTTGCGCCAACGATACCAGCATGGGTCTGGCTAGCTATGCATTTACTCGTGATGTTAACCGGGTTTGGCGGTTGATGGAGAACCTCGAAGCGGGTATGATCGGATTGAATTCTGGTATGTCTTGCCGCCTTCACTAGATGTCAGATTTCAGATGCTAATGGTGCTACGTGCAGGAAATTCATCCGCTGCTGAATCGCCCTTTGGAGGAATCAAGGAATCTGGGTACGGAAAGGAGAGCGGAATGGAGGTGGCTGTTAATGAGTACCTGGTAACCAAGACGGGCACGTTGACGGTCGAGCAGTAGGGTTGGTCCACTACGGTGCCCTACCATGGTTTGCAGAACGGATTCCACAAATCTATAGCACTTTATACACAAATAATACCAAGGACAATAGCCAAGCAAGTCTGGTTGACAGCTGTATATCCCGTATATTTCGGAAAACCCGCTCCGCCCTGTTAATCGTCGTCTGGCTCGTCTGGATATCCTATTCAATCGAAATCCAGCCCAGTCTTTTTTGTATTATAGGGCACACGTGCAGGGTACCGAGGACCGCGACTCCTTAACGGGTATACAGTACGGAGAATGTAGCGATGACTTGTCATATCACTGACAGGGTACTTAGACGGAGGACATACTGTATATATACAGCGAAGTACAAATATACCTTCCCAGTATCACCATACATCCGAGACACATGCATGGCACTCGGCAGCCGATGCAGCTGACGAATCTCTTGTGACAGTCCCGTCCAAGAGCTTGAAATCCTTCGCGGACAAGAGTATGTAGTATGTACTCGTGCGATTGGAGGAGACTGATGCAATCCTTCAGAATGTTCTATTTCCTATACGGGCAGGATTGCGAAGTATAATCTGACTTTATTTATTATCTTAATTGGTGTATTTGTATAGTGTTCGGTGATAGTGGTGGTAGCGGTGGTCGTGGTGTCGTGGAAATTACCCAAAACAGCAATATGAACGAACATTCAGGGACTGATGACAAGCTTTCGGCCTTTTTTGGTCTTTCTTTGACTCTTACGACAGCCGAGTAGCCCATAATATTGCCGATAGTTGTGAATCCTTACCTGACTTAGTATGAGAAGGGCGTCGAGTCTTCCTGTTGCGTTGGTTTTCCACGATCGACAATCTGAAACGATCGTTCTTTTCTTTTGTCGTTGAACTACTGTGTATGCGTATCCCCGGTGCTGTGCTATGGCACAGTACTAGTACTCCGTACTGTGCGTAGTAGAGTCCGTGAACAGTACTTTGTGAGTAACAAAGTAAACTACGGTCCGTACTCCGGTGACCCGCCACTCTATCTGCCTCTATCTCTGTAAGTATCCATAGTCACACAGCCATGATGTACATTGTCGTAGTTACATACTGGCAGAACATCGGGTAACACTACGTTGAGCTTCCGGATCGGGTAATCTCGCCCCCTCGTCTATAGCCCCGAACAGAGCAGTCTCCTCGTTTTCTTCGTGGCTTCTTTTACATTTCCTTTTACGGCGTACATGTATACTTTTTTTTTTTAACTCCTGATATTTTTGAAATATTTCTTATAGAAATCGAATACTCCCCATTTCTCCATCTTTATCACATCTCCATCCACTTTATCCTCCACCCCCAACTCTACCATTCTTTATTCTCTTGTTTATACTTCGTTTAATACATGTATGCATAGTACATCCTCCCATACACATACACCTACACATACATACACCATGGACTCTCTTACACACTTAATCCAATTCCACCCCCTCATCGATAACCATGCTCACAACATCCTCTCCCGTCCCTCCGCCACTAACTACACAAAATACCCCTTCGAGCAAATCACCTCCGAAGCCCACGGGCCAGCCCTGCAAAACGCCCCCTCCACCTTGCCACTCCTCCGCGCCGCGAACCAGCTGGCCGAGCTCTATGGTTGCACTCCCGATTGGTCCGCCGTCAAGGCCGCTCGCGAGGAGCTCGTCCAGCGCGACTATGAGGGTTTGGTAAGGAGGTGTTTGGAGGGTACGCATGCGGTGCTTCTGGATGATTTGCTGAGTGATGAGGATATTGAGGCATCTGAGTGGCATGACCGGTTTACAGTTTCGGAGACGAAGAGGATTGTCAGGATTGAGAGTGTTGCTGAGAAAATTCTGAGTGGTTTGTCAAAGGGGGAGGAGTCGCTTGAGAAGTTGCGGGGGGAGTTTGTACGGTTGATTTCTGAGGCTATTGCGGATTCGAAGGTTGTTGGATTCAAGTCGGTTGTGTGCTATCGCACGGGGTTGAATGTGCAGCAGCCGGCTGAGGAGGCTGTTGTGGATGCTTTGAGCCGGACCTTGCAACAGACTGGTTCGTATCGGGTTGAGGACAAGGCGTTGAATGACTGGCTTGTTCTGCAGACGCTGGATCTGCTCAAGGAGGCCAAGGTCTCGTCTGGTGTCAACAAGCCGTTGCAGTTACACACTGGTCTGGGTGATGCGGATATCAGCTTGGTTTTGGCGAACCCGGCGTATCTGCAGTCTGTGATTGCGCAGTACCCTGAGGTGGACTTTGTTTTGCTTCACTCTTCTTACCCTTACACCCGCGAGGCCGGTTATCTGGCTTGCGTCTACCCGAATGTCTACCTTGATCTGGGAGAGGTCTTCCCCATGGTTAGCCGGGATGCACAGGAGTCGATTGTCAGAGACAGCTTGGACATTGTTCCCTCTACCCGTCTTTTGTGGAGCACCGATGGCCACTTCTTCCCTGAAACCTTCTGGCTGGGCAACAAGCAGTTCCGTCAGGCATTGGAGACCGTCCTTGTCGACTACGTGACCCGAGGCGACTACACCATCGAGCAAGCCAAGAACACCGCCGCAGAAATCCTCTTCCACAACTCCAACAAGATCTACAATCTGAACCAGCAGCCGCAATACACCTCTCTCCCTGTCCGCTCTTCCCTTTCGTCGACTGACGCTCTCGATGCCTTTATGCGTGCCAACCCTGACGTGAAGTACATCTGGATGCAATGGGTCGACTACACTGCCACGATCCGTGTGCGTGTCTTCCCCGTCCTCGAGTTCGGCAAGATCGTTCGCAAGCAGCGCCGTATTGGTATAAGTTTGGCTGTCTTCTGGATGTTGCAGGATGACACCGTCACCCCAGAGGGGTCGACCACCGGCCAGTTCTACATGGAGCCCGACCTGTCCAGTCTGCGCCGCAACGTCGGTATCGACTCGAAGAGCGCAACAGTCATGACCTACTGGCGCTCGGAAGAGGGTACAGAGCTTGAAGGCTGCCCCCGCACCACGTTGCAGAACGTGACCAACAAGATGAAGAACGAGCACGGCATCGACGTAACCTGCGGTTTCGAGATTGAAGTTGTCCTCATGAAACCGGTCACTAACGCCAACGGCGACGAAGACTTCGTCCCCTGCGTCCGCAACCACTCCTGGTCCAACATGACCACCGACACTCGTCGCATGATGCCCCTGCTCGAGGAGATTTCAGACTCCCTCGCCTCCATCGGCATCAACCTAGAGCAGTTCCACGCTGAGTCTTGCCCGGGACAGTTCGAGTTCATTCTTCCTCCCAACTCCCCCATCGCCGCCGTAGACACCCTCCTCAAGGCCCGCCAGGTTGTTGTCAACATCGCCGAGCAGCACGGTCTCCGCGCAACCCTCTACCCCCGTCCCATCCCCAAGGCCGCTGGTACCGCGTCGCACGCACACGTTTCCATCTCCCCCGCTACGAAGGAAGATTCTTTCCTCGCGGGTGTGATGGAGCATTATCCTGCTCTGGTCTCGTTTACCCTGTCCCAAGATGTCAGCTATGATCGTGTCAAGGCTGGTATCTGGGCTGGTAGCGAATGGGTGACCTTCGGAACTCAGAACCGCGAGACTCCAATCCGGAAGATCTCTCCTGGCCACTGGGAGATTAAGTCGCTTGACGGACTGGCGAACATGTACCTTGCCATGTCTGCCTTTATCGGCGCAGGCTACATCGGTATCACGGAGCAGAAGGAACTCACAAACAAGGATTGTCAATGTAAGTCCCCCTCAACCCCCGTCTACCTTTCTCAAATACTAACAAGGTCCTCTTGCAGACGACGCAGCAACCCTCAACGACACCGAACGCGCCGCCCTCGGCATCACTACAAAACTCCCCAAGACCCTTGCGCAGAGTTTGTCTGCCATCGAATCCGACCGTACACTGCAGGACTTGCTCGGCCCCGAACTGGTCAAGAACTACTGCATCGTGAAGAGGGCAGAGAGCAAGAAGTTGAACGCGATGGATGAATATACCCAGAGGATGTGGTTGATGGAGAAGTACTAGTTGCACTTGGCGATTGCGATTAAGCCTTTGGAGTGGATTTCATGCATTATGTTGTTTCTTTTCGTTTACTTTGTTTTGTTTTGCATGGCATACATACTGTTTTATACACTAACTAATGGATTGATGGATGGATATCGGTTAATGGCATTTATCTTACTATTCAAGGTCTTTACTCCGTCCGAGTACTACTTCATAGAACTACTCCCTCTCCTAAACAGCTGATTAGATATCAACCCCTGTCCCCTAAGCGAACGAAACTAAACCAAGAATAAACATAAACTTCGGCTACTAGCAAATCGAATAAACTAAGCCAAGCTTCCCCTGGAGCACAGACCTGTTCCTTAGTTGATGCAGGGGCCACTTGGGCACTTGGGCCAGGTATGGGGGAGTGACGGTGTAGGTACTGAGTCATGTAGATGGTTAAGTATCATGAGTGTTGGTTGTATTTTGATTTGAATATGGAGGGAATGGTATATACCTGGGTTGGGATGGAGGTCAAAGTACGCGGATGATATACCTGCCCTATGATAAATAGCGAGCCAATTCCAGTGTTGGTCGAAGTTCTTAGATTGGTAGATGTATGAGCTAAATCCGCTATGGTCAGTTGTTATCGGAATTGCTCAATACCTCAGTTGCCATGCATAGACCGAAGGACTTTGAGACACGATCGTCCATTAACAATACTCCCTATACTATACGAGTATAGACATCGAGTCAGATCTATAATTTCTTACATTCCATTGGCACCAGATACTTTTGAGTGACATAGAAAACGAGTTTCAATCCGGAGAAAGTCGTACGGATTAGGGTATATTGTCCATCATCTCAATGGTTCTGGACCTCCGGGGTTATCGTGCTCTAGCTATCACTATATCAGGAACATCATGTCATTCAACTTACTAGATTGAGTTATGATGCTAGGAATACATGAAGGAGATGGGAGCGAGGGCTATTTCTCCCCACGTTGCTCTCCAGTTTCTGTCATATTGAATCATCCATTTCGTCCGCTCCACTGCTATTTTATCTCCTACTATAGCGTACTCTCTCTCTCTCTCTCTCTCTCTTTGCCGACATACCATTGCATATTCAGACTCGATCAGTGCCAAATTAAATCCTCGTCTCTATAGAAGACGATCTACGGCCTAGCCATGGGCCATGGCTACTTTTGTGACCCTGGGCATCCGGAAAACGCCACCAACGGGATGAAACAAAACA